CAGCGGCAGCGTGGTCATCGACGCCAATTGGCGCTGGGTGCACGAAGTTGGTGGCTACACCAACTGCTATAGCGGCAACACTTGGGACAGCTCGATCTGCTCCACCGATACCACCTGCGCCTCCGAATGTGCCCTTGAGGGTGCCACTTACGAGAGCACCTATGGTGTGACCACCAGCGGCTCGTCGCTCCGTCTTAACTTCGTTACTACGGCTTCGCAGAAGAACATTGGCTCGCGTCTGTATCTTCTGGCCGACGACAGCACCTATGAGACTTTCAAGCTTCTCAATCGGGAATTCACCTTCGATGTCGATGTCTCGAACCTTCCCTGCGGATTGAACGGCGCCCTCTACTTCGTCTCTATGGATGCTGACGGTGGTGTTTCCCGCTTTCCCGCGAACAAGGCTGGCGCCAAATACGGAACCGGATATTGCGACTCCCAATGTCCTCGGGATCTTAAGTTCATCGATGGCCAGGCCAACATTGAGGGCTGGGAGCCATCCTCGACCGATGTCAATGCGGGTACTGGTAACCACGGCTCCTGCTGCCCTGAGATGGATATCTGGGAGGCGAACAGCATCTCCAGTGCCTTCACAGCCCACCCTTGCGACTCGGTCCAGCAAACCATGTGTACGGGCGATGATTGTGGTGGCACTTACAGTACCGACCGCTACTCTGGTACTTGCGATCCTGATGGATGCGATTTCAACCCTTACCGCTTGGGCAACACCAACTTCTATGGTCCCGGAAAGACCGTCGACACCAGCAAGCCCTTCACGGTCGTGACGCAGTTCATCACCAATGATGGTACTGACACTGGTACCCTGACTGAGATCCGTCGTCTCTACGTGCAGAACGGTGTCGTGATTGGCAACGGCCCCTCGACCTACACTGCCGCGAGCGGCAACTCGATCACCGAGAGCTTCTGCAAGGCCGAGAAGACCTTGTTCGGCGACACCAATGTCTTCGACACCCACGGTGGACTGTCTGCCATGGGTGACGCCCTCGGCGACGGCATGGTCCTGGTGCTCAGTCTGTGGGACGACCACGCTGCTGACATGCTCTGGCTCGACAGCGACTACCCCACCACCAGCTCGGCTACCAGCCCTGGTATCGCCCGCGGTACCTGCCCCACCACTACCGGAAATGCCACCTATGTTGAGGCCAACTACCCGAACTCGTATGTCACCTACTCTAACATCAAGTTCGGTACCCTCAACTCGACCTACTCCGGCACCACCTCCGGCGGCTCTAGCTCCAGCAGCACCACCTTGACTACCAAGGCCTCGACCAGCACCACTAGTTCCAAGACCACTACCACCACTTCCAAGACCACTACCACCACTTCCAAGACGTCGACCACCTCGAGCTCGTCCACGAATGTTGCCCAGCTTTACGGACAGTGCGGTGGACAGGGATGGACTGGTCCCACCACCTGCGCCAGCGGCACTTGCACCAAGCAGAATGACTACTACTCGCAGTGCTTGTAGGCGGAGAGATGACTGTTGAGGCGATCTTGATGAGTAGGTAGGAGAGATCGACGAGGAATGAGTAAGATGGGAGAAAGTATGATGACAATTTGTTACTTCCGGCAGGATCTCCAAGCTTAGGACTAGTCTAGCAAATGAAAGGCTGTTTTTTTTTTCTTATCACTGAACATGCATGAGAGGAGGAGTACCAGTAACCAGTAAGGTAGTCAGCCTGTAGCTCGAAAGTTCAAGAACAAAGTTATGCAGGATTGCAGGATTGCAGAAGTGCAGAAGAGCCGCCGAAGAAACCCCAACCCCGCACGGTCATGTGCTCCCCACCTGATCCCTGTTCCCCTTCAACTAATTGCGCTGATCGATCGATCTCTCTCCCCGTCGGTTTCTCTCTTGTCTGACTTTCCATCCAAATCTTGTGCATCGTCGCCTTCCTTTGTACTGTTCTGGTGTTGTCAGCGAGTTGGCTTGATATTTACGACTGTACGTCTTCCTTTCCATTCCACCTGTCCCATATTTTATCTCGGCTGGCGCAATAAAAAGGCCTTTGCGAAATGAACTGAAATCCTCAATAGTGTGGGTCCTATGCTCGAATGAACCCAGACTGTCATTGAGGTTTCATACATCTGGTGCACTATACCAGTAACAAAATCCTAGTCACTTAATCTCCGCTGGGATTTCAGGCAAGCGCCACAACATCGGGTCCAATATACCAGTAGCGAAGTCCTAGTCCCTGCATTTCCGCAAGGATTTCACCCAAGCGCCACGATCCCCCCGAACAATGGAATGGTGCCGATAATTCCTCAGGGGCACCTGACCACAACCACGCCACCGACGTCTGGGCAGTCATCAAATCATGCTACCCAATGCCAAGCGCGTGCATTAGCGCCGGTGGGCTTTCTGCCGGGAAAAGGAACAATGCCCCGGAAGATGCAGCGCCAAGCAACGTGGGTGGACGGGATATTCTCCGCATCACGAACTTTGTTGGGCCTTCTTGTACAATCTTAACAAGCTTGGGTTGGCACGGATGCAGTGGCTTCCCCTCTCGCCCCTATATCACTCACCACTTAGCGAGGTCAGACGAACCGCAGTCCTGGTCTAGCCCCTCGCACCATTCCGGATCGGCAAAGGCATGCCTAATCCGTCGCTGTTCTGCAGTGGGGCTCAGGCACCACTGGGGAATGATGGTCTGTGCGGGACAAGAAATTGCCGTGACGGATTTGTCTCCGCGTTTTTTCGGATCTGGGGTCTGGGGTCGCTGTCACTGCTTCCTCCACACTGTGTGTGTGTGTGTCGTCGACAGCGGCTGACGGCCCGAGAGGCCGTCTTCGCGAGCAACGGAGTCGATGTCGCGCGTCCTTGTCATTGTATGTCAGGGGTTGATTTGGGCAAGATGTCTCCTGTCTGTAGGGTATAAGTTGAGGTGGTGAAGCTCGATGGGAAAGGAGGAAGGTCTGCAGCAATCCAGCATCAGCATCGCCGCTTCGAACATCATGAAGCTCACCGTATTGGCACTGCTTCTCTCCCAAGTGTGGGCGGCCCCTCAGGCCAAACGCTCCTCCAATTTTCTCTGTAAGGGCGACCGGCCATCCACAAGTCTCCAGAGACCTATGCTGACTGCAGGTAGGGCTTGGAAGCAATGAATCCGGCGCAGAATTTGGCCAGGCCAACATCCCCGGTGTATTGGGGACTGACTACATCTGGCCTGATGCGAGTAAGATCCAGGTCTTGGTGAATGCGGGCATGAATATCTTCCGCGTTCCGTTCATGATGGAGCGCCTGATTCCGACTTCATTGACCGGAGCGGCGGATGCCACTTACCTGGCGGATCTCAAGGCTGTAGGTCTTGGTATTGTGGTGGAATCATCGACTTCATACTAATCTTCGTGATCAGACTATTGAGTCAATCACCAGCCTCGGAGCCTATGCGGTCGTTGACCCCCATAACTTTGGACGATAGTGAGTAAGCCTTTCCCGATTCTCTCAGAGGTTCTAACCAAGACGTGCGTATGCTAGTTACGGAAACATTATTACGTCTACCTCAGATTTTGCCGCATTCTGGACCACTGTTGCTAAGGTGTTCGCGTCAAACGACCATGTCATTTTCGACACCAGTACGTCTTCTTTTGTCTCTCTGCACATTGCCGGACTAACAACACCACGCAGACAATGAGTACCACGATGAAGACCAAACTCTTGTCTTCGACCTCAATCAGGCAGCGATCACTGCCATTCGTGCTGCCGGCGCGACCAGCCAGTACATCTTCGTGGAGGGCAACTCCTACAGCGGCGCTTGGACCTGGACAACCTACAACACCAACCTGGTCAACCTGACCGACCCCTCGGACAAGATCATCTACGAGATGCACCAGTACCTTGACAGCGATGGCTCCGGCACGAGTTCTGACTGCGTGAGCACCACGATCGGCGCCGAGCGCGTCGCCGCCGCCACCACCTGGCTGCGCCAGAACGGCAAGCGCGCGGTCCTGGGCGAGTTCGCCGGCGGCGCCAACAGCCAGTGTCTGACGGCCGTGACAGGGATGCTGGACGCGCTCAGCGCCGCCAGTGACGTGTGGCTGGGCGCGTTGTGGTGGTCGGCCGGACCCTGGTGGGGCACCTATATCTTCAACATGGAGCCGACGACCGGCACCGCCTACACCTACTATCTGTCCCTGCTGCAAAGATATGTGCCCGGTGGTTCGTCAGGAACCACGACTACCGCTGTTACCACCACTAGCACCAAGGCCTCCACGACGAGCACCACTACTAGCACAAAGACCACCACCACTAGCACCAAGACCACCTCCACTAGCACCAAGACGACTACCACCGCTACCGCTACCTCCACTGCCGTGGCGCCTCTTTACGGCCAGTGCGGTGGTATCGGATGGACTGGGGCGACGAAATGCGCTAGTGGGTCTACTTGCACTAAGCAGAATGACTATTACTCGCAGTGCTTGTAGGCGGGGAGATGGCTGTTGAGGGGATATGTGCATTGGCTCTTTCGCTCAGAATATTTGATATGCTGTCTACTATACTGATAGCTTTTTGGGAATGTGAGGGAACTAGAAATCTGGCCTCTTTTGACATCTTCAGTGCGGACCCGTAAAGGTGGCTTGTGTGACATAAGGTTTTATGTATCCCGGTAGACATCTCCTGAAGTACTATACAAGGCCATTCAAGTATTGCACTAGACCGAATGGAATAGGCCAGCTTGGTGGAAAGTCTCGTTTCTTTCGAAGGAAATGGATGAATCCTGATTGAGCGTGAAAAAGGTGTGGAGCAACCGGGCAACAAGATAGCTGACTTGACAACCGCAAAAGGAAGTCTCCAAATATGATATTCATTCTTGCGAATGACGGAAAGACCTAGAGCAAATTCTGAAACAGTATGAAGGGCGTGTGGTGGGCAGAAAGGAGACAGCAAAGGAGAGAGAGAAAAAAGAACTGCCTCCCTGCCCATTCTACCAACCAAACTTGCCTTCGGAAAGCTTGAAATCATCGTGGAAAGAGACCGCAAGTCACTTGAAGATCATGAGAGCGAGTTCGATTAATGTTGCATGCGCAAAGACCACATCCCTCTCACGCGGGGCTACTGGCTGCCTGCCAATGACCCGGTTGAACTCCAGAACTACCGGTGGTCCCTGAACAGAGGGGGGTGTAGTTCCCACCTTGACCACCGTAGTGGTGATGCGTTGGGGAACAAAGCCAGGTCCGCCGGCGGCGACGCGCGCCCGAGTGCCTGGCTGGCGCTGCGGGAAATACTTCTCTATTGTGAGCGTCTGATCAGACCGTGAGACTTTCAGGAGCGAGACAAGCAATACCCTGCCGCCTGAGTTCGCAATCCACCAGTTAACATCCTGGCGGAGTCGAGGCAAGGACTCGGAGAGCCCGCTTTCTATCACAAAATGGGGCCAGTCGGTGCCGGTGGGTCACAGCAGTCCATTCCTGTACGAAGAGTCTGCTTCCTTCCGAGAAGCCGAGCGCGCCGTGTATCGCCCGGCTCCGGTAGGTTCACGCTCCATGACGCGGACTCCCATGATCGTCAAAGCAGTAACGGTCTCCTCGGCAAAACTGCGGTGCGCCTTCTCATGGTGGAGAGTTGGAATCTTGATCAAAAGGGTCTCAATATCAGGAAAGTAGGTGAGACGAACAGCCGCTCGCAACTGATCGCGACTTTCTTCCAACAAACGGAGATCATCGGCTGACACATGTTTGAATGAGATGTACTGATTGGCGTCGCGCTGCCTTAGTCGGTCCTGAAGAGCAGCGATCTCCCGATTCAGGTCTTGTAATCCTTTGTAAGTCTGTGGTGGATACTGGCCTGTCATGGCCAGCACGGTCGATGGCGGGACGGGGTAGGAGGTGGTTCGCATGGTCGCGGTGCCAGATGAGCGTGAAGATGACAACTCCGTCATCGGCGTCGACTCGTCGTTGCCCGTTGTTGTCGAACGTGAAAGCATCTTGTCTCAAGCTATTGTAAGTTAGCAAGGTTCATCGTGACGTAAGTTTACCTCAAGCCTTCGGAACAGAATAGTAGTGATAACGGGTTATGGAATGATTGGTAGGTTATTGGCGGTGTGACAGTCAAGTAGCCTGAAGATCTTGCTCGTTCACGATCTCGGCCAGGAGCATGGATAGAAAGGAAAGAAAAGACAGTAGATGATGTTCTGGTGGAGGGACTAGGATGTACATCCTCTGTAGACGTCGTCCAGGATGGCGACAAACTGAATGAGACTGACTCTGACCCAGTGAATTGTCCTGGATATAGACTCGGGAGTATTGCTTTGTGTAGAACTTTTCACTGTAACTATATCAATTCACTCATATACTGTTAGTGTCCTCAGACCCTGGAGATACGTGATGTATAGCTATTCACTGAAGCAGGTTGTCTATGTGTTAGGTCTAACACTAATCAGAAAATGAACATTGTTGCATACAGCCACAAACAGCATTATTTCAACAGAAAATGCCAATCTCTAACCTTCCTCATTTCATGTGACCATATACTCCAGGATTGTTATCCTGCCAAGAAGTTCAATCCACCTTACTTCCCAAAGCCTTATTACCTCGAGCGCAAGCCCGATACATCTACCCTCGTCTCCCGTACTCCCGAACGGACATAAAATGCTGATTTGTAGCCTCCAGCTTCAACCTCCAAAGTTCCCAGCGTGGGACCAAAAGAGTTCCCGGACCGGGGCTTTTTCTTAGTTGCACCCGAGTGAGGTTCTGTTCTGGAGCCTGCGAATTTGAGTTGTATTATTGACGTAGTATATGGGCGTCAGTGGGATACTTCGAGCGCTTGTCCCAATTTAAGCTGAAGTCATACAGTATTAGGTACTTTCTACTTTCTTTTTCCGGCATGGGTTGAATATGTTTGAGTTCACATAATGATATGACAGTCAAAAAAAGGATAGGTGGATAATTTGAGATGGCGCAGAGTGACCGCTTCTCGGCCTCAAATTCCATTGCATACATACACGAACAGGCTCAGTATGTGAATATAACAGTCCTGGAAGGACTTGATCGGGAACTTTATCCCTCACGAATAGATTTGGTCTGCCACATAGACCTTGCAACATTGCATCTCTCATCGTCTGTTCCCCTCCTGGGAGTATATATTCTTCATTGTTTCGTCAATTCCCAGGCAAATAGATAATGACGAGGGCTTAGTAGTAGCATGATCTAGCAGCTCATGGCAGTATATCGAGTCTGTGCTCCGTTTATTTGTTTGTTCAGACACTATTTATCTCTTGCTTGCTTTGCGGCTAGGCCTCGAAGAGGTGCATCGTGTGCTGAGCCTGGAGACTGGACTGAGTTCTGAGATTCGAGTTTCTAGGCTGCTATTACCTCAGCAAAAAACTTGAGAATTCTGCTGTTGGTTTATTGTACTTCCTTCACATATACTGGTCGGTATATGGCAATCCCGGGCAATCCCACAATGTTCCTTCCACTGCCCGAGCGCAAACCCACTCCTGTGACAGAGGAATATCATCGTCCCCCCCGCCTTCCTGCCCCGAGGATATAGGCACGTCCGCGCACGCTATGAGTGCCTCCCCACCCATCCCTTCCCCGAAGCCATCGATCTGCCTCGTACCCTGCTGAGCGAGGTGCAGCCGGGACCAAAAGCTGACTTGCCCCAGGGCTGCTGGCAGATAGTCGTCGCGGTTACGAGCGTCGCGGATGTGGCCCTCCCTGGTGTTGACGACCAAGATTCGTTGCAACCCTGGCCAAGGGAGACGATCCGCCACGCCGGAGGGTAGCGCCTCGTCCATGTAGCAATCGGGTCGGGTGAGAACCACATGCGTGAGATGTGACGAGCAATGCAGCAGACACTCTACAAATCCGCCATCCATGCAGGCGTTGTACAGTGCGAGGCGGCGCAGGCGCGGCCAAGTGGGCCATACGGGGGGTTCCTCGATCATCTCCCCCGCTTCTGGATCCTGCGGCAACGACTTCAGGTAGAGCTCGTCCTGGACGGAGCAGAAATCTTCCAGTGCGGGGAGGTGGGCGAACGCGGCGCGGAGGGTCACGCGCAGGCCTTGCACGTCGTCTTCTGGATATAGGGACCGGAGCGGGATGTTAATGATGAGGTTTCGGAGGGTAGCTCCGACCTGTGAGAGCAGTCGTTCAACATGGCGCACTGTGTGGGCGTCTTCGAGCTGATCAGGCGGGAACGGGGCCAGGTACAGCGAGTAAGCCCGGATTTGCGGGCACTGTTGGGCTTGATCGTTGGTGGTGATACTGCTGTTTCCTCTAAAATAACCGCTTTGCTCCAACAGCTGGTCAAGTCGCTCCCGCGAGTCGATGTAAAGGCAGTGCTGGAAGAGCAGTCGTCGCGCGGGGTGGTGAGTGAGCTTGCATGCCAGGGTGAGACTGAGCAAGGTCTGTGTCACAAGGTCACTCCGGGGGTATATCTTGCGTGAAGTAGAGGGGATGAGACAATCAATGATTTGGAGGATCAGTTCGCCGGGAATGGAAGGCATTGTTGTTGTTGTGGTGGTGGCTGGTTTGATATTAAGCTTTCCGCGTATTGAAATAAATCCTTAGGTCTCTAGATGTCTTCTTATCCATCTTTGTAAGTAAGTATGTCTGCTGTCTGATTGGGTTCCTACGCCAGAAATTAACCTATTTGACTTACCCAGGGTTCAATAGATAATGTTCAATGGTAGCGTTGAGGACGGTGGATACAGGCTATCCGAGTAAGGCTGAAGCAGTCGACTGCCAGGCATCCCTTGGTGCCTGAAGGGGTGAGATCTCAAGGCCAATGAATCAAGAATTCTTGACTCGGCTGATTGGTGAAGAGTAAGGTTGTACAGTACTATGAAAAGGTGGAGGATGAATTGAACCTGACGACCAGTGCGTTGAGAGTCACGTGGCAGCTCGCCGCACGGCTAGTTCCAACAAGGGTATATTCAAGGAGCTCTCCATCAGCCCTTGACAGAATCGGTCCATAGAGTGTCTTAGTCTCCAGAATTATATCAGTGATATTTGATCTTCATTACTCGGTTGTGAGGGAACCAAAAAAGCATCGCCATATTTTGCCTCTCGCCCACATTGTCTCCGTCGATATGCTGGAGCTCAATTCTAATGCCGAGATGTTCACTTTCCCCACCCCGAGATTCTTTGGAGTTGGCTTACTCGAGTATCCACTTGTCAAGGCTCTTATCTACCAGTTCGAACACAACCAGCCTACAAGCTGGAGCCTAATTCGTAGCTTAGACGCCTTCTCTCGCTTACAGAGTCGCCAAGACCTTACATCAGTATGCCAAACTTTATCCTTCGGTCGTGCTGGAGTACCGAAGATGATTCATTGTAAAGGGACCGAAATAAGTAGGGGCAAAGCGACAGGTGGATTTGTTCGTGGTCAGGTTTGCTGTTTCCCATTACTCGAATTCTTCTTCCCCTTTGATCACAAGGAAGGGAAAGGTCATTCAGCTGCATTTGGACTCCGTAACGCTCGCTCGGGAGTTCATCAGAAGAGCGACAATCAAACCATACAGGCCTACCCAGTTACATCAACTTCGGTCGCATACCTAACCGGGTCACCACAATGAAGTAAGTCAATCATCACTTACCTAGGACTTCAGCAAAGATCAGAATAAGAATCATGCCGACATAAAGCCGCGGCTGCTGAGCTGTGCCTCTCACGCCCGCGTCGCCGACAATTCCAATCGCAAAGCTAATGAGTGCTTCCGTGTCAGTCCCAACACGCACAAAGAGCGCCAACTCCGCAGAAACATGATTATTGGACACCCTGCTTCACTTACCCTGCAGCTAATCCACACAGCCCAACCGCGAGACCAGCACCCATCTGGAGAAGACTGGTGTAGAAAGCCACTTCTTGAGAGAGGTTGTTGGCGATCAGGACCGAAACCACCAAGCCGTAGATCCCGAGAATACCGGCCATGACGACGGGCACGATGTCTGGGCGCCAATATTAGCAATTGAACAAAAGATTCCTGTCTCGCAGAACTCACTCTTGACTATCAAGTCCGGACGGAGGACTCCCGAGGAGCAAACGCCGACGCCAGCCTTCGCCGTCCCGTAGGCTGCCCCACAGGCAGTGAAGACAATGGCACTGGTGCATCCTAGGGCTCCGAAGAACGGCTATTGTACACAAACAGAGTCAATTCCACTGATTTTGGGCCATGGGCGGATTAAATATGAGGAAAAGGGCGCTTACTGCATAGGTAGGGCTTGCCGGGGTATGTTAGTACTGTTGCCATTAATTTGATCCGGAAAGATCATTCGCATTTGTTTGAGAAGGCCTCACCAAAGTTCTGATGGCATTATGAATAATCTGGTAACCAGGAACAGGCAGTCAAGCTATATTTACTTCAGGCTTGCTAGAATTTGGGTGACTGGAGTTTCCAGTAAGCTAGGGCACCGTACTCAGCTTTATAAAAACGTCAATCGCAGGCTTCCACACTTAATGTTTCAGCCCGCCTCCATTCCATGCAGGCGACCACGACAGTCCCTTCTCCCATTTGACAGGTTCCCTGATTATTGCAGCCTGTTTAGGTTACGTTGTAGTCCAGGTCGAGGGGGGTATATTGATTTAGGACTGATTTCACCAACTAGCTAGGGTAAATAAAGACAGTAACCGGATTCGGATATTGTACTGCACCACCTACTTGGCACTGGGCCACGATGCTCCTTTGTGCCCAGACCAAGTAGCATCAAATGTAGTGGCCGAGGCGCAAGATGACGTGTTTAGCAGGCTAGCGACGCAGGGCCGTATGTTGTCAGTCAACAACACAGGGTACGGAAGCCGCCTTCCTCTTGCCCGGACCACGGCAGAAACGTGGCTGCCTGGTTACTCCTGGACCCTGATGCACACTTCCCCGCAGACCCTTGCTCGATATTTTCCGGACCTGATGAGAATTCATTGAATTTCGCGCAAATGACCTCGCAACACATCTCGCTTGCTAGAAAGAAAATACATTGCGGGAACTCACTGCAACTTATCTCAGGGATTCCCTATCATATCTCTTCCATATATCGTCCGACTAACACGCAATTGTGTTGATTTGAGCGAGCTGCACTTATAGCTGCTTGCACCTCTGGTTTTATCCTTGGTGGAAAAGAATGCTAAGTGTTGCTTCATTATGGCCTTCTAGGGCCTTGCTTGACTCCCGGATCATGTCTAAAAGGTAGAAACAGATATATACAATACCAAGTTCGACCTCAGGTCTCAACGTGGCCATAGGTAATTAACAGTACCTTTATTATCAGCTATTGGATACCCTGCTAAGTGACTAGATTAGAATTTCTCCATCACAGATGTGCCAACCATCCTGATCAACATCAAGAGGGAGGAAAAAATTTGCACATGGCATAACCCCTGCATAGCGTTGTAAAATGGATTGTAGCTTTGAAGAAAGGTGATTGCAAGACAGGACTTTATTATCATGTATGTTATTTTTAATAAAGATCAAGAGGCTCATCGACAATTGTCCCGCGGACATAGAATCAGGACGAATTCAAGTGTGCGTTAATAAACAAGACATATCTACATACGGTGTTCTTGTGATCTCTCTCCTCACAGCCGGGCTTTATCCTCCTCTCGGCCGACAAGGTTAGGGTGCGGGGACCGAACGGGTCGAGTGACAGCATAAAAGGCGAATCCTTGGGACTTGGTTGAGAACTGGAGGATGTTTCAAGAAGGCAGGGATGATCAGCTGGCGCCGCTCGTTTTAAATTACCGGACGGGGAAATCTGGGTTTTCATGACCGAAAGGTGTTGTCTTACCTGAACTTTGGAGCCGACGTGGAAGAATGCAAAGTCACCGGGGACTAGATGGTGAGTGATCCCGGTTGCCTCATCCTGTGGATCATCCATCCTCGTCAGATTTTACTGTCTCCCAGGAACGGGGCAAAGAAACGCGGTTGAGGGAAGGGGGAGGGCAACATACCAAAACATCGATCTGCCCACTCAACACATACTTGGTCTCCTCGAAAGCATAGTGCGCAGGTCGGTGGGGGCCAGCCTCGATCTTGTAGAATCCCGAAGTAAAGTAGGAGGGGGAGTCGGCCGTCTGGGTGCGGATGGAGTGGAAATCGGCTGTCGTGGCGTTCTGGCCCGCGGGGAGAGGGATGAACTCGTGGCCGGCACCCTTGATGACGGTGAGGGGGACAAGCTTGTTCGACACTGCCATTTCTGGGGAGGCTTGAGCATTAGCAAACTATTTGATTGGGGAAGTTCAAGAGCCTTGAAAGTATCATGAGGTCCTGAACCCTTGATAACTATATGTAAGCTTTGGTTTGGTTCGGGAGCAGTTCCCGCAGTGGAGGTGGACAGGGCTCGGTTGCAGCCGCCGAGCGGGCGGATCTCTCGGATGTGTAGCCCGGCCGACAACTATACCTTTTATGATCATGCAGCAGTGTATGTGAGGTCCGAAGAAGACGGACTGTGGTGGCTGTCTAGTCTTTTGCCATGTAAGTGGAGTTGTGTCGGCATGGGATGTCAACAGTCAGTCTCGGAGAAGAAACCTGGGCAGCAAAGTGTGCTGAACCTACTGTTGTTCAGCTTCAGATCGAGATTTTTCTTTTGCCGCACATCTGCAATTACGAGGTTTACGAGGTGGTGCAACTGGGTTGGGGAGAAATGTCAAACGAGGGGACAAACAGTAGAAAATCGAGCGGCCAATGAGACGAAATACTGAATCAAGCAGGATAGACAACCCTAATTCGACTTGCCGGTGCTCTTCCATTTGTCACGCTGCCCGCCCCTCCCGATAGACTAGGACCCACGTCATATAAGATGCTTGCTTCAATACTAACGTTATACACAACTTACCTAACGGGGACAATGACATGAAAGGCTGTCAGGCAGGAAAATCAGGGGTTATGGTAAGCGGTATTGGTGGGCCTAGTCCGTTTTGACTGCCATGCCGATGTGAAACACGCGGCGTTGGCTATGTAACGTCAGAGGTAAACAATGAAGAGCAAACGAAGGAGACTTCACACAGAAGGCATCATGTATATGACCCCAAGCCTCTACCCGCCGATATGCATGGCCATTTCTTTCTACGTGAACGCCGGACTCTCCTTCTAAGTCACTTTACCAGCATCCTCCAAGTGACAGAATCCCGCCAACCATCTTTTGGGGCCAGTTTCTGAAAAGAGAGTGAACAAAAGCAGAACGTCAGCGTGAAAGTATGTCGGAGACAGCCGAGCCCACCCCGGAGCTACGCATTACCGACGAATGGCCATGGGACACGAGCTGTGCTCAGTTCATGGCTGTGAAGCTGCCAGATGAGGCGTACAGGGCCGTGGTCCGCGATTGGATGTCTTTAGTCGAGGGCGCCATGAGACTGTGGGTTGACGAGCGGCAGCAGCAGCCCGACCTTCTCGATAAGCGCATGGCGCTGATGGTACTCTACCCCGGCCGCCGCGTTCACTTCCTGGTCGAGCCCATGCCAAACATAGTACCTATCCTATTCCGTTATAATGGCCGCCGGGAGTTCCGCTTGGACGAGGACGACATCGACAACTGCAAAGCGGCGTGGCTCACCGTGGCTCGTTTTGTTATGAACGGCGAAGGCGAGATCGTCTGAGGAGCTGTGGACTGGACAGTTTGTTAAAGGTGTGTGTGGTGGCTGTTGGATGCAGAAGAAGAAGAATGAAAGCGTAGCTAGCGATGCAAGCCAATGGTATCTTGTGCTGGTCTGATTCCTTGTGGTAGTTTGTACAGCTCGTACAGTCGAGCTCTACCACTCATATTCTCTCCCCGTCTAGGTAAACCAGTTATAGAATAGTCCTTCTTTGTATGATTATTGGAGTGACAGTATTCAATATGATGGCTGGTATCATGAAACTGCAGAGGCAGCTGGCTGCAAGGGGTCGCAAGCCATTACTCGCCAAGTTACCACCAAGACAGCAACAGATTCGGTTCTGTCGCAGCGTATAGTCTCATCTCATCGATCTGAGTACAAGACCATCTCTTCAATCATTGTTTGTACCATACCGGAAAGATCGAGGTAAAATCAGTCACCGCAGCGCGGACCCAGAACGCGGCGACCCAAGACGGAGCGGCGTATGAAGTGGGTCGATCAGTCTTCGCGGTTCGAGGTATATATCCTGATATCTTCAAGTACAATGAGAAGAAACAGAGAAAAGTGAGCCGCCCCCACTGATAAAATATCTTCCTGTTCTCTTGTTCTTACTATTTTCCATTCCCGACTTCCAATTCACCCACACCAAACGTCATCCCACGCTTCAACTTCAGAAACACACACCATGACCTCCAACCCAGGCCCCAACAATCCTCCTCCAGAAGCCCCCAACCCAGACAACAATGACGCTCAACAACTGTCCGACCTCGTACCCCGACCCATGGCCATGGCGACGCAGGCCATCCACGCCGACGACAAATTCAGCGCGCACCGCGCCATCGCCCCCCCGATGCACGTAGCCGTGACCTACCGGTACGCGCGCGACCCGGCGCACCTCATCCCAATGGAGAACAAAGACGTGTGTATTCCCTTCCCTACCTACCAATTCCATATCCCACCGTATCCCCCCCCTAACACCACGGAAAAACAGCCGAACGCCCCGCACGACTCCCACATCTACGCCCGCTACTCCGCCCCAAACACGACGCGCCTCGAGCACGTCCTCCAACACATCTTCCACCCCTCCGCCGGGATCCTCACCTACAGCACGGGGCTGGCCGCCTTCCACGCGATCCTAGTCCTCCTGCAGCCCGCCCGGATCTTCATCGGCGAGGGCTACCACGGGGTCCATGCGGTGATCGACCTCGTCTCGCGCCTGACCGATGGCCGAAAGTGCCAGAAGCTCCCGCTGAGCCAGCTTGACCACGATGATATCCTCCAGCCGGGGGACATCATTCACGTGGAGACGCCGGTCAATCCGACGGGCGAGGCGCGCGATCTAGTGGCGTACGCGGCGCGGGCCCGCGCCACCGGCGCGTACCTGACGGTCGACTCGACGCTGGCGCCGCCGCCGTTGCAGGATGCGATTGCCCTTGGGGCGGATATTGTCATGCATAGTGCGACGAAGTATTTGGGGGGGCATTCGGATATGTTGGGGGGGGTGTTGGTGGTGCATCCGGAGCGGGTGGCTGAGGGGTGGATGGAGCGGTTGGAGGCGGAGCGGATGGTGCTTGGGGCGGTTATGGGGAGCTTGGAGGGGTGGTTGGGGTTGCGGTCGGTCAGGACGTTGGGGTTGCGCGTGCGTAGGCAGGCGGAGACCGCGGAGAGGTTGGTGGCGTGGTTGGCTGGGGAGGTGCAACACGGTTCCGGGGTGGTTGGGCAGGTCGTGCGGAGTGTGCGGCATGCGTCGCTGCAGGTGGAGGATTTGGGGGGTGAGGATGGGTGGTTGAGGCGCCAGATGCCCGCTGGGTTCGGGCCCGTGTTTGCCATCTGCGCCCGCACACGGGAGTTGGCCAGGCGGTTGCCGTCGAAGATGTGTGTGTTTCAGCATGCCACGAGTCTGGGCGATGTGGAGAGCTTGATTGAGTGGAGGGCGATGAGCGATAGTCGTTGTGATGAGCGGCTGCTGCGCGTGAGTTGTGGCTTGGAGGATGTCGAGGACTTGAAGCACGATTTCGTGCAGGCTTGTTGCGCTGTTCTGTCCGAGGCCGGTGCGGATGGTTGTGTGGAAATCTAAGGCGGTCTCTTCCGGTTCTGGGAAGCTTGATTATTGTTAATGATGTTTATCTTGTTTATTTTTGCCCGGATGCTCTAGTATGCTTGCGAAGGTTTCTGGTAGAAACTAAACTGTACACTGACCGATTCCTCTACTCTCGATGTTCAGCATATTGGTAACTCTCGTAGATGCATGCAGCAGAGAGCCATTTATCCCTAAGTGGATTCATGTGTAAACCTTAACATTGGCGAATAGACCTCGCGTTGCAGTATATACAAGAGGCCCTCCCGGTAGCCCTAATCACAGCACAGCACAGTGCAGGAGCGCGGCCAGCGGGGAGCGGCCCCACAGTCCACTCAATGAACAATACCAGCAGCCAGCACTATTGGATGGGTTGAGCCTAAACCCGGACAGCTTTTACTCTGAAAATCAATATCCTTCTCTCATACAAAGATAGAAGACAAGAACAAAGCACATAATTACAATTCCCCTCCACACACCGAACGATACGCGCCCTGCACCTCGACCCCCATCCCCCCCACCCCCTCAAACGCGACCGTCAACCGCATCGCCCCGAGAATCGACTCCACTCCCTGCCGCAGCTCGCGCAGCAGCCGCTCCACATCCTGGACCTCGGCTCCCGGCTCCAGCAGGTGCGGAAGCAGGTGGGCGTACGTCCCCAGAGCGACCTGCAGCTCCTCCCCCGTCAATCCGAGCGCCATCCGAAGCTGACGGTAAGTCATGAGCAGGACATAGGAGGCCTGCATCGCGCCGCAGAGGAAAAACGGGATGATGTGCGTTCGCTGTGGAAGTTGCGCTGCACCGGGAAGAAAAAATCCCTCTGTGGGGGGGGCAGGTGCTGCTCCGATCGCTTGGGGGTGAGATGCTCCGTTGCGTGAGCCGCCTTCGGATGCAATCGCTGCGATCCTTTCGTATGCGCGCGCCATGGCCAGGGCGGCTTTCAGACAGATTAGGGAGGACTGCGCTTCTGTGGATGGGAAGGCAGCGGAGGCGAGGATCTGCTCTTCGGGTATTGACTGACGCGGCCGGGTGGGGTCTGAGTGGGTGGGGAGGTTGCAGTGTTTGGAGAAGAATATGGGGGCTATGTTGCTGAAGGCGTGAAAGCGGTGGAGGCGCACGCGGGCTCTATCAAGAGAGTTTAGGTAGTTTGTTAGTCATTTTGGCTGGCGAAGAGGTGTGGGAGTCGGGGATTATTACGAATAGGCCAATGACTGGGCGATCGCCCACGTTGTTAAGAGTGCCTGTTCTTCGACACCGGCCCTGGATGCAGGTCGCGGTGACCGGTCGAGCTTGCGCGTTAATTCCAGGATGTTCGCGTCAAGCTGTGTAATTTCAGCCTTGAGGGAAGGAGACGGGGCTGCTGGCACATTAGGGCTGTGCTGGTTATACAAGGTCTGCGAGACTGATAGGATGATAGCTTCGGCTTGGAGTAGAAGGGGCCATGGCTAGGTATAAAAGTCAGGTGTCGGAATGAATAGACTCTGAGTGGCACTGTCGTACCTCCGAGTGGTTGTGGATGGCAGGATATGGAGTTGTGATCCTCGGGTCGTCAAGGGTGATGAGAGGTAACTGAAGTTTACCACGGGTCACCAAAAGTAGGGAGAGACGGTTGATGGAAGTGGAGAATTTCCTAATAGCAGGATAATACTTACTACGTCTTGGTCGATGGACGATAGATATAGAATGAGCATCTGCAGAATCGATCAGAGTCACACATCAGAGCCTTGTCCTGGGCAAAACACACCGCACCCCACCACGCTCGGCGCTGTGCCTCGGTTGCCGCAGCACCCAGGCTATGCAAGCGGAGATCCATGGCGGTTGTGATCGCCTGGTTAGCGCGACGCCGCATGCGAGACACGTTCCCCCGCTGGCAGTATTCATGAATACTCAGTAGTATCAGGGCCAGGACGGAAGACACTGGCGAGATGTCGTTGTTACCGGTACCGGGTCCTGCGAAGATAGTTGTGTCGGCCGGTGTATGAGCCATCGCATCGGTCCCGTCGTCCACTGCACGAAACGCCGCTTCTGCGAAATGCTGTGCCGCCGACCGTCTCAACGAGAGACTCGATTCTGCACTCGGGTCGGAACCCTGGGGCAGAGGAATGGATACCAGAATGGCTGCGATAGCCAGGGTCAGTGCGGAAGCCGGCCAGTGTAGAAAAGAGGATTCTTGGATAGACCGGACTTGGCCCGGCGCAAATCGAACAGCTGACGGCCGGTCATCAGGTTGCGGTGTGAGAGGAGGCGGAAGAATCGGCAAGAATGGATGAATGTGTACGTAGTAAGCATTCAGTCTATAGCCGGGGTCAGTCACCATGAACGAACATGATCCTGACGGCACTCAACTCCGAAGCAGTACCTTATGACTGCTGCTCGGGTACTGATACTTACAGGTCCTCATCGGATGCATATGCGCGCAGAACCACTAGAGGACTCGTGCCAATCACATCTCCCATGGGATCACAAGCATTAATGTCCGGGCCTTCTGCCGCTGGCACTCCGCTCCAATCATCATATCTCGATCCATCGATCTCATTCACATCCAGATTGCGAATCCCACCAAGAGGGTGGAGTAGATTGAAGATGTTCGCTAGGTCTTCTTCCTCTCCTATCACATTATTTGGAGCGGAGACTGGAAATGGGTGCTGGCCGATGGACACAGCTGGAAAGGTAGGGTTGTGGACTGGCGCTGGAGCCTCGGTGACCGGCGACTTGGTCGCACCACCGCGACGGATCCCGCCCCGACGGCTGGGGCGATAGACACAATTCAATCCTCTGTAAGAACACTACTGACGACGTCATTGACCATCCCAGTGGGGATATCTACCACGCGCTCAGTGAAGCATCAAGAGGAGTCTTACTCTGCTACATGGATTCCGCCCGTCGCATCGAATCTTACGCGCGCGACTTGACACCCGCAGCAGTTAATTTTCCCACGCGTGTCGTTCCAATACGGGAAGGATGACTGACCAGGCAAGACAGGCGGCTCGACTGGGAGCTCTATGACCGGAATGCATGTCGGAAGAAAGGCCAGATGCCACTGGCTGCGAGGATCTTTTGCAAAATAGGAATTGAGTGAAAGCAATGTCCGTTGGAGCATTATTTTTCAATTTGATAGAGGAAAGAAGTGACGAGTTTGATGATGTCACTCTGGTAAGTCGGTACGGTACGTACCGGGGACTCGGTGCAAAACGCGGCGACCCAGATATGAGGGCGGCGACTGAAGAATTCAAACGCCGCTCCAACTATTCCCAGCAGCTCTACGTACTGCACTACCACAACCCCGGTGATGGAGGTTTCCTGTTCTTTTCCAAGCATCACGGAGATTGAGGGTCAGGTCGATGTGGAATGATAGCTGTCCTTGAGGGACGGAAGTGCACACTGTGGGAGCAGCGTCCTGGGGGAGAACCCCCAGACCCCCCTTCTTTTCATCTCCCCAAACATAGCAAGACGCCACCAAAGATTCCCCTCGCGGGAAATCTTCGGTAACCATCCCGACTATACAGTCTACGCCTACCAGGAAGCTGAAAGAAAGGGGGGTCTGGGGGTTCTCCCCCAGAACGCCACCGCCAACCAGCACCCAAGCACAAGCACACACATATCACATCATATTCATTGACTTTTGACAACGCATAGACCACCCAGCTGATTGCACCCTGAACCATCTCAACATGTCATGCAAATGTAGTCTAAACGCCCCTCTCCTCCAACACCCGCCGCAACACCAGCTGCAGCCCATTCACATACCGCGCGCCCAGCATATCGGCATGGCGGCCCTCGCACTGGTGCAACGCCATGCCCCGCTGCGACAACCCCTGCCACTGGCCCAGATACCGCTCGATCCAGACCCCCCGGTCATCCGTGACCGTGAGCAGCGGATCGACGGCGAACACATCCACAGGCGCGCCCGCCACGCTCCCGGCCGGGGTATACTCGCCCGCGGCGCGGGAGAAACCCGCCGTCACGTCGGTGACATGCCTGAGCTCCTCCCGATCCAACCGTAACGCCTTCACGCGATTTGGGTCTGCCTCCCGCAGGACCACATCCAACGCGAGCTCGCGATCTACATCGCGTAACTGCGGCATCAACGCCACGCACCGCGTTTCGGAGATGAGCTCGTAAAAGTACCCGATCATGACCAGCGCCTCGGTCCAGGTGAGCTGGCCCACGAGCGGCGCGATGTCCGGGGGTCCGTCTAGTGCGCCTAGGAAACGGACTTCTGCGCCGGTAGCCTCGAGGCGTTTGGCGATCTCGAAGGCGATGCTGCTGCCTAGCGAGTAGCCGGCGAGTGCGTAGGGGCCCGAGGGCTGCGTGCGTTGCATCGCTGCTGCGTAGGTGGAGGCCATCTCGGCGATGCTGGTGAAGAGGGGCTCACCGGATTGGACGCCGCGGGATCGGAAGGCGTAGATGGGTCGGTCGTGGAAGGCTCGTGCTAGATTAGCGAAGATGAGGACGTTGCCTGAGGCGGGGTGGACGAGCCATAGTGGGGTTTTGGGGCCGGTAAGTTGCAGGGGGACGACGGGGTCGTATTCGGTGGGGTTGTCTGGTTGTAGGGAGGGGGAGAGAGAGGGGGAGTGGTGTTGGGAGTTAGGGCTGGGTTGTTGTTGTTGCTGCTTGGAGGCCAGGCGGCGGGCGAGACCGGCAACGGTCGGGTCCCTGAGAAGGTCCGGGAGGGTGAAGACCACTCCAAAGGTTTGGTGCAAATCCTGCGTGACGGTGTAGAAGTCGAGCGAAGAGAGGCCCAGGCTGAAGAGGTTGGTGGTCACGCTGACGGAGTCGGGGTCGGCCGCGTGGAGGCGCGCGCAGATGAGGGTGAGGATCGTTTGCTCGGTGGGCGAGGAGGGGGCCTGCCGGTGCGCTTGGCGGTGCGCATGGATGCTGCTCTCGTGCGCTTTGCGTTCGGAGTCCAGGGCGCCAGACTCAAAGAGGCGCCGGAAGTGCGCTCGGGAGAGCTTGCCAAGTGAGGTCTTTTCGAAATGGCTGCGTGGTAGGGGGAGCACCGCGGCGGGTTTGACGTGCACGACCAGACTGGCGATCCGCTCGATAGCTTCGGTGGTGGCGACGCGGGCCGCGGCGTCGTCTGGGCTGTAGCTGGGCAGGTACACTACGCAGTAGGACTCGGTTAGGGCACCGGGGGGCCGGTGAGCGAAGACGAGCGTGAAGCTCGGGGTCAGACCGGGGATCCGTGCCTGCTCAAGGCTATGCTCGACCTCGACAGCGAAGATGGTCAGCCCGTTGAGCAGGAGCGTGTCTTTGGTGCGGCCCGTGATGTACAGCTGGCCGTGCGCATCCAGGTAGGCGTTGTCCCCTGTGATGAACCAGCCGTCGGACGTGAAAGCCCCACGCGTGGCGGCCGCATCGCGGTAGTATCGGTCGAACAGCACGGCTCCGCGCAGCTGCAACATCCCTTCCTCGCCCGCGGCCGCCTCGCTCTCGTCGCGCTCCCGCAGCACGCGCATCTTCACCCCGGGGATGGGCAGGCCGCAGCACATGAACTCGCCCGCCGCGTCATGAAGGCCGTCCACGGTGTGGTCGACCAGGTCCCAGACCATGCCCGCGCACGACTCGGTCAAGCCGTAGCCCGCGCGGATGAAGGGCCGGGCGCCGTAGGGCTGGAGTGCCCGGAGGAGCTGCACCGCCATTTGCCGCACAGTGGCCTCGCCGCCAGAAAAGACACAGCGCAGACACGAGAGGTCCCAGCTTGGGGCGGGCTGGGCCTCCTGCTCCGGTGTGGGATGACAGACGCGCTCGCACAGCAGGGCCAGGAAGAAGTTGGGGGCAAAGCTGAGGGAGACGCGATGGCGATCGACCAAGTCGAGGAAGCGGCGCGGCTCGGCCACTACCAGCTCAGTAGCCACCTGGATCTGCTCTGCCCCCAGCCGCATGGCGTGGAGGTGCATCTCGACCAGGTTGACGACGTGGTCGAGCGCGATCCAGCTGAGGAAGACGTCCTGAGAGGTCGCTCCGCAGTGTGCGGCTTTCCCGGCGGCTGCGGCCAGCATCTGCGGCTGCCGGAGACACACGGCTTTGGAGAAACCGGTGCTGCCTGAGGTGAGCATCAGGGCTCCGAGATCGTCGGCCCGTTGGTTGCGATCGACTGGGAGCGGAGTGGTGGCTGCCGTGGTGGCCAGTCTGCTGGTCAGTGCGGTTTGCTGATCGACCCGATACAAACGCGGGGTGTCGATGCCCTGAAAGGCGCACGCCATGCGGCCATTGGTGAGCACCACCGGCCCATCCAGCAGCCGGAGGATGTGTTCGGCCTGCGCGATGCGACGGTCGGTCGAAACCGCGAACTTGGGAACAATACACGGCAAATAGCCCGCGACTGTGCACGCCCAGAACCAGCGGATATTTTCCTCGTGGGTGTCGAAATGCAGCAGGAAGACCGTGTCCCGCTGCAGGTTCGACACCGAGGTCTGCAGCCACTGCGCATCATGGCAGGCCTGTATGAGCAGCTGCTGGTAGGAAAACCACTCTGCCGACTCTGCAGTAGAACCTGAGGTCTTGTAAAAGGTGATACCTGCAGAGGTGGTTGCAGCTCGCTGCAGAAGCTCGAGCAGGCTGGTGGCCTCGCGTGGGGGCAGGGTATCACGGACGACTTCCGCAGTGCAGCTCCGAACCTGGTCTTTGCTCAACCCCAAGCCGGCAGGTGAAGGACTAGGGTGCAGTAACATGGTGAGAGCGAGGGATTCTCGGCGACGATTATAGAAAAAGTCCCATAGCGCTCGAGTGCATTCTTATGAGCTGGCTGCAGAGCTAAGCACTGTGTCGCAGATTGGCGAGGCTTGTCTACGCTTGTCTACGCTTCTCTACTCGGACGAGGCATTCTGGCGCGGGGGACCAACAATCACGGACTCTACGGACAAATCTCACTCGTGCAGGATTGATTAGTGCCGGATTAGGGCCGACGCGATGCAGGGGCGGAAAAGTGGGCCACTGTATTGGTCAGGTCTTGTCTGGTCTTGCCAAACTCCGACCCTTCCCCTCTTTTTCTATTCTCTTCACCAGGGAGAGATTGGTGATAAGTGGTAATTGCAACTAGTGTGCAGTCCAGCACAGTATCCCTGTCACCAGGATCAATCTGGCCACCATCAGGAGGCAGTGAGGGTTATTTATCAGCGACAGAGTACCTCCTCGCTGACAATGGGCTTTGTTGGGTTGTTGAGAGGATCTTGATGATCTGACGGATTGTCGTCCTATCCCTATCCCCTTCTATTCTGATTGTCTTGTCTTTTATCTACGATTCGATCACCGTCACCATGTCGGAGACGATGTCCTCGTCGTCCTCCTCCACCACTTCGACGCTAACCGCGGCGGAGCTGGCGGAGTGGTCGCAGTCCCTCCAGCCGGTGGTGTTGGGCCTCAGTGTCACCATGCTGGTGCTTGGCAATCTGGGCGTGATGCTGCGTATCTGGGCCCAATGGCGCATCCAGAAACGCCCCATGCAGGAGGACTATTGGCTGGTCGTGGGTGTCGTACGTTCTTTTGCCGTCGTCTTCTGCATCCACGCACTCGACCGCGTCACTGACCTTGCCCCTCTTCTCTGCCTCTAGCTCTTCGCCAATGTGGTCTCCGTCGCCACCATAGTTGCGGTGCACTATGGACTGGGATACCACCTCTTCCGCGTCAACTCGCAGGATCCGTCGCTACATGCCCTGAAGTGGATCTTCCTGTGCGTGTGGCTCACAGCCACCTTCAACGGGCCCTCGATGCTGGCCACCAAGATCGCCCTGCTGCTCTACTACCGCCGGCTGTTCATCGTGCAGCAGATTTGGCTGCGTATCTTCTGGTGGACGAACATGGTATACGTGGTGCTGTGGGCCATCGGCTCGACCATCTCGTACGCGCTCTCGTGCGTGCCGGCCAGCTACTACTGGGAGCGCTTCGACCCGCAGTCGACCCTCAAGGGCAGCTGCCACAACACCACCACCGCCGACGGCCTGCCGCTGATTCTGGACCTGGTCTCCGATGTCGCAATCTTGGTGCTGCCCATTGCCACCATCGCCACCCTGCAGATGCCACTGGCCCGCAAAACAGGGCTTATCATCGTGTTCTCGGTCGGATTCCTGTACGTACCCTCCCCTCCCTCCGCCAGAAATTCCCTGCGTCTCCTTGTATGCAAAGCCCTAATAACCCTGTCCACAGCGCCGTCGTATCCGCCATCGCCCGCGTCGCCGTCCTCTACACCGCCACGAACCTGCACTCGGACTTCACCTACGCGGCCGCGCCTTTCGAGCTGCTGGACGTGATCCAGCTCAACGTGGCCATCGTGTGCGCGGCCGCCGTGCCCATCGCCTCGGGCTTCCGCGTGGCTTTCAGCAAGAAGTTCCGCCGCTCCAACAAGAGCTGGACGGCCGGCGCGCCGGGCGGGAATACCTACTACAGCCGCGCCTCGACGGCGGCGGCCGCGCGGGCCGCGCGCCGGCGGCTCGAGGACGAGGCCAGCAGCAGCACCGAGCAGCTGCAGATGGGCCATTTCACCACCACCAGCTGTGCCTCCAAGGACCCCGAAGACCGGGCACGGGGGGCAACGGCAGGCCTGGTGTCAGCGAATGGGATTCTGGTGAAGATGGATGTGGATATCCGGTAGTCCCTTCGGGTATGTACAGTACATCAAAAATAGGGACAGGCAGTGACTGCGTATTGTCTGGGGAGCGGAAAAGAAGGGGGGACTGGGGGTTCTCCCCCCGGATGCCACTGTTCTTTGAGACTTGGGGGTAGGCGTTCTGGGGGAGAACCCCCAGACCCCCCTTTCCTTTCACCTCCCTGGCCAAACGCAACAACCCTAATGCTCATACTCATGCTCAAACTCATATCTCATGATCCCGTACCTCCAATCCCCGATCCCCATCCACCCATAAAATCAACTCACAGCACCCGGGTAGCACACCACCAAACCACGCGGGCATTATCATCCACAAAGCTCATATTGCGCATCTTCGCCGTAGTCTCGCCCACCTCCAACTCCGCCCGCACCTCCCACTTCATCCCCGTCCTGCCCTCCACCTCGCGCCACAGCCCCAACAAACTCGCCACGTCATGCCGATAATGCATCGTCTGATCCATCAACCCCTTCAGCTCATAAACCCCGGCCACCGTACTCCCCATCTGCCGCCCACACACGATCGTCCCCACCTCACCCCTCGTCAAATCAATCAACCGCATCACCCCGCGGACCTGGCCCTCATAATCCCAGAAATGCAGCAGCGAGCCCGCCCACACAACATCCACCTTCCCCTTGACGGTACTCATGATCTCCCCGCGCGCCCACTCCCCCTCATCCTCGACCCCGAAATCCCCGCCCACAAACGTCGCAGGAAATGTTTGGGCGTCGTCGCGGAAGAGCTTGTAGCCCAGGTCGAAGAACCCCGGCTCTAAATCGAAGCCGTACAGCTGGGATGCCGGGATCGAGGCGGAGTGCACCAGGTGCCGCAGCTCTTGGCCGACGCAGCACCCCGCGTCTAGGAAGCCGTGGGCCGGGGAGGCGCGCAGCCGCGCCAGGACTTGCGGGTAGAACGGGAGACGCGCCAGGTGGCAGCTGAGGAAGCGCATTTGGCCGATGCAGGGGTATGGGAAGATGTTGAAGGCTTCGTCTCTCTGTTCAGTTCCTTTAGTTACCATGACTGGCTTTTGGTTGGCGCCAGGGGAGGAGGGGATGTCTCTGTGTGAAACATTGCGTGAAAGGGGAGATAGTGTTTGGGGCTTGGGGATACGGAAGGATGTGCTTACCAGGGCTAAGACATGAGGAAGGACCTCGTCGGGCTTGAGCCCGCTGTACTCCTCCAGCAGGGACTGCGCGGCGGGGTCGATGGCCGTGACGCTGGTTTGGTACCAGCCTGGTCTGGTGGTGGTTGCGGTGTGGTCGGTGTCGGTGGTGGTGGACATGGTGGCTGGTCTTGGCTGATGGATGGATGGGCTAGAGAAATGAACCAGGACAGGAGTTAAATTGTGTATTTTCCGGCTACATATTGCCAAGGGAAGGATGCTCCTGAATCAAAAACCAAACCAAAATGCCTCACTGTTCACTGAACCAAGGAGGGGTAACATGCAACTAAGCCTACTAGTGCTGACGGGAGAGCATTTAGCGCCTGAAGCTTAGCCCTAGCTTGCTCCTGCACCTAATGCACGCCACTCCGACACCGCACAACTACTCCGGAGTACTGTACTACCTTTTCACGAACTTAACTACTAGCTACTTTACTAACGTTACAGCGTAGTGATTCCCTCCGGCCTCCGTCGGATACCCGCCAACAAGTCATGTCCGATTGTATTAAGCATCCTTAGATTACACCGTATTCGGCCTCCGTTTCCGTACTCCGTACCAGAACACCCCTGCTACAATTCCCCCGTAGCAGAGCTACTAGGACTATCATCCCAGACAACCTCCACCACCGCCAACGCGCTTCCCTCCACCCGCCGGACCCCAACCCACCGAAACCGCTCGTCCGCCTCCCGCAGCAATGCGCGCCACTGCCCCTCGTCCCTCTCGCGCGCGTTGAGCAACTGCAGCATGTTCAGATCCATCGCGCTGGTAAGCCGCCGCTTCCACATCGGCTCCTGCGCCGGGTACTGCTCGAGCACGTGGTCGTGGATGAGCACACGCGCCCCGGGCTGCAGCGCCGGCCGCAGCTGTTGTAGGATCTGGACAGCGTGGCGGTCGCCCCAGTTGTGGAGGATATGACGGAGATAGTAGATCTGCGCTGTGGGGGTGGTGGGCGGTTGCGGGGTGAAGAAGTCATGCGCTTGAAAGTCCACTCTCCCGGTGGTTGCTCCTGATGCTGCTGCTGCTGCTGCGGTCGATGGCTGCTCCTTCGCGCGAGCAATCACGCCCGGCAGATCCTGCACCACGAAGCGCAGGCGCGGGAACGCGGCTGCCAGCGCGAAGCTGATGTCGCCCTGGGCGCCGCCGACGTCCACGACCACGCTGTCCGCCGGGAGGGCGGCGAGCAGCGGGCGGACCGCCGCGATCAGCGGCGCCGGGCCCATGGCCGCCCCCGACGCGTAGCCGCGCTTGCTGGCGGCGAAGGTGGCGGCGCGGGCGGGCGACTGCGCGAGCGCCTCGTACAGCGCGCGCCCGTTGTTGGCGAGCGCGAAACCCTAGTCCATCCCGTGTCAGTTTGGGGGGCGCGGATCTCTAGGCGGTGTGTTTGCGAAGCTGAAAAGAAGGGGGGTCTGGGGGTTCTCCCCCAGGACGCTGCTGGTCTGGAGACCTGGGGGAGAACCCCCAGACCCCCCTTTTCTTTCAGCTTCCTGGACGAGACGTCCCCGTACGTGACATGATCTGGAAGAAGTGGGAAAAGGGGGTCTGGGGGTCTCCCCCAGACGGGGCTGGGCATCTACTAACCGACTCATGTGGCTCCTCGGAGCCGGGAAAGCGCTGTAATGCTTCGATCGTCTATGTTAAACACACCCTGGTTAGCCGAGATGAGCAGCCGTGTTGCGCTAGCCGGGGTGGGAGGGGGCCACTATATACCCTGGTCGCGCCGGGCCAGCTATTCGCGCAGGTCGAGCCAATCCAACCGTGGAACCCTTCCTGGCGCAGCAGCATGCTGGCGCGCGTGTGCGCGACTTCGTTCTCGGCGGGCTCGTCGAAGACGCGGATCGTCATCGCGTGGCGGAGGAGGCGCCGCACGTCCGCTTCGGGGACGTCGCATTGCGCGGATAGGGCTGCAAAGGAGAGCGTGCCAGTGGGAGGGACTAGGTGCGCGATGTTGAATTGTTGGATGAAGTGCAGGGCGATGAGGTGGGCGTGCTTGATTTTCTTATATTAGTTGTTGCAGTAGAGGTGATAAGAGAGGGAGGGGGAGGGGTCGCGTACAATGGCATAGGAACGCAGCAGATCGGCCGGGTCGAGCAGCAGATCCTGGATCTCGCACGCAGCGTGCAGGAGGGCGTTGCGCGCGGCCTCGACGGGCGGGGGCAGCGCCAGCGATGGAGGGCAAGTGGCTGCAAACGAGGGCTCGTCAATCTCGTGCTGCGCTAGCAGGGTTTGTAACTGCTGGGCCGAGTCGGCAATGGCCGTGGCCAGGGATTCGATGCGCGAGGCCATGGTAAATGGCTAAATGGTAAAGGGGGTGGGAAAGGTGGGAAGGTGGTGCAGGTGGTCGGGGAGATTAGTTCCAGCCGGACTGCGCATCTGATACCTTGCTGGCCGGTTTTTCTACAGGGGTGCTCGAGGGGAAATGCCAGATTGCATGACCAACAGAAGCATCTGGCCCCCGCTAACGGGCTTAGTGCATGCAGCTTACATTAAGTGCTAGACTAGAGTCGAGGGCTTGGCTGCACGCGTGTGCCGGTGTTCCGGGAGTGCGTATTAACTACTCCTATTTACAGTACATGATGAGTATGCCTTGTACAAGATAGCGATGTGCCAGTTTGCTCTTCACTTTTCCATTGCCACGAATATCTTTCAGGGAAATGTAGGTCAGACGGCGGCCACCACCGCACCGACCAGGGCCAATGCGCCGGCCAGATAACTGCCCGCGGCCATCTTGTGGCCCGCCCCAGTCGACGTCTCGCTAGCGGCGGTGCCGGTGCTGGTGCCGGTGCTCGTGCCTGTGCTCGTGCTCGTGGTGGAGTTGGATCCGCTCGAGCTGGAGCTGGTGTCGTTGCTCGCCGCCGTGACGCGGAAGTAGTTGGCCGCAACTGGCTTACCCAGCCCGGTCTGGTTGAGGAAGCTCTCCAGCGGCAGGTTCAACCGGTTCAAGGGAGTCTCGGCAGTGGTCTGCATGAAGGACTCGTAGCGGCTGGAGACGCTGAAGTTGGCGGGCTGGTCGAACAGGAACAGGGTGTAGTTGTGCGTGCCGGACTTGGGCTGCGGGGCGATGTACGAGGCCAGCACGTTCGCATCGCTCGTGCTGTTGACGGCGGTGGTCAGGTTGGCCACAACCGTATGCACGATTACCGAGGGGGGTGTGGTTTTGTTCCAGTCCGGGTCGACCATGAGCAGCAGGTAGGGTCCCGAGCTGCTCAGCCCCAAGTCGTGGAGACGTGGCTCCGGCGCGCTCTTGGTGACTATACATGGTGCATTGGTCAGCGAGACAGTCTGAAAGGGGGATTGGTCGTGCATACCGGTCGTGTTTAGGAACTCGCCAGGGGTGAAGCTGACTGCAGCCGACCCCACGGAGTAGGTGACATTCAGCACCGTCGACGGCTCCCCGATGACCGCCAGCTCAGGGGGGACGGTGTCCGCGGCCGCGGCAGTAGCAACCGCGGCAAAGGCGGCAATGGCAGAGACAAGACGCATGATGGGGATATCTGGTTTAGCTGGACGTAGCCGAATTCACAGCTGGGTGGGAGTTGGGTTAAATAGAAAGTTGCGGACTCTACTAGAGAGTACAAATCGCGTGCACTGATCAACACTTAGCCTATAATAGGTCCATTGCCGACGAGTCCGGCGAGAATGGCTCCATCCACCTTGGCCCTGCCGAGAGAAGAAACGGTCGCGTTTCCACATGGCCGGGGGCTATTAGCGCACATGTTCGGGGATTATAGTTCCTTAGCTTCGTAGCATCGCTCTCGGCTGCCAATCTAAGCCATGATAGTCCAGCCATGGCGCACGCCGACGGGGACCATTTTCCGTCTCTTGTCGTCCCTGGATTTGTGCCAAGCAGAAAGTTACCGGTAATGTTATCATCTCTCGCTGCACCTACATGGATCTCATCTCCGCGGTCTCTTTAATACTTGCTGAGCTATTGATTTTGAGAAATGGATACTTTTTTGGACAACCGTTACTAGAACATCAGGTCCTCATCCACGCCGGAACGCACGTGCAATATTCGAAGATATTGCCAGTCTACAGGCTACCTCGATAATCTGGATACATAGTGGTGATGGCGCATGGTCCTGTTTCCCACTTCAAGTACAGTACTCAGGGTACGTGAAAACTATATTCGGAAAGATGAAAAGAACGGGGTCTAGCTAGGGTTTCTCCCCAAGGATGCCGCTGTTCGTAAAGACTTGGACGAGGTCGGCTTTCTGGGGGGAGAACCCCCAGACCCCCCCTTTCTTTCAGCTTCCTAGGTAGCATAGACTGTACAGTCGAGTTGTAGAACGCTGCTATGCTTGGAAAGATGAAAAGAAGGGGGGTCTGGGGGTTCTCCCCCAGAACGCTGCTCTCCCAGCACGCAGACAACCAGTCCTACTTCTAGCAAAAAACACAAAGAGCCACCATCAAGTCTCACCCCTTCCGACCATCCACAAATCCCTGAACCACCCCTGCGGCCGCGCAATCAGCTCCCCCGGCGACCCATCCTCTACCACCCGGCCCGCATCCATCACCAGAACCCGGTCAAACTCGCCTACGAACTCCAGCCGATGCCCCACCATCACCACCGTGTACCCCGCAAACTCACTCCAGATGAGATCGCGCATCGCCCGCTGCGTCGCCGCGTCCACGCCGCTGTCGATCTCGTCGAGCAGCAATACCCCCCCGGTCGGGCCTGGAGAAGGGGAAGTGATAACGCAATCCCGATCATCTACCGAAACCGCAGGTGCCTTTGGAATTGCTTTCCCAGAAGAGAAACCGGCACCAGAAGGCCCTGTAACGCACCGCTTCTCCTTTGAGCTCCTCGCGCGCACCCGCCGCCGCAGCACCGCGCGCGCCAGACTCCACAGCTGCTTCTGGCCATGGCTCAGCGCGTCGGCTGTAAAGGGTGCGTCCAGGCCGCCACGGGCCGTGACCACGCTCCAGAGACCTGTCCGCTCCAGGATGGCCTGGCACTCCGCGGGATCGATTGTCGCGTCGCCGAATGGAGCGAGAAGGTTCGTGCGGAAGGAGGCGGTGCCGTCGGGAAGGAATATGGCGTCTTGTGGGACGGCGATGAGGCGATGGCGGAGGGTTGCGTGGTCGATTGAGTGGAGGGGTGTGCCGTCGATTGTTAGGGCTGAGTCTTCATTTGCGTTAATGCTGGTTGTGCGTGGTGACGGGATTGGGTCCAAGAGGCGGAGGAGGAGAAGAAGGATTGTCGATTTGCCGCTTGGTTCGGATTGAGTTAGCTATGTCATGCGTGGAAAGGGGGGCAGAAGATTGTAATTATGCAAGATTGATGGACGACTCACCTTCCTGTTCGGCCGCAGATTGCGACTTTCTGTCCGGGTTCGATGGTAAATGATGCGTCTCGGATAGCGAGAGCCTCTGAGTCGGGTGTTGCTTCATTGCTATGTGTTGTTAGCATTAGGACGATTTCCGCATCATAATGGGAAAAGGAAAGGATACCTATAGGAAGCAGAAACATGCTGGAATGTGATCCCGCCTCTCGCCGGCCACGAGGCAGAAAGTCGGGTTGTATTGTTGCCATCCTCATGGCTGTCATCCTCCAACCAATTCTTCTCAAGTCCGACTCCGCCAGCCCCGCCATCGCAGAATGCTTTGATCCGGGCTACAGCACCAATGGAAGTCTCGAGAGCCGTGTACATACGGACCAAGCCGGCCAGCGTCTTGCCAAAGCTCATCAAGGCGACCAAGCTGGCCCCGGTGAAGCCGGCACTGCTGTTGCGAAGCTGAGTGGTTAGCGCAACGACGAGGACGGCCAGGACTGCCACAACCATGTCGAGAACAAAAGACAACCACCGTTGGATCATGCTCAGCAAGTAGGCTGGACGCTGAGATGCGTCGAGCAGCGCATTGTTCACGGTGATTGACTTTTCGATCCAACCGAAGGCGCGGAGCGTGGCGGCTCCCTTAATCGTATTGAGGTGGTGGCTGTACAGGGGGCTCTTGGCCTCGAGATCCAACAGGCGCAGCTGACGGGAGGTGCGCAGGTAGAAACGCTGGATTGCGTATATAATGGCCAGCACGAAGGGGTAGGCGATCAGGGTGTAGGGCGATGAGCCGGCGACGATCACCGCCGCCCCACCGATGGCGATCCAAACCTGTAGGGATGTGTTGATTAGCGCCTGGGCCAGCTCCCCGTCAATCAGAGTCATGTCCTGCGAGAATAGGTTAGTGAGTACCCCGGTGTCAATCTGAGATAGAGTGGACCAGGGAGCGGCGATGACTGTCCGCAGCAGTGCGTCGTGCAAGCGCGATCCTGAGGTACGGATGATGGCCAGCATGCCGATGGCGGCTTCGCTGACAACGGTGGCTAGGGCTAGACACTGGAGGCAAGCATATATTCCCAGATAAAAGGACTGGGAACGACCGAAGGCATCAGCACTCCAATAGCCGATCCACATTGTGGGAAAGTTGTAAAAAAACCCGCAGAGTACACCAAACGCGGCGAAGCTCGCGAGGAGCAAAAAGCCAATGCTGCGGCAGTAGTACACGAAGACGGCAGCATCACCAATGGCTCGGCTCGATTGCTCTCTCTGGATCTTTGCATTGACTGATTTGTAACCATTTGCAGTTGGTGATTGGTTTGTTGGTGCGGATGATTGAGAAGAAGGACAAGAAATTGTGCCTGTTTCGCTTACGGCGGGATTTTGTAAAGTGAGGCCACGGAGATTGCGGGGTGGCCCCTTCTCCACGATTGTCCCATTTTCTCCCAATACAATGATATAGTCCGCTGCTGAAAGATGTCGTAGGGCACTGGTGCAGAAGATCGCGACCGCCCCTCTGGCCTTCAGCATGCCTGAAGGACCGAAGACCGCGTGAAGGATGTGCTCCTCCGTAGCCGCGTCCAGTCCGCTGAGAACGTCGTCCAAGATCAACATGTCGCACTGAAGGTATAACGCCCTGGCAAGCGCAATCCGCCGTTTCTGGCCGCCACTGAGCGCGATCCCGTCGCTGCCAATCTGGGTCTGGTCACCCTGAGGAAGAAGCTGCAGATCGCGAGAAAGCATTGTGGCCTCGACCACGCTCGTATACCTTTCAGCATCGAAAGCAGAGTACCCTTGGATGGCATCACGAATACTTGCATTCGGGAGAAACGGAACTTGTTCACAGTATCCAATCTGACGGAACTTGGTTCGTATGAAGACCTCGCCTTCCGTGGATGGAATCTCGCCTAATAGCGCTTTACACAGTGTGGTCTTTCCGCAAGCTACAGGACCATAAATTATATTCAGCCCTGGGGAGATCGTAAAATCGATGTTCTTCAATATCATCACGTTTGAATGCCAGCCGAAGCCCCCGGCCGTGATGTTCACTACGGGGGCCAACTTATCTCCTGCAGCCTTTTCTTTCCAGGGTTCGTCGGTCCCAAGTCGGCGATAGTCGTGTCTCGATTCTTCCTCGAGAAACATCTGGATTCTTGACAGAGATGTAAAGGCCGCAAGCAGCTGTGGAGCGACCTGGAAGAGGGTAGAGAATGGACCGGAGAGGAGCTGGAGATAGGCGAGGGAGGTAAAGATGGTAGTGGTGTTTAATCTGCTCAAGCTAAAGGCAAAGGCAAAGATAGGGCTCAGAAGGACTGGCATGAATCCGATGCCCACTGAAATCACAAGAAAGGTTCGGAACTTCCCTCCCGCGTGCAGCTCGTCCCGCCGCAATGCTCGAATGGCATCTTCCACTGGCTGGGTAAGTCCAGAGATTCTCAAGGGTTTCATCGTAGCGATCACAGTTGAGGTATGCCCGACCCGCTTCTGGATTGCTTGCATCCAAGCCATCTGCTTAGGGCCAACAAATCGCATCACGACAGTCGACATGATGGCGCCGAGAATGACAATTATGAGCGATGCCACAAAGGCGGTGCCGATCTGACGCTGAAGGAGCCAGCTCACAATTGCAACCTGGAGGGGGTTGGCCCAGAACTCGTGTAGCTGCATAAGACCCATCATGGCCCTTTCGACATCGGTGCTCATCAGCGTGACAGCTGCCTTGTCATCTCCAGCGGAAATTGGCTGCTGGGTAGTCTTTTGGTAGATTGCCGATACTAGACATGGCCGGATCATGAATAAAGCCCGTTCATGAAAATACCAATAGAATGCTGTGAGGATCGGTAATCCCACGTACACTAATGCTGTCGCTCCAATGAGCGCATATCCCTCCTTGACTGTTAGGGCGGTGTCTGACTTTGCGAGCCATGCGAGGATCGTCTCGATGAGAAAGGCTTGGCAAAGTGTAAAGCCGAGTAGCGCGAGACGAGGAACGATGGGCAGTAGGAGAGGGACTGTTAATGTGCGGGCAATTGCTTTGGCCAAGCCTTGTTGGTCTCCGTGGGAGATGGCGCGCTGAGTATACTTGGCAAAGGTTTTCTGCAGGGCTTCAATCGACACGCTTCGATCCAGAGGGTAAAGATCAGACAATGCCAGGACTTTCTTGTAGCCCGACAGGACAAGGGGGACGAGCCATAGAAAGGTGCCCAGTCCATACAAGCCCGAGGATTCTTCCGGACTGTGGGTTTTGTGGTCGTATTTGGACCATCTCTGGTGCTGCAGTGACTCCAGCACAAGTAGAAAGGCTTTCCAAACAGTCACTGTAGTGAACAGTCGCACATAGACAAATTGAAAGTGGGTTTGAGCTAAGAGCCAGAGGGATCGAACTCGAGCAATGTCGAAAAGGATAGTCAGCGAGAGAAATGCGCTGAGAAGTATTGAAGGTCGTAGTGAGCGAGAATGCTCGAGAAACGTTAGGAAGGAAACTCCGACCGCGGCGACGAGGTCCAGGGAGTTGGCCGTGATGAACAATGCAGGCAACTCAGATGGCTTAATGATGGCCAGGGCTAGAAGCACCAGTCGCAGTATCACGAAAATGGCTGCTGCTGTAAGTTTGGTCGACTGGAATAATACATTACCCTTGACACTTGTTCTATGAGCAAGCCATATGCCTCTAGGAATTGAGAGCGCAATGAATATGGCTGATGGTAGGATCGAGAGAACAATTGTCTCAAATTTCAGGGTGAAGTCGAAGTCCCCGCGACAGCCCTTGACAGCCGGACCAAAAGAAACGTCGTCCGTACAAGTGAGCGATGCCATCCGGAGAGAGCCCAGGTCTTGCGATGAGTTGTGGATGTGTTGGGTCTTGGGTGTTGGTTGAGAAAGATCTGGAAAAGTAGGGGGGTCGGGTGGAATGATGTGATGGAGATGATGGAGATGATGGAGAGAGCCTGCCTACAGGAGAATCAGTCCTGTACCGTATGTACGTACTGTATGTGATAGACGGACTGAGAGTGTAACACTGACAGGGATTGTTTCCAGCGCTAACTTGATCAGTACCGAGAAATCCGTACTAGTGAGTAACAGCCTTGGTGAAGCCGAGTACTGTACAGTACTTGACTGACTGCCTTTCTCAGACTAGTCACTCTGGCACCGTCTATTTAAAAAGTCCTACATTTAGTCCTACAGTGCGGGTATAGCATCGATATAGACATGACCTCAACCTTCACCTCGTTCTCTGGCTCAACTGCTCTTACCTAGCCAGAATGAAGGACAAAAGACAAGGTTATGAGCGGATGACCAACATTGATGAGAACGATAATACAGACACTGCAAATGACACTGTCTATATGAGTCACTTTGGTTCTCGTTGCCTCCAGGTGACATGCAGCCTCATTTGCCTGCTCATGTTTCTCGCGGGAATTGTGATGTTATCGGTCGCACAGGGTTGGAAATTATCCGACCTTGAATGTGCTGCCCAGCTCTCTATCTGGTGTATGTACTGTGCAATTACTCTTCTGCCTCCCTCTTCACTGACATTTCCACGATGAAACAGCCCCGTTGCTTGAAGCAGTCGAGTATGAGCAGCGGGATTGGGTCAGTATCTTCGCCACGCAGAATTCAGGGTATACAGGTGTCCCTACCGAGCAAATGGAGGCAAAATGGAAGCGATTAGTCGACGGTATGTTTGTTCTAACCAACAAGGGATGAGGAGGATTTGAGGGTAAGAGGGAGATTCAAGTATCACCTTCACTGCCTCAATGTCCTGCGCCAGTATATCGGACGCGACGAATACCCCGAAGGGCTTCTTCCACGCATCCTGAAGCAGAATTCCCCGCTGGCAATTCGGGCACATGTCGACCACTGCATTGAGACTCTTCGGCTTGCCCTCATGTGCAATGCCGATGTGACCCCATACCTCTTGTATGAGAAAGAGGTCGAGTCGCCGTTACAGGTTCCTGCCCGAGAAGACTTCGAGGCATTTCATAAGTGTAAGAAGTTCGATTCGATCGTCTTTTGGATTGGGTTCATTTGAACGGGGTGGTGATGCCGTTGCGGTCCAAGGATAGTGCAGCCTAGCAGAGTTGGCCGTTTGCCTTGCTCGAGAGACAGTAAATTCTCTCGGTTTATATCACTGCGTCTAGATCGTTATACAGAGTTACTAGTGATTTTGATTCATCAAGAACAGACGCCTCTCAAGTCTTGAGCATGGATATCTCAATCAATTGAATCAGAACTATATAAATTGTGCTTGCGCGGGGGCGACCGATTGCCCTTTTGGGAAAACCCGATATTTGCCTGGTTGGTATCTGGAGCAGTTCTTCTCTCAAACATACTTCCTTGTAATCAAGGTTGGAATCGCGCCCCTGCGATCGACAGTGGCGTGCCGGGAGCAAGCAAGAACATCGGCGTTTGCAGGTTGAAGTTTTACCCCGTAAATGGCTGGAGCTGGGAGGCTGATGATAAGCTATCCACTTCTCATTCGAGTCAAGCAATGGAATGCTCGGATAATTCCGTGGATGTAGCGGGGACGGACCAACTACAGCCGCAAGAAGCAATCACTGACCCTGGTTATTACCATGTATGTGCATTGCGCTCCTCCGGCGGAGCTCCTGGACCCTGGTAGGAGCGGGATGCCTAGAGCGGCTAGCGATCATCACTGTACATACTACTTACTACCTTAGGTACAGTAGGGACTGTACTTTACCATACACCGTACTGACTACCTTACCTAGTATTTCCTTATCGTCCAGGCTTGCCTTGCCTTAATCGACTGGACATTATTGGCTGTAGTCAGCCTGCTCATCCCAGCGTTTGAAACTCACAAAGCAAAACCTGTCGGAGTGTGGTGCACATTATGCATGTGCAGTACCACCTGGCTGCTACGCAATCTTGCCCCCATTCTTGGTCTACCTAGTAATCACCTCACGGAACAAGCGGGAACAGTTAGGTTTCCTTCAACTCCAGAAGACCTGAAGGATTTGTTTTTCCCCTAAATCGGACAAAAAAAAAAGACTTTGGCTGCATCACAGGGGCCGCAAGAGTGTAATGCTATAATTAAATCAACATCGGTGATTAAATGCCGTAAGTCAGAGCTAGAGAGCCTCAGAATACAGTACAAAATGCAGATCTTATATCACTATCACTCCATACAACTAGCTTTATGCCACGCTAGGATTCAAGCTAATGTACAGCAGCAAACAAGCATCGAGTGGAAGCGGGAGCAAAACGCTTGGCATCAACGACGAACGCTCTCGGTTCCAACTGCACATGTGCGGTGGCATGTGATTTCCGCCCGCCCTGCAACCTCATACTACTGTCCAATTCTCGTCGATCCACTCCTCTATCTTCCGGAAGTCCCTACATCGATGGTGGGAGGCAAAGTCTGCCCGAATTCCAGCCGCACCCCCAATTTGGACGTAAAGCAAAGAAACGTCACTTTGGCACATGAACGCAACTCTCAACGACTCGATGCAGTGGTCCACATGAATGCGGTTCTTCAGCTCATTTCGTACTAAGCCCTCAGGCGGTTCCTCGTATTTACCTGCCTGCCACCAGGTGTACATGCGCACAATATTCTGCCCCTGCGTTAGCGTTCATGCTGTGTCTATGCCAAACAGCAAAGATGAAAGAACTGGGGTGACGCTGGGAAAGATAGGCTCTCACTAGACAGTGTAGCTGATGGAATACTTCCAGAAGCCCAATATATCCGAGGCCGACTTCCGGGGGAACCTGTTGCAGATGATCCGCTTCAGACTTGTTTAGAGCACTGAGCTTCTCAGGAGGGATTGCGACGGCATGCTCTAGGAGAGAGGAACTGTGTCAGATAGAAGAAAGAGACTAAGTGGTTAGTGCAAAGGATCAATCTCACTGTACGTCAGATTGAACCAGGCGGATTCTCTTTCATGGGTCGGAGGCCCACGGTATATGCTAGTAGCATTGAAGGCGCCGTCAAAGTCATAGTCAATATACTCAACCGCATCGAGCGCAGGTGCTGTTGAACTGTCAGTTGCAAGTTTGGTAACCGGCTCTTCTCAGTTGAACACTCACACCAGGATGACAGTTGCCGCGAGCATTGGTTATCAGTAGGATGAACTTTTACCAGGACAGCAACAATCAATCCGCCCACAAGAAGACAGAGTACAATCCAGAAGCGTGAAGGGTACGACGGGAACATTGACAGTGTCAACTATATCCTAGTTATTCTTACGGATGAAGCGGGCGTGGCCGACCCCTACCAGGACGAAATCGACGCCGTCAGCAATCCGACTGATGTTCTCTCTGTTAAGCGAGACTGAGTCTGGCTCTCGGTAGTCGATTCTATCTCTCAATTATTTTCATCTAGTCTAGTTTCGCAGCTAACCAGGTAACTCGCAGTTGCGTCCCGGGAAGAACGGTGGCGGGCTCGTCTTACTGTCAATCTTTCACTCTTTGCTCTTTGCGACGAATGCAGACACGGTCACTACTTTGCTGGATTTCAATATGGCTGGCCAGCATGTTTTACTTATACGGATGTTTGGTTCTGCACAGTGGCTCGGTCGGAGGCGTGGTCGGGGATGACATGTAGCTAGTATCAGAGCTTGTGACTGCTCAGGCAACGTGTTGGGAGCTATGCATCATAATGCGTTTCATGGAACTCGTACTGGATACTCCGCTCGTTCTCCCGATGGTCCAAAAGTCTCTGAGTACAGCCAAAGAGACTATGTGTCTCATACCTTATAGGTCTATATTCTATCGAGCCCACCACTTCACAGAAAAATAACTACCGCACAGAAACGGGCTGTCTGGACAACGGGCTCCTAAACCAGATATACGATTTACCCCGCCTAGGCTGTTATGACTATAACCTACTAACACACCACAATACATCAACATCCACTTTATCTTATAACATCATTTCTGATGTCAGAAAGAGCAGAAAGGGGTCTTTTCAGAGTCAAGGCTCATCTAATGGCATCATTGAATGGCTCACCGGCGCCTACTTCGTCGTGCCTACAAGATATGTTGTGAATGACGGTCGGCCCCACACTGGTGAGAATCATAAGCGCTCACAACGGCAGCGGCTCATCCGACCTCTTCATAGCCTCCATTTTGGCTCAGCTCAATGAGTATACCTAGGTATTTCCCGAATACCTCTCAAACAAACATCTCCACCATCTCACAAGAAAGCTAAGCTTCCAAGCCCAAGCACCCCACACATTCATTGGAACCATGGCATTCCCCGCGCCGCACATCCACCCCGCACAAACCACCCACACGCACACCGCGATCCTCCTCCACGGCCGAGGCAGCAAGGGCCCCGAATTCGCCGATGAGCTCTTCTCATCCATGACCTCCCAAGCCCAAACTCTTCCTGATGCTCTCCCCACCTGGCGCTGGGTATTCCCCACCTCGCGCGACCGTCTCTCCACGCGCTTCCAGGAAGAGATCTGTTCCTGGTTCGACGCCTATTCCCTTTCCGACATCGAAGAACAGCAGGACTTGCAGATTGAGGGGCTTCGGGAGTCGGTTCTCTATATTCTCGAGATCCTCGAGCAGGAGATCAGTCTACTGGGCGGGAACGCAAGCCATGTCTATCTCGGGGGTATCAGCCAGGGGATGGCGACAGCGCTCTGGACTTTGTTCTGCGCGGGGGGGAGGATTGAGCTGCGTCTTGGTGGTGTTTTGGGGTTCTGTGGCTGGATACCCTTTGCACATGAGATTGGGGAATTGGTGAGGCAGTCGGCTGGGTCGGATGTATCCCAGGCTCAGGGGCTGGTTTGCAGCTTCTGTGTTGAGACCCTCGGCTTACCGCAGTCCTTTGAGGGAGTAGGAAGTCAGGGTAGTTCTTTGCCGCTTCTAAGGACGCGGTTCTTATTGGGGCACGGGACAGATGATATCTGGGTGCCGGTGGAGCTGGGAAGGCAAGCGTTACAGGTTATCAAGGGGCTCAGCGTGGGGGGGGTAGACTGGATAGAGTATGCTGGGGCAGAGGGGGATGGCCATTGGATCAAAGAGCCGGAGGGGCTTGATTTTATGCTTAAGTTCTTGGGAGGTGGATCTCAGTTTGCCTGACATGACCCATGCATGTAGCTTGTTCTATCCCTTATGCCGTTCCCTGATAGAGGATCGCCCCGGCACACCACATACAACACTAAGCCGACAAGTAAATACATCTAGAAAAACCATCCCCAAAGACACTACGTGGCAACAATCTGCCAACATACAAACAAACAAACCACGAAGACAACAAGTATGTGAAGATAAATTCAATTTTAGTCTACCAGCTTTTCCCACCACCTTTCCACTAAACATATACCATATTATATACACATAGGGAATTTTGCAGTGACAAAAAAAAGCTACAACAAAACCACAAGCTAGCTAGTCAACCCCACCACTAAGCACCCACCATATCAACCATATCCATATCCGTGTCCATGTCGGCCATCTCAGAGATAGACGGGGCGTCCGTCATCACCACATCGCGATGCGCTGTCACCACGTAAGCGCCAGGTTGAAACACCGCCAGCTGCTTCAAATCAGCGGCTCGTCTTTTCCGCGCCGCCATGCTGGCCTGCGTGATAGGGTATTGCGCGAGGCGGGGCACTGTGAAGTAGCGGGCGCGCTGGGAGAAGCGGGTGAGCTGGGTGCTGGTGTTAGAAGCCATTGTTGGATAGGAATATGGATACACCTTTTTCTTGGTTTGGTTGGTTAGGGTTTGGAATGGAGTGTGGTAAGAAGGTCGGTTTGGATGCTAGCTGTTGTTGTGCTGGAGCAGTTTACGTGGAGGAGAGGCATGCAGCTCGGTTTTATAGGCAGGCTGGGGGTCGTTGTTTGTGCTGCGATGGTGACAATGTCTTTGTTGGAGCTCATAGCGTTGATGTTGTGACAAAGCCATTGTTGCTAGCCCGTTCATGGTGGTCCAGAAGCATAAAGCATTGGGGGCCGTTCCTTGCGAAAATTTGCAGTATAGGTCTATTATGTCTCGAGTCAGCTGAGGTATGTGGAACAATCGACCAGGACAAGTAGCCAGAGATGACGTTCTTTTAAGCTCAGCGTAAGGGCAAATCTTCTCATTATAACACGTTAAACGCCCTTCAGTAAGGCCCTTGATAACGTACAGTCATCACAAGGAAATAGGGCAAAGCTCTATTATCTAAACCTTAGACCCGAATAACGTCTTGAAAAGAGCATACATCGAGAGACACCTAACCATCCATGGTAAGCCCATTCACAGCCTTCTTGACCGGCGATGTCTCTAGCATCCAGTTCCCATCTCCCACTTCCCTCGCAACGCCCCCTTTCTTTGCAGCTCTCATCACCTTCTCCCCGGCCACCGTCCTCTCCCCCGTAAGCCAATCCCAAACATAGCCCTCCTTCAACCACATCCAAGTCAGGTAGGCTCGTAGCTCTTTATCTTTTGGCAACACCTTCTTCCACTCGGGCACAAGCTCTAGCTCCTCCGCAATATCACCTGCTGCGGTTCCCCTTCCTACGCAGACATTCCCATTGTCGTTAGCACCTCCACTGCCGGTACCCCACCCCGCTGTCATCACCCTACCAACTCCCCTCAATTCATCTCGACAAAAGATCCTCCAACTGTCCAAGGAATAAGCACCCACACCAGGAAGATGCGCGATTTCCCACCCGACACGTTCATCCTCATCATCTAGACACTCATCGCGGCGGACATCACGACCATCGTTCAGGTTCGGGTAGTGAAGCCTACGATACCGACAGCCACGGACAGGAGGCCGAGCAAGCCAAGTCTGTGCGAGAGCAATGCATTTCTTAGCGCGTTGGTGTTGAAAGCCGAGACAACGGATTAGCTCAGTCAGCTCGGTCGGGTCTGCGGTCGCAAAGGCTGAGATAGAGGGGTATGTATCGAAGACGCGGAAGAGGATGGGGAGGGCGACATGACCGCGAGTACGATTAAGGAATATGGTAGCAATGAGGAGGCGGAAGGGATCGTGAGCGAGTTGTTCCTGGACCAGACCGAATGTCTGAGCGGAGATAGGCTGGAATGGGAGACAAGAGGATGGATCAATCAAAGGTTGGGGAAAGAAGCGAGATATCTTTGGTGCTTGAGATAATCGTGATGGCTGGGAGGTAAGCGTGGGTTCATTATCATCATTCGTAGTTGCATCGATTGAGGTTTCGGGCTCGGAGAAAGCAGGTACATCTGTTACTAACGAGATTGAAAATGACGCAGGCGGCGGTGTTGAAGGATATGAGTCAGGGAGATCACTCGGAACGTCGCTCAGCTCGGAGCAGTTAGACAAAAGTAGGTCAGAAGGTACTGCAGCGGTAGAACCACCCATGAAGCCAGTTCTGGTGGCTAGTTGCCCTACACTGAAGGATATGGACCGTACCTCATCGCTGGTGGTTGGCCTTTGCGAATCATCGGTGTCGGAAAATCCGAATGTTCTGTCCAAGTAGACTTCTTAGCCGGTCGGCCTTTCGCTTTCCCATTCTTCGGGGTTCTTGGTGACTTGTTCGGGTTCGCCCGTCTTGTTGCCGCCTGCTTTGCTTTGAGCAAACCTTGATGCTGGATCTGAGCTTGAATATCAGAAATTGGCCCTTCGAGTTTGGCTAGCTCAGAATCTTTGGTCATCGCAGGCGTTCCCGGCTTATGAAGGTTGGAATCCTTTGCCTTGTTGGCATGTTTACCCTTCTCGGGATCCGTCAAATCAATAAGCTCAGCGGTGTCACGGTTGTTCGGATATCCTTCTGCTATTCTGGCCTTCTTAAGGTTGCCGCTATCCTCAAATCCCCTTGCTTGCGCAGGCCTTGCTGTTATTTTGGAGCCTCCGGCCTTCTGAGTGCCGCTGGACTGGTTCGAATTCGGAGAACTGGCAATCTGGATTGGCTGCTGAATTGTAGACCTCTTGGGTATGACACTCTCGCTGGCGTTCTTTGGTTGCATTGACTTGGAAGTGGTGGTGGTATTCTTGGGCTGCTGGGCCGTGCCAACCATTCTGGGATTCCGCTTTGGCTCGGCAGTCAACTGTCCGACATATTCGAGGCCATCATCTGCAAGTTTGTAGGCCTTCTTGCTCTGCAAAGATTTTGTCTTTCCTGAGCTCGTTGCCTTATCCTTTGCCGCCTTCCCATCTCTGTTCAGCTGCACGGATGGCGTTGAAGCTGGATTCGAAGAGGCATGACTTTCAGACGAAGAGCGTGTCTTCTTCCTTCTTTTGGACTTGTCGGAGTGACTTGCATTGCCTGGTTGGTCCTTGGATAGCAGAGGGCTCTCGTCCTGCTTCCGCTTTTTTCCGCCAATAGACGAGTCATCGACAGGCGCCTTCATCTTCTTCGTCGATTTCTCTGCAAGACCCTCGCCGCTCGGCCTTTTCTTCCGGTCGGTCTGTTCTGTGCCCATTGTGAGGGACTTACTTGTGGCAGGGGATGCTGCTGTTAGATCAACATCAACTGGTGCTGCCGTATTCTTCTCTTTGGGTGAGGAACGGCGTGATTTATCAAGCGACGTTGCCGAGCCTTTCCCTGACTCATCCGCTGATGCAAAGTCCAATGTCTGAAGTGATTCAAACACTGACGCTGCCATGCCTTTTGGTTTTGGCTCATCCTGTCTGGTACGAAGAAACACGTCCTCTCTCTGGTCATCTGCAAGAACGGCACCTGGTAGTGACTCGACGGACTTAGGTCCCGATGCCGCTTGCTGGTTCTCACTTATCACAGCTGATGAGTCTCTTGGGCCGACCGGACCCCTCTCTGGTCCATCAGCAGACTCTGGCTTGGACCCTGCTTCCGGGATCACCTTTGAGTCATCACAACTCTTCGCGCCCCACTGGAGCAGATAGACCCCTCTTAAAGCCCTCATCATCCGTTCAAATTCTTCCTCCGTCATCCGGATTTCGGCCGCCTTCTGGGACGCATAATCAACGAACGCGCGTTTCTCCGCTCTCTTCACTGGATAGATGCCTCTGCGCATGAAGTCGCTCGTACACAATGCGAAACCAAGCTCTCTCACCTGCGGCCGGCTCACGGATGGAAACTGATGGTAATCCTCCTCCCACTCAGAGTCGAATTCGAACTCGCTAGTATCGTCATCTGCATCTTGGCTCCCTGTGTGCTCGCGCGCAGTAGAGTAGGATGCGGGGTCCGGTGAAACTGACGGTGAAGGTGACTTGAGAAGGTCTATGGATTCGATGTCGGAGTGTAGGAGATTCTGCTCGGGACTATCGGGGGGCAACATTATGGGCTCCGCACTTGGGCTAGCTTTGGATTGGGGCCGAGATTGTGCTGCAGACTCGGACCCAGGCTCAGAGCTCAACGCCGATCCTGACTCAGACGTGGAGTCATCTTCAGACTCACAGTCCGACCGGTGATGTGGTATGATCCGCTTGCCCAGCGCCCAGTCCGGTGAGCTTAGGTGCCGCGCTGTCGGGGACTGTCGCTGCGACCCGTGCGACCAGTCTGGGCTACAACAGTAGTCCGGAGTATGATTGTGGTCGGAGGCTTGGCTGTAGTCGTCGAACCGTGAGGAATGTTGACTGGCTTCATCGGAGAGGATGTCGTCGACGGTTTTTTCGTGGAGAGCGTGGAGAAGGTCAGAGGCACTATAGGCCATGTCCTTAACTATGGCACTGTCCTTCATGGGGGTGTGGGGGATCTCTTCGGTCACATCTTTGCTAGTGATCGCGTTGGTGTAGGATCGGCGGGGTGAGGAGGTGAGGGGTTCGGCGAATTCGACGCGCTTGGTTCTGGGGGTAGAGGAGACAGACGTCGTCATCGTGGGCGCGTTTCACTTGCCTGGGTTGACGCAGGTGTGTAGTGAGAGGCGAAATGGTACTTGAATGGAAGAATGGTAAGGTAGGAAGATGTAGTGGTGGAAGTCAAGGCGGAGTGTTAAGCACCAGGCGAAGAGAGTAATGAAGAAAGACATAAGTCTAGTAATAGAAAATACAATAAGTCAGTAAGTGTGTAGCTCAAGCTGGGGACCTCTCACTCACGATCAACACAGATCGGTGCATTCACAAAGAGTGGAAGGCCAAGACGTGTTACTAGCCAGGGGAATCTAAAGCGGAGAAGTGCCAAAGCGACCTTGCACGCCTATGAAACCAAGAACCAAAATTCATCTCCATAGTCCACTGGGAAAAGAGAGTTGGTCAGAACCTGCATCCCCCTAGAGCGTGCGACAAGTGAGGCCGGGGGGGTGCCAGTCACTGCGGAGAGGTGGAAGGAAGCGGATGCGCCGACGCGGAAGATGAGTAGATCGGTCTAATCCAGGCACACGCATGTGATCGGCCTGTTACAGTTATTGCTTTCTACATTCGAAGGTGATGGATCAAAACGATTACTATAGGTCTAGCAGCAGGAACACCAACTGGGCAGATACAGCCTAGATGAATATACACATTATATACTCTCTATGTACTGTATGAATGCCTTGCATCTTCATGAGTTTCTCGACTGGCATCCACACAGACGCGGCCAGCAGCCCTTTTCTGCCACCGCCTAAATTGAACAGTTTCGCAAGCCACTTTTTCTAGACTGTTATTTCTTAAATCCGCTTAAATCCGAGGTTTTCATTGCGAGGTCGCGAATGTTCTGCCAGATCAGGCGGTCAGAAGGGCGGTCAAAAGCCACTTTTGCCTTAATGCAATACAAGAGACGCTATCTTGGGAAAGCATTCTTTCCACCGTGTACTGTTGCATATGGTTCAAATGATTTGATCTTTTCCCCGGCTGAAGCCCCATGCAGCTCGCCATCTTTGTAATCTCTGGAGAAGAATACCCTCAACATCCAAAAGGCCCGAATAAGCTTAGAAAATCAATCGAAATCTCATCTTGGAAAACCACCCAAATACACATAGTATGCCTCGAGAAGTTACCAATGCTGTCTCACAAACTTCAATACCATCCTTCGTGATAAGTTGCTTTTCTCTAATCGATGATGAGTGCGGCCCATGTCAAGAGTTTTGTCTCCGAGAGCATAACGTCCTGTTCAAGCGGTGGATTTGGTGCCCTTTTAAAAGCACTTTCAAACTCCAGAACAAGTGGTCCCCCTTGTATTGTAGGAGAGTCGACTCCTTGAGTCCGAATCGTGACTGTCGACACCCTGCTAGCTTTCCACACTGGGCTAGCACCACTTTCCAAGTGCGAACGAGTGTTAGGGTAGTTCCACCGCACAGGCACATGCTGCTCGACTATGACCTCCTTGGTCTCCCGGTTGGTCTCGATGAGAAAAACAAGCTTCACGCTGCCAGCAGAGTGAGCAGCCCACCACGCGGCAGCGGCTCGGAGTCGCAGCATCGATTCCGAGGGTCGTATTGCCGCTTCAATCACCCAGATTGGCCACTGGCGTGATGGTCGGCTGTGGAGGTTCGTGAACGAAGAGTCAGCCTCCTTTGCCGAACCCGTAGGCCCCCAGAATGTTGTGGCACCAAGGCCGCAGGTTTCTTTCAAACCCACGCCCATCTTGTCCGAGGCACATAGGACGATTCTCCAGAAGTTGACGTGGGCCTGTTCAGTCTCTCTTGCGGGGATTTTGACAACCAAGGTTTCAATATCACGGAAGTAATTCAGGCGAACGTGGCCGCTCAGTCCTTCCTCACGCTCCACAATATAGTCGAATTGTTGCGGTGACACATCCTTGAACGAAAGGTATTGGGTGACGCCTTCGACTTCCTGATACAGCTTGTCGCGTCTGGCCACGATGAGCTCGTTCAGGTCTTTTAAGCCTGTGTAAGTGGTTAGTGGGAATCGGTCGACGAGTGCAAGCCGTGACGATGAGACCCCGGGTGGGGAGTTATGTATGGATGCCATTGTTGCATGCAAGAATACAGAGCGCGGGGGTGACAGCACAGAAAAATAGTTTACTGTGGAAGATGGGGCTTTTGGGATAGATTTCAGAGTCATCTGGACACAATGACCGCAGGTACTACGAACCCCGGGTACCTTCTCCGGAAGGACTGTTACCTTACGTTGCGATGGAACCACGGACTCCCTGCTCACAATCATCATATTCCATACCTGACCCGACTACATATTGCTGGTTGTCAGGGCATAGAAACAAGGCCGCAGTCGTATGGTTCGGGCAGAAGGGCAATTCTGACATCTGCCCGATCGTCCAACGAGTGTCTGAGTACATTCTTAGGGAAGGGAGCTGCTTTGGGGTGTTTTGGCACAGAGAATTATCGTCTCGAAGCTGAGATCCGCAGATTTGGTTTGGCTGGGTCGCGAGGAGTTCGGGACAAAATCTCCATTTGACTTTTATATTTGAGGGTGAACTGTCGTTATAATCCTCTCCTATAAGGTATATGGTGTTCAATTCATCATCTTGCTGCATGCGGGCACAAGCCTTCAAATTGTTGCGTCACTCGGCAATCTTTACAATACGTCTGTTCTGGAAACATGCGGCAATCCGCGGAAAAGGACGGTTGTCGGTTGGGAGAAAGAGACAGCGGAAGACTTTCCGTCCGGGAAGCTCCTTAGTGCAACCGGCCATCCTCAGAATTAATGACTATGCGATGTTTAGAAGTGTGAAGTACTCCATATTTTGAGCGTGAGGTCATCCCTGGAGGTCGAAGCTTCTCAATGGGAATCGAGAAGGGTTCGCTGAGATTGTCATATCACACTCATTCATGCACTGCACTTTGTTGGCCGCGGAATCTGGCCGCACTGGGTCTTCCCCGCCAACCGCAATTCCGCGAGTTTCCCCCGCAAAGCGACTCCGCAGTCCCGCGATTGTCGCGTTCGACCAACATATCATCCGGCATCCGACATGTGAGCTGGAGGGGCAGCTCTTTTGACCCATCACTCTTAAACACTGCTACACATCTTTATCTCTAATTTTTGACCTCATTTCCGTATCACCCCTCAATCACATCCTCATAACATATCCTGCTTTCAAATCACTGAACAACATGCCAGTGACCAAGTTCTCCCATCCTGATCCGTACTCCTACCAGACGGGCTTCGACTCTTATCATGAGTACGGTCTTCCTCGCCCGGCTCTTTGGCCGGACTGACTAAACTGAAATTCACCTTCTAGGACCGAAGCTGTCGAAGGCGCTCTTCCAGTAGGACAAAATTCCCCTCAGAAAGCCCCCTATGGCTTGTATGCAGAGAAGCTGTCCGGGACAGCTTTCACCGCCCCCCGACACGAGAACCGACAAACATGGGTCTACCGCATTCTCCCCGCGGCTGCCCACCAGAATTTTATCGCCGAGGAAGAGGACTCCTATCACACTCGCATGACCACTGAAACACACCAGCTCCATCACATCCCTAACCAACTGCGATGGGATCCCTTCGACCTAGATGAGACTGTCGACTGGGTCCACGGACTGCATCTTGTTGCCGGAGCCGGTGACCCTACTTTGAAATCGGGTTTGGGGATCATTCTCTACGCGGCGGGCAAGGACATGGGGAAGGAGGCATTCTACTCGGCCGACGGCGACTTTCTGATCGTGCCTCAGCACGGCGTGCTGGACATTCAGACTGAATTGGGCCGACTGGTGGTCCGTCCGAACGAGATCTGCGTGATTCCCCGGGGCGTGCGGTATGATCCCTACACCCACCAACCTTGTTCACAAAGCAGATATCTGATGACGCCTTGACTAGATACCGCGTAACCCTCCCCGCCGGTCCAGTGCGAGGATACATCTGCGAGCTCTACCAAGGCCACTACCAGCTCCCCGAGCTCGGCCCGATCGGCTCCAACTGTCTCGCCAACGCCCGCGACTTCCAGGCGCCCGTAGCCGCCTTCGACGACGAAGAGGAACCCTCCGAGTACCGGTTATACAGCAAGTTCGCCAACAAGCTCTACTCCGCCCAACAGCAGCACACCCCTTTCGACATCGTCGCCTGGCACGGCAACTACTACCCCTACAAGTACGACCTCGGGCGTTTCAACACGATCGGCTCCATCTCATTCGACCACCCGGACCCGTCCATCTTCACCGTTTTGACCGGCCCATCGGACCACGCGGGCACCGCCATCGCCGACTTTGTCATCTTCCCGCCCCGCTGGCTGGTGCAGGAAAACACCTTCCGCCCGCCCTGGTACCACCGCAATACCATGTCCGAGTTCATGGGGTTGATTACGGGGAACTACGATGCCAAGACGGGAGGTGGGTTCCAGCCTGCGGGCGCTAGCTTGCACAATGTGATGAGTGCGCACGGGCCGGACGCAGATGCCTTTGAGGGGGCGAGTAATGCGGAGCTCAAGCCAACGAAGGTTGGCGATGGGAGCATGGCGTTCATGTTTGAGAGGTGAGTCTTTGCCGTGTTGCTTTTTGTGGGTTGGGTGCTAATTCGATCGATATAGCTGTCTGATGGTGGGTGTCTCCGAGTGGGGGCTGAAGACTTGTCAGAAGGTGCAGGAGGAATATAATGAGCACAGCTGGCAGCCCCTCAAGCGCCACTTTAAGAATCCGAACAAGAAATAGGGTGTGGCATGGTAAAAAGGCTGTGGGATGGATTTGGGGGTCAAATAATGAAATAAGCGATGGCAGGCTCCGCAGTCATTATGTAGATCGATCAGAGAATGGACATGATCAAGTATTCTCTGGAAACTGAGATGTGTAGATACCAGAGCTTGCTTGAGAACCAGACGCAATCGAACACGGTTCCTCTGTTTCGACGTATAAAATTCCTCGATTGGGTAGTTGGGTAGTTGATAATGGTGCCAGTTTCGTCCTACGGATAAAGCTCACCCCGCATCTTTCCAGATCTAATGTCTCATGAAGGCAATGAGCTGCTTCTGAAGCCTTGCAGATCAATTTTCAATTACTCAAAGTCTCGTAACTTAATGTACACCAGATTACGTGACCGAGGAAAGACTTGCCCTCATGGTCGCAGGCAGCCCACCTGACCAATCACAGATATCAGTCGCCGCACCCGTAAAGACAGGCAAGTCTTTCCGTCTCGGCAGGCAACTTGGCCCGTGTTCTTACTCCGCATTCTTGCAGCAGTGGACCCTCTCTCTCTCTCTCCGCATTTCTCGACAAGATCTCTGATAATCTCAACTGAACATGATGCTACATCTGCACTTCGACTGTAATATTCAGATGGAGAACTTTTCTCCTTGGGGGCGGTGGGTCTGCCAGCGATGTTCCAGAGAGGGGGGTTTGTCGGGTCAACATATATAAACACCTAGACACCCTCAAAGAAAAGAGTACAGCAGCAAGCTCAATCCAACACAAGTACCACGAGCCCACTTTCTTATTCTTCTCTCCTCTTCTATTTCCTTATCCACCCCAGACGTCAATCATGCCCATCCAAAAGCTCAAAGTCGGCATGGCCGGCCTCGGCCGCGTAGGCAAGATCCACGTCAACAACTTTCTGCATCAGACCCCCCGCGCCGACCTGGTGGCCGCTTTCTCGCCGGACCCCGCGGAGATCACCTGGGGCAGACAGCACCTCGAACCCTACGGCGTCACATTGTACGATGACTACGACAAGATGCTCGAACACCCGGGCCTGCAGGCCGTGGTCATCGGCACGGCCACCTCCGTGCACGCCGAGGAGACAATGAAAGCGATAGACCATGACCTGCACGTTCTCTGTGAGAAGCCTCTCTCAACGAGCGTTGAAGTAGTACGTTCTTGCTCTATCCACCTTCTCTCTCCTCCTACCCCACCAACTAACGACCCGGCAAAAAAAAAAAACAGTGCAAAGCCGTCGTCCAAAAGGCCAAAACCAAGCCCCACCTCAAAGTCATGTGCGGCTTCTCGCGGCGCTTCGACACCTCCTACCGCGAAGTGCACTCCAAGATCACGCAGGGGCTGATTGGGCGGCCGTCGATCCTGCGCAGCCAGACGTGCGACAAGTACGACCCGTCGGGGTTCTACGTCGCGTACGCCGCGTGGTCCGGCGGGGTGTTCGTGGACATGTCCGTGCACGACATCGACCTGACGCTGTGGTTCCTGGGGGAGGACTCGATCCCCAAAAGCATCTCGGCGCACGGGATCACGGCCGTGCAGCCCGAGCTCAAGCAGTACAACGACTACGACAACGCGGTGGGCATCGTCGAGTTCTGGGGCGGCAAGATCGCCTACTACTACTGCTCGCGCATGATGCCGCACGGCCAGGAGGACACCACCGAGATCATCGGCACCGAGGGCAAGCTGTCCGTCAACATCAACCCGCAGCGGGACTTTGTGAATTACTACCACCCCGGCGGCATCACGCGCGAGGTGCCCCCCAATTTTGTGGGGCGGTTTGGTGAGGCGTTTGTGCGCGAGGCGAATGAGTTCACCGCTGCGTGTTTGGAAGGCACGCCCCTGCCGGTGCGGTTGGGGAATGCGGTTAAGGCTGTGGAGATTGGGGCGTATTTGCAGGAGGCGCTGGTGACGGGGAAGCAGATCCGGTTTGATGAGATTGGGCGAAGGGTGGAGGTTGCGCAGCTTTGAGGGAGATATATGTCAGCTCTAACCAGATGGATTACGACTGAAGTGGAATAGCTGAAGATATGCTAGAATGTTAACAATAGTGAAATAAACATTCTGTTTCTTAGAAAGACACTCTTGATAGTTAGTTATAGTTCGCTAAGCCAGGTGTATAATTTTTGAGTTATAAACAGGAAAGTAAGGTTTATAGCAAGTGGTACGTGGGAATAGGCGGGGGCGGGATATAATATACCTTGGAGAGGTTGGGGGCTGCAAGAAATCCATACCACCGATAGAGCCGGTATGGTATGTCGATAATGGTTAACAGTAAGGATTGCTCACGAGAGCAACTATATATAGTTCAGTTTAAAAATCTTCTGTATATATTGGTCGTTCAAGTTGTAATTCAAGGTGCAGTCAAAGGTGTAGGTAGGTATTGAAGAGGGGGGGGGATGGGAAGAAAAAGGAAAAAAAAGAATAATGGGACGAGCCGGGCTTGAACCGGCCACCTTCAGATTTATGGCCGAAGTTAGAGCTTCAGTCTGACGCGCTCCCAGATGCGCCATCGTCCCAATTGCTGAAAAGTGACGCAATGTTGCAAAATATAGCCAAGATTCTAATGCATACCTACTATACTGCCCATCCCTGCAGTCCGCTATCTCAAGTCAATCGGCTACCCGCTTAGCTTCCAAATTGGGAGCCGTTGGGCCGTTTCGAAATGGACTCCAAAGCGGGCATCCATTTCTCCTAATAATCCCGGCTTAAGAAAAAAATCTATGTAGTGACCCGTGATGCATATACACTAGTCTAAGGATGCCCAACAACATCCCACTGGCACCCTCTAGTGACCCTCAACGGCCGGAAATGCCAATGATCGCAAACCATGGAGAATAGATAGATAGCCTTTGTCGTCAAAAGACACCAATTCTCCGGGAACACTGCAGTCAAAGATACCAACTCTCTCGGAACAGTCGCATTCAGGGGGGAACCACGGAATGACGTGGCCCATCCTGGAAATCGACCCTGATTCGGGTCTATACTCCTGCGGGTTCATTGTTCCATTGCAGGACGCGGCCGCGAGATATTAGCACATGACTGGCCGGAAGATTATGATCGGAATCCGACAGTTGGCTCCTTCTGCGCTGTTTGATCGTCTTCTTTCATCTGCATCTTCAGGCGAGAGGAAAGGGCTGCCTGAGATGTATGTACTGTACATACCGCAACGTACGTCAGAACGCATTGGGTCCTTTTCCCTGTACTCCTACTGGGCGTGGGGTTTTGCGTGGCCGTTCATAACCGTTTCGCCCCCCCTTTTCCATTATTCATCTCGTTGGCGACTTTATAAGAGATGAGGAGATTCCCTCGAGGGGGGAGTTGTGCGCAGATCACTCGAGTATTCTGGGGGATGGTTCATTTACCATGTCGACCACAACTACTACAACTGAGACGTTGATTGCGAGGTTGGTTTGGGAGCCATGGTGAGTCCTCTCTGAAGAGTTCCTCATTTTCTGTGCAATGTAGCTTCTCATATGGAATGCTTAAAGATCCATATACTGATACAAGACCAGGGAGAACTGTGGCTGGAAGGCTCCCGTTGCTGAGCATCGAGGTGAGTCTGGTGTGGTTTCTGAGTGTTCCACTGCGGGCAATGATTCTGGACGGGGGAATCGATGGCGGTCTCAATGGCGGTCTCCCCTTCTCTTCTACCTTTTCTACACCGCCACACCGCCCGTCGATCCTCATTGGGGCCAACATTTCATCATTCATCATCCATCCATTCATGATTGCTTTTTCATTCTTCACCACTATTGAACGCCAAGAACAACCTCCGACATTCTTCACGGGCTCAATCTCACAATTTCAAGTCGGTCTTGCAACATCTGCGATAGATACATCCCTGAAGCCGAAACTGAGATTGCCCCTGGCTTACGGAGTACTACTTCTCTGCCTTGATCTCCGTCTCGTGGCCGTGTCTATTTCGTGTGTCCGACTTCGCTCCGACTGACTCACTCACGCGATCAAAACCACCGCCTTTGCCCTGCGTCTCACCGCATTCCATCACATCATTATCACACGTCACGTGAATTCGGCCGTTCATTGATCCCCCAGAATCATCTTGGTTTTAGAAACTTTTTTTTTCTGTCTCGTTTGTGAAAAAAAAAGAAGTTTAGAAAATAAGGCTGAGACTTTTTGAGCTCCATTGCCAGGAGCAATGGATCATACAGTACTCATCGAGTCTGATGGCACATCAGAGACCGATGATCAGACCAAACTCTGGGAGTCCGATCCGCGCTCCGTGACGGCCCATCTGGCCCAGGATGAGGCCGAACTTCCGGCTCCCGTCGAATGCGGTGCCATCGGCCACCGCGTACAGGCCAGTCGCTCGGTTCTGGCCCTCGTGCTCGACAAGGAATGTGTCTTTGCTGGTCTGCAGGGGGGAGACATTGTAGTACGTGGGGACAATTCTCCGAATTTACCGATTGGTCTGCTATCTGCCAACAATGCTAAGACGAAATCTAGGCATGGTCGCTGGAGACCTATGATCTTGTGCTCTCGGTGCACGCCCATCAGGAAAGTGTCCTTGATCTCTACTTGTCCGAGGACGGGGAGCTGTTGTTCTCTACGGGCGGAGATTCTGTTGTTAATGTAGAGCTTTACCCTTCCTTGTTTTCCCTCCCAGGAGATTGTTAACCTTGGTAGGTATGGTCGACGAGAACATTCGACCGGCTTTATTCGATCCACTCCCACCATGATGTTGGAGATATCTTCGCGGTCGCCTACTCGTCGAGCTTGAAGACGATCTACTGCGGTGCTCAGAACACCAGCATTCAGGTCAGTCTCTTACCCACCCACGTCAGCATAGGCTAGTGATTGCTGATTTCCTCAGTGGTGCGACATCTCCCAAGTCGATGCAGCTTCAGCACAGTCATCAGCAGCGCAGTTGCGCAAACGGACTCATCGCTTTTTCGACTCCAGGGGCCCGGATGGTTCGCGTGCGCCGCGGCCGGACGCCGGCGCTGAGGGACCCCATTCAGTCATGCAGGGTGGTCAAGTACTGACTTTCAAACGCGACCACCATAAGCTCTTTGCCCACCACGGCTACGTCTACACCATGCTTCTGGTCAAGGGCTTGATTGAGTCTTCCCCAGAGGAAGAAGTGCTTCTGACGGGTGCCGGCGATGGGGTGGTCAAGTTGTGGCGTTTGGAGCAGAACTCGGCAAACGCCGTTCCGTCTCCGATCGCGAAGCTGCAGAACGGCGATTCCGTTCTCTCCATCGCCGTTGATGGATCCTTCCTCTACTGTGGCTTGGCTGGAGGTGCGCTGAACATTTGGAACCTTGATTCGCGGCAGCTGGTCAAACGCATCGCCATGCACACCGGCGATCTGTGGGCCGTAGACATCATTCACGGGGTTGCGGTCTGTGGAGATTCAAACGGTGTGATCAAGGTAGGTGGCGCCCTGACCGCTGGGTGCTGCGGAACAATCGACTGATTACGTGTCGCAGAAATTCAACTCGCGGTTCGAGGAGATCGGCAGCTGGGTTGCCCACGGAGGGACCATGCTCGCGTCTGCTGCTGGTCAGTACAAAGATCGCTACATCTACGCGAGCGGTGGCAACGACAATACAGTCGGCATTTGGGACGTGACAGACGTGACGCGCGGAGGTCAAGCCGAAAAGCCGCCCATCAACAATGGTACGTCCCTCATGGCGGCATGGGGGCAAGCTAGTTGATTTACTTGAGCTAATTTCGAACAGATGAAATGGTCAACTCCCTGGCCAAGTTTGTCGCCTACAAGACTGTCTCGGCCAGTCCCAAATTCGCTGTCGAATGCAACCAGGGTGCCGCGTTCCTTCGTCGTCACTGCATCTATCTCGGAGCGAAGACCAATCTATTGACCACGGGAGCCGACACGAATCCCATCGTGCATGCGCGATTTGATGCTACATCTCCAGACAAGGTCGACAAGACAATCCTGTTCTACGGCCACTACGATGTTGTGGGGGCGGATGCGAATGCGGCGAAGTGGAAGACCGACCCGTATCAGCTCACTTCCATTGACGGCTTCCTCTACGGTCGCGGCGTGTCGGATAACAAGGGTCCCATCCTAGCGGCGCTTTATGCGGCCGCGGACCTCGCTCGGCAGAAAGCGCTTCGCTGTAACGTGGTCTTCCTCATCGAAGGTGAAGAAGAGTCGGGATCCCAAGGATTCCACGAAACAGTCCGCAAGCATAAGCCTCAGATTGGCCCCGTGGACTGGATCCTCTTGGCCAACAGTTACTGGCTTGACGACTACAACCCCTGCCTGACATATGGACTGCGTGGCGTGGTCAATGCCAATCTGGTTGTGCAGAGCGACCACCCCGACCTCCACAGTGGTATTGACGGAAGTTCATTACTGGACGAGCCACTGAAGGATCTCACCATGCTCCTGAGCACCTTCGTCGGACCCAAGGGCCGAATCAACCTGCCAGGGTTCCATGAGCCTGTCCTCCTACTCACCGAGGCGGAGAAGCAGCGGTACACCGCAATCGCTGACATTCTCCTGCCCCACCACCCGGAAATCACCGACAGCGACGCGTTCATCAACTCGCTCATGCACCGCTGGCGTGAGCCCTCCCTGACGATCCATTCCATCGAGGTACCTGGTAGCAGCAAGAGTGCTACGACGACGATCTCGCGCAAGGCCAAGGCCAGCCTGTCCATCCGATTGGTGCCGAACCAGACCGCCGATGAGGTAGCGACCAACCTGACGCTCTTCGCGCAGGAGCATTTCGACAGCCTGGAGTCGCAGAACGACCTGACCGTCGAGATCACGGGTAAATCCGACCCCTGGCTAGGCGATCCAGACAACGAGATGTTCCAAACCCTGGCCGACGCGATCGCGGCCGCCTGGACTCCGGACACCACTACCCAGCGACACCAATACCCACCCATCCAAACCATCCCGCAACGTACCCTCGAGGCCACGAAGCGCGCCAAGGAGCAGCACCCGCGCCTCAAGCGGGCAGACTCGGAGGATAGCCTGGCCTCCCACATCGACCGCATCATCATGTCCACGACGATCTCGTCGACCGGCAAGTCGGCCCACAAGCGGTCGTCGGTGAGCACCGCGGTTCCGACCTCGTCGACTCTGACCAGCAAGTCGGGCGCCACGACGCTCGCCGCCGACGAGCCCGCTGCCCCGAAGGCCGCGCCGGAGGTGGTCGATCCCAGCCAACCGGCTCGGGTGCGTCCCATCTACATCCGGGAGGGTGGCTCGATCCCCACCATCCGATTCCTGGAGAAGGAGTTCTCCGCCCCCGCGGCGAATCTGCCGTGTGGACAGGCTAGCGACAACGCCCACTTGTATAATGAACGGTTGCGGGTGGAGAATCTGTATAAAAGCCGGGAGATCTTTGGCTATGTATTTTCACGGTTGCCGGAGAGGTTGTAGATACCATCATACCTTTGGGAATGGCGGGTTTGGATTTGTGCGTTGGGAAGAGTTTTTTTTTTTTTTTTTTTTTTTTCTTTTTTTCTGTGGCGGGGTTTCTTTCGGGTAGAAATCAATAGCACTCGCAATTAGACTCCGAGAGGAGTGAGTTATTACTCAAGTACAATAATGAGTGGTGCGCGCAGGGTATCATGGAGCCCAGTGTGTGGTGGTGCCAGGTGGATATGCGGTAACGCCAGGCAGCCATATTTGATGCCTTGGTCAGCACACCGGCCCGGTCACGTTCTTGCAGCGGAAGAACATAACAGTTCGGTTTGTGATGATCTGCAGGGTCAAAGCACATGGACCAATTTGCGGTACTCCGGAGATAACAGACAACATACTCATACTCATACATGTCCATGAATCATTACTATGCCATGATCGATGCGTCCAACACTTGGATATCAATGGGACGCCCACTCACTCAGCCCCAGCTCAGCCCCAGCCTCGACCCAAGATGCAACCGAGGCTTTTGTGGTTGACCCCACGGGGTAAGCGAGGCAGCGAGTGAACCAAGGAGAATTATTAATGAACAACCCTACCGGTGAGAGGACAAGACAAGACAAGACAAGACAAGACAAGACAAGGAAAGAGCGGGAATTGATTAGCCACTGCAGGAAGTGGAGGAAGGCAGGAAGGAAGGAACGGGTGAGCCTTTCTCCGCATTTCTTGGCTGGTCTCCAACCTTCAACCGCTTTGCCGGGCTGGGCTCTTTTCCACCGATCGCTTCTTTGGGTGTTTCTGCTGTTCGCTCGCTCCCGCCCGCCCGCCTCTTTCTGTTTCCAGTTCCAGTTCCCGTTCCAGTTCCCTTCCCCCACATCTTTGCTCTTCAACCCACACTTTTCCTCCTCTCCCACTTCTCCCTCCCTCCTCCACCCAGGTGTTTTTCTCACTTCTTCCCATTTGAACCCCAGTCGATCTTGTGTGTGTGTGCGACGCTCACCTCAATTTCTCTCGCATCCTTCGCCTATAGATCCTAGCTAGCTATCTCCGGTCTACCCCTCTGTCGCATCTTCCTCGGATTTCGCACCGACCCCCATGGCCTAAACCCCGTCGTCCTATTCCTCCCACACCCTGTCGGTTCCTGCATCACATCCTTCCTCCTAGTCATGCGCCACTCCGTCAGAGATCACATTCTCAATATAACGCCCACTCTCCCCCGTTACAACTCCCCCGTGGACTCGGATCAGACCCCGCCACCGCTATAATGTCCGTCATCGTAAAACCACCCAAGCGCAAACTAGATGACCTCGACGGCCCCATCGCACAGAACCACCGACGTTTGTCGCATAGCCCGTACGTCTCAAGTGGCTCCCAATCTGTCGATCCAGCCTACGGAGATGAGACCCCGAGGGAGCGAGTCCACAGCCTCCCCGGAGACAACCCCGAGGCCTCACATTGGTTTGCCCCCTCGTTGCGCGGGGTTACCTCCAGCCGTGGGTCTCCCACGGCCTTCGAAGGCGCCGCCCAGGTGCCTCGGAAATTCGCGCGGAACTCATCCATCGTGCTGATTGGTATTCGAGGAACTGGTAAATCCAGTTTGGCGGTGATACTGGCGGCCACGTCCGGGCGGAGGTTGATCGATGCGGACCGGTACTTCCAACAGGTCACCGGACGGTCGCGCGCGGCGTACAAAAAGGAATTCGAATTGGTGGAATACCGACAGCAGGAGGCCCGAGTGATGGAGTCGATGCTGGCAGAACATCAAGAAGGGTGCGTGATCGCCTGCGGGCCGGGGTCCATGGAGCGCAGTGGGCAGATGCTGCTCCGCGAGTACGCCCGAACCCACCCCGTGATCTATCTCCTCCGGGACGCGGAAAGTATCCAGTCTTATTTGAAGGCGTGGAATGTCGACAAGGTCCGTCGGTTCCTCGGCCTGGCGGGGCCAATCTACCGGGCGTGTTCCAACCTGGAGTTCTTCAACGTGTCGGAGAAAGGCATGGCGGAGCATGCGGCCGCCAAAGATGGTAATCACGCTCAGTTAGAGCTGGAGCTTGACCAGCGCTTTCAGGCTATCACGCCCTTCCTGACTCTGAAACGATTGCAGCTCGACTTTCTCCGGTTTATCGCTTTCGCGACGGGCGATGCCAACGACCTGAGCAGTCTGAACGCGTCTTTCCCGCTGTCCATGCAAGCGATTGAGTCCCGGGCGTTTACTTACGCTGTGACAGTACCGATTTCTTCGTTGTTGGAGCGGGACCTGGACATTGAAGACCTTGAGTCTACGTCTGATGCATTCGAACTCAAGATTGACATCACGGAACCACCCTCCTCGCGACTAGCTGTGGACTCCGGTATCGCCGACAAGATTAGCCATGCGGTCGCAAACATTCGACGAAATACTGTCGTCCCACTCGTATATCACGTGGAAAGTAGTGTAGGCTTCAGTAGCCAGAATGGCGAGCACAACGAACACTCGCGTCGACCCACCAACGAGTATTTGAACCTTATCCAGCATGGGCTACGCCTGGCTCCGGAATTCGTGACGGTCGACTTGTCGTATAGCGACGACCTCTTGTCTCAAATCATTGCGTCGAAGGGCGCAAGCCGTGTGATCGGCCATTATGCTGCGGCTCAGCCTCCGCCGAGGGGATGGGACGATCCGACATACATGAATCTCTATGAGCGAGCAAAACGCTTGGGCTGTGATCTCGTACGATTGACTCAGCCGGCAACCTCTATAGATGACAATTTTGCAGTTCAACGGTTTCGCGACTCCTTCAAGTCGCTTCCGACCCCTCTACCCCTTATAGCATACAACTCCGGACTGCTAGGCCGGTTGTCTTGTTGTTTCAACCCGATATTGACGCCTGTGACACACCAGTCTCTTCTCTCTGAAACGCAAACCAAGGGGCTTCCCTGTATTACGTTGCGTGAAGCCCAGGAAGCTCTATACTCCTCCTTCACTCTGGACCCTATGCAGTTCTTCCTCTTCGGTGGCAACGTCACCTACAGTCTGTCACCAATCATGCACAACGCGGCATACAATCTCTGTGGCATGCCGCATGTCTACCGAACCCACCAGTCATCTACGTTGCGTGGATTAAATGATCTGGTGTCCAATCCTCACTTTGGCGGCACCAGTGTTGCTTTGCCGTACAAGACAGAAGTGATCCCCCTCCTCCATTCGATGTCTCCTCACGCTCGCGCCATCGGTGCTGTGAACACTCTTGTTCCCATTCGGGAGGGTGACGAAAAGGCTCTGGATGGGGATGGTTCTCCTTTGCTTATGGGCAAGAGCCGCGCGGGCCCGGTGAAAGCTTTGCATGGAGATAACACCGACTGGATTGGTATTGGTAACTGTTTCCGGCGAGGCTTATCCCCTGCGAATGCCATTCGGCCCTTGTCTACCGGGTTGGTTATTGGGGCAGGTGGTATGGCTCGCGCTGCCGTCTACGCCATGATTCATCTGGGGGTGCAGAACATCTTTGTGTTCAACCGCACTGTTGCGAACGCGGAGAAGCTAGCCCGGCACTACAACCAACAAAACCTACGGTCACCCGGCCGTGCCGGGTCAACGACCCGCCCTCATGTTCATGTTTTGCAATCCCAACAAGACAGCTGGCCTGTCAATTACAAGCAACCGACCGTCATTTGCTCCTGCATCCCGACACACAGCATCGGAGGGGAGCCGGCGCCCAATAATGAGATACCGTCCCAGTGGCTGGAGAGCCCGACGGGGGGTGTAGTTGTCGAAGTAAGTCTTTTTTGGTGCTTGGCATTATCCCGCGCCGACATGATATCCTGCAAGCAGAACTGACATTTCCTTTGGGACAGTTGGCCTACAAATCCCTCAACACCCCCCTGATCAAGCAAATCCGCGCTCTCTCCCACCGCGGCTGGGTGGCATTGGATGGATTGGATGTCCTCCCAGAGCAAGGATTCGCTCAGTTTGAATTGTTCACTGGTCACCGTGCGCCGCGACGGTTGATGCGCACGGTGGTGTTGAAAGAGTATAAGGAGGAAGAAGGGCAATACGACCCGCAAGCCATCCAGAATCGGCTTGAGAATCTGAAGGGGCAACCTACTTGACGATGAGCTTGGCCGGGATACGTGGCGCTGTAGTATCGCCGCTTTAATGTTATTGATTGATGTGATGTCGGTATATTAGCTGAGCTCAATGAGACATGACTTGCCGGATACCAGTTGATGACCTCTTTGTTTTGTGTGTGTTGAGTCTGGCGAGTGCTGGCAAGGAAGTAAGGAAGAAATAGGGTGAAAATTCGACAGTAGACATAATCAGAGTTATCATCCTTTTCTTTAGTGTGCAACACGGATACAAACATTTTTTGATGCTAGGGAGATGGTGACTGGCCTCTGTCACTTCAGCACTCCGAGGATAATCGTATTGGTATCACATTGGACTGGTTCAATCCTGAAACTCACAGCCCCCGCCCCGGCTAGCATAAAGGCCCCCCTTTTCGCTTCCCGGTGAAGACCCGACCCCAGTCGTCGATAAAGCCCTCCCACACGTCGAGCAAGGCGCCCTGAACGCCCGTACGCCGCAAGTACTTGCTCGAATTGAAGTTGTCGAACTCCTCGAACTCGCTCTTGCGAGGGTGCCGCTTCCACTTCCGCCGGCACTCGTTCTGTCCGAGATGCATTGCTTCTCCGCGACCTCGTCGTAATCCGCCGTCTCGGTCTGCCCGTTCGCCTCCTGCACGACGAACCCCGCGCGGAGGACGGGGTTAGATGGATTCGGTTCTTCTTTCCGGCGGGTCGGTTGGAGCCGTAGGTTTTGGACCATTGTGGCTTGCCTCAATTATGTTCGCGGGCACATTTAAGAAATTGTCTACCGCGCCGCTGGGGTGAGATTCGGCCTTGTTGGCCAGCTCAGCTCCCCTACTTGTTCCCAGCGCGGGCGATCGGATTTCCGCCCAGTGGCTCGATCCGATTAAGTCTGCAGCTGAACGACTCCACCCCGTCATACTGCAGAGCTGAGTGGCTGACTGAGGCTGCCAGCTGGGTCTGACCTACCCCTTCTGCCTCATGAGCTGCTATGGAATGATGGAATCGACAGTGGCTGTTCGCGCTAGGGCTGCCCTAACTCGACAGTACAAATTACTCCAGTGGGCTTGAGGGTTGCCGATACGAAGAACGCCAGTGCTTGTCTGCAATCTTCAACTTGCTAAAGAGCAAGTGAGAGTCGAATGAATCATGTCTACTAGGCAGTGCAAAGCAACAAAGGTCTTCTGATTTAAGGCTGCTAGTCAGTCAGGCGAGCAAAGCTCGAATGGATGTTGAGTTGCTTGGAAGATAATCCCGAAGCTACCAATCCCGGTGCTTGTGGGGCTGCCAGGGCATACCTAAATATTCTCAATGTAAAAGTCAACCTGGTAAGAGCACTCCACGTGCGGCCGATCGGGATGAACTATATCTAGAATGTTATGACATGTGGTTACAATCTTGAGAGTTTCCTCCTTCCGATACTATTACCCTATCCTGTTTCTATTTTTCTTCTTCTTTCCACTCAAGGCTCCTCTCACAATCAAAGCACCCGTGATCAATTCCCCACAATATATTCAGCAGCCCTCTGGACATACCCATACTTATTGGTCCTTAGGACAGACGGCTCTATCGCGAGGTTTATACCTGCAGAAGAACTCCGAATAACCATACTACGCGATCATTTAGGCATCTATTTTTAGCATCTGCTTACCCCCAAAAAGAATGACGCGATCTTAATCTCTCCTTATCACGAGATTAGTCAGCCGAGTAGGCCAAAGATCACGATAAGGAAATTTGAAGCATAAACAACCTTCCCCCCCCCTCTCTCAAGTCAACTCCAGTGTATCTCCTCTCCCTAGATCTCAATTGAACTAGCCTTCCATCTACCACGAGCAGAGTCCTCACAATGCCAACCTTCCCGCTGGTCGTGCTTCCCCGCCCCGGGACCACCACCCCCGAGCCACCATCCTCCATCCCCGCCCCCACCGAAGCAGCCTTCACCTCCACCTTCGGCCGCGTGCTCCCCCAAGCCTGCTACCTCCAGACCCCAGCGGGCCAAGCAGCCTACTACTCCATCCCACCGACCGCCCCAACCTCACCCAGTGCCTCCTCGGCGGGGCCCGCGCGAATCCTCTTCGTGCACGGCGTGCAAACCAGCGCGATAGGCATGGCGCCGCTCGCCCGCGCCCTCGCCGCGCGCTTCCCCGCCGCCCACTGCGTCCTCTTCGACCACTGGGGCCACGGCCTCTCCGCGACCCCGGTGCAGCCGCACGCGCCATCCCTTTTCCACGACCTCATCCTCGCCCTCCTGGACCACCTCAACTGGCCCTCCGCCCACTTCGTGGGTTACTCCTTCGGCGGCGCCACGACCGCCACCTTTGCGGCCGCGTTTCCCGACAGGGTAGAGAGTATGGCCCTCGTCGCGCCGGCGGGGTTGCTCCGCGCGGCGCAGTTCACCGAGCAGCAGCGGGGGTATCTGACGGGTGGCGATGAGGCGGTGGAGCAGCGCGCCCGCGACTGGATTCTGGGGTGGCTGGAGGGCGGGCCGTTGGTCGTGCCGGCGGATTGGGAGGCGAGGGTGGCGCGGGGCGAGGTGGTGGCGCAGAAGGTGCGGGCGTGGCAGGTCGAGGAGCATCCGGGGCATGCGGCCAGCGTGGTGGGGATCTTCCGCGATGGGGGGGTCATGGATATGCATGCGGTGTTTCACGAGGCGGCGTCCACGGGGATTCCGGCCCGGTGTGTGTTGGGCGAGTTGGATGATTTGTGTACCGTGCAGGAGTTGCGGGAGTTGGGCTTTAGGGATGTGCATGTTGTGCAGGGGGTGGGGCATGGGGTTGTTCGGGAGAGGGTGCCGGAGGTGGCGGGGTTGATTGCTGGGTTCTGGGAGAGGGGGTAGGGGGTGGATCTGGGAATTACTTGATGTCATGCAGAGGGGTTGTGGGGGGGGGAATGGGATGAAGAGCTTGTGGATGAGGGTTATATGTACTGAGTTCGAACTAGAGTTTCTATTTAGTGTAGATTTAAGCAGGCGGAGATATCATTTGGGCGTTGTGTCGGTTCAAAGGGGCTGTCGTGGACTGATACACTATTCATGTGGAGGAAAGAAGATAGGGCAAAGTTACCACGTGCTAAACCTAAGCCCGGCGTGCAGACGCAGATGGTTACAGGGATCATGGAGAATTGTTTAAACCTACAATCTATGCATTCGGCTTGGATCGAGGGGTTGTGTTTAAAGAAGCCGAGTAAATGCTTATAGTACACGCGGTCGGATTTTCGCAAGGTCGCCTCACAATATTGCTTTCTCTGCTGGTCATAGATATTGGTCTCTGTTAGTTAGAATGGATTATAGTCCAGAAGCTTCACATAGAATCCATTCATTGAGACACTACTGGCGCTTGGATTTTCAGTTCTTATTTAGATTAGCGAGGCTTTTCGCTACAAAGGTTACGGGAAGGAATGGTGATGGATTGCTTTATAGTGTCTTGAGCGGAGAATTACCTCCTAGGCTATGACCTGATATTGTTCCCGATACGGAGTGGTAATTACGTAGTTTGATTAACCGTAAACAGCTCGACGAGTGATAGGCCTGAAAAGATTCTAGTCTTACAGTAAATGACACGCTTCATATGCCTCTGGGCCCTCCGCGAGTTCCTCCTATTTTCCTGTTCCAAGCTCAAGGGCCAGTCCACTCAAAGACTCTGAACTTCTGTGAAATCATCCATAAAAGGGTCCCTGCATGACTGTGCTCCAAACCTCGTGCATCCTGCGAACGCTTGCATGTGGTTCATACGTGGTATGCATGACGCAAATTTGAGAGCACCCGACCCAGACCCTGGTGCACTTCTACCTGGAAGGCCTCAAACGGATACCACTCACCATCCACACTGATGCACCCCTCTTTCTCCTTGGGCGTAAGACGGTACGCCGAGACCTTCTGCATGTGCACATCGCCGAGCTCAAAGCATTTTCCCTGAGGCAGCTTGACGGTAGCGTCGAGTGCCCCTACGATCCCAATCGTGTCGAACACCGTCATGACATCCAAGAGTCCGTCGCTGGGTAACGCGGCCGGAAAGAAGTTCGTATCCTTGGCCACAATCGCCATATTACTGGCGTAAAAGCTCGACAAACCTTCGCCGGAGACCACCTCCCAGTCCTCCGGGATATCGTCGAGGACCGTGCCATACTTCAGCGGCAGGCCACTCGAACCCGCCCTCGATTCTTCAGTCACCACATCCGACGACTCCAACAACCGGACCCTCGCAAGTTCGTAATACTCCTGGATCTCCACCTTATCCCCAATGACCGTCTTAAAAGCCAGCTCACAGGGATACGCCGTCCGCTGCGCAATCGTAGTGAGAACGCCATAGATGAAGCGATGATCACCCATCCACCGCAGATGCTCCGTCTTGAGGTCCGAGTCCGCCAGCACGCCCAAAGACTGCGACAGGAAGGACACCGTATGCCGATCGCCCTGGGTGACCGAGAGCAAATCCAGGGGCATTTTGAGGCCCTTCACAATCGTCAGCGCCGCCTGCGCGACGTCGTCCGTCCCGAACAGATTCCACGCCATCGCGTTGCCGGATCCGCAGGGAATCATGGCCACGGCCATCGTCGTCAGCGCCTTGACGGCATCCGGCCGGCGCGCCAGCCCGTTGAACGCCTCATGCGGCAGCCCGTCGCCCGAGCAGCACACGATCGCGTCGTAGGCGTCGAGATCAATCTGCTCCGCAATCTCACTGGCGTGGCCTTTGTAGCGTGTCTCCTCGACATCGATGTGGCAGTGTGCCGCGGCGAGGATCGGCGCAGCGAGCGTGCGGAATTTGGTCACTGCGCCGGAGCAGAACGGGTTGATGATTACCTTGAGGCGTTTGAAGGGTTGTGCTTGGCCGTAGGCGCGGGCTAGCAGGTGCTGCGTCCAGGTGGTGGCTTGAGCGTGTTCGTCGGGGCGGATGGGATAGTGGATGATGTCTAGATCGTTGCCGTCGACGTAGGTGATTGTGAGATTGTTGGTGGTGACTTCTGCGTTGATGATGCCGTAGCGGTCGAGCTTGTAGTTGGATTGGTGTTCTGGGGAGTGGTCAGGGGGGGTATTTGCGCTGGGGTAGGTGTTGAAAGGAGGAGGGTGGGGCCAAGTTAGGGCACGATTCGTTGTAGAGCGCGATGCAATACATACCTCGTGTGGATAATAACCCGCAGCAATATTTCTTGGTTCTCGTCCGTCCGCGTGAGGAGGGACGGTTATCTGCGAAGTCGATTATGTTAAGCTAAACTAAGTAGCCATATATGAAGGGGATTAAAGGACTGTGGAACATACCGGTTACGGTGACGAAGTCATCTTCTAGGGAGAGAGTCACTGCCTTGTCTACTTTGAGTGTGGTTGGGGGTTGAGGTGGATTCATTGCGTGATGGATAGGGGATTTGAAAATATTTCTGTTGAGGTAGTCAATGGTAGCAGATTAAAAATTACATAGAACAAAGATAAGATCAAGATTAGTCTAGTGGTTGATTTGTTGTGAGCAGGGGGGGCTATAGGGCAATCAAAAGTAAAGCTTGTTGACATGACATGTTTGGATCAGGGAGGAAAAGTCCGCGACAGTTGCCACGTAAGACTATGCCCGGATGGGGTTAGTGGATGTGCTCCGGGGTGTGGATTCCATCCGAGCATTCCGAGATTTTCATCCGATGTGATGATACAGGAATGTACTGCTGCAGGAAGCTTTTCATAGAGAGCATAAGATCAAGCATCAGGATGGCAAGCTACTGATGTTAAGTTATTAATGAAATCTAGTTCCTCTAGTAGTATCATACCTCTTAATTCTATCGCCTAATAGCATACGCTGCTAGGTACCATGACCCCTCCTGGCAAAGATTATATACTTTATGACCCTCGCAAAGTTCACAATAAAGCATTGTCTCTTACCCAAAAACCGCATATCCCCCATAATTCTTACAAGCCACACAGAGCCTGTCTGACATGAAGTTCCTTATGTCAAAAGCCAAAAGTCCTAAAATTGCGTTGGGGGGCTCAGATAAGCTGCGTAGATGCTTTTTTGCGTCGGCGAAGCAGCTTGGTCATGGTTGACACGCTGCCAGGGAAGGAATCCGGACGACCACCATGCCGACCAGAAGGCTGGAGATACCCAAGAGCTGACTTATGATGGTGACTTCTGGCTTGAGAAGCGACTTTTCTTCGCTTCCAGATAATTGCGATGTTTCGGCGGAGTGCATTCTTCTCAGGAGGGTTGCGGAGATTGTGTCGAGATAACCCATAATGCTCATGCATTCATGATCGATCAGAGCAGTCAGATCTGCGATCTGCCTTGAATCATCTTGCATTCGAAAATCGTGTGTTGACGTTACACAGGCGGAGTGAGAATTTTATTTTTGACTACAGACCGTCGTACTTCTGACACGTTCCCTGCATGGACCGCGATCGATGCGCCGAGAACTTCAATCGTACGACGATACCCAAGCCAAATAGGTCGAGTGCCACAGAAATCTTTCTAAGGCCCCGACCTTTGCCTCGCATTTGACCGTCTCTCTATGAATGAGTCAGCCTCTTGCGAGGATTGATGTGTCTCATTGTCTTTATGCAACGCACAGTCAGCTGGCCACATTGATTCAGTCAGATTGACCAGTCATGAATACGAGACTCCATACGTTGACACGGAGACCTCGGTATGAAAGTCACGATTTCACGGCTGGTTAAGGATTCACTTATGGCTCCTCCTCAACCCTCCAAACTGCCTGATTCCCGCATCACCAAGCAATGTCATTGCATGGACAGAGTAGCACTCCTATCTCTAGCCCAGCCTGATATTATTTGCTCCAGTATGAAATAGAAGCAAAGGGTAGCCACCAACCATAAGTGAATCCAGGGTCTAGCTTGTAGCCAGTGTAGCCAGTGGACACGTCCATCATGAGCTTCAATGATGGTGTGGATTGCAAAGAGCTCGATCTCAGAAGCCGAACTCGGAAGTTATATGGGGGTTTGAACTACAACTGGGCTATCTTTCCTTGTACGGCGACAATCTTCTTCCTGGGTGAGTCCGTCCTTCACCTTGTAGACTCCCTCCACCGACAGAAGTGCGATTAGGACTTTATAAGATCGGCATATGGACAGGCGTGTACCATGAGGTCGTCGTGCATGACGCCCGGTGGACACCAGACTGCACCGTGCTCACCAGGATTCTGGGTCCGTTCCTATTGTTCCAGCGTGGAGTCACAGACTGTGATCCGTACCGCCCAGCACTGGAACCGGCTCAGCAAGACGCATCGCATCAGCTTCCATGTGGTCGTAGACTCAGTGCCAGCCCTTTCAAAGGTATACTGCCGGACTTTGTGGAGCTGTTGGGGGTACCGTATTTGTTTCGGCCGGATCACGCAAGATACAAGGCGAGAGTTCTGGAATGATGCCGAAGGCACTGGCGGTTGTCGGGAGCAAGACTGGGTCCTGCATTTAGATGAAGAGACGGAGATCACTGAGGAGGTTTTGAGGGCGTGCGTGGACTTCATTGAGCGGGGCGCGGAGGATATTGGCATGGTAGGATCGCGCATATACTTTTCTAAAACTTGCCGTAGATATCTGGCTGATCATCGCGTATCAGGGAACAATTTTTTACAACGCCCACAATTACTGGAGGGACCCGCTCCTGACCGTCGCCAAGGCCCTTCGGGTGGCAGAGGACTTTGGTCGTATTCAGCTGCCGGTTTGGCTCTTGCAGCGCCCATTGCACGGATGGATGCACGGCAGCTTTATTTTGATCAATGGGCAAGCGGAGAATGCAGTCACCTGGGATACAGGCTGTCTGGCTGAGGGCTTTCGGTTTGCATACCATGTGAGTCGATAAATTGTTATTTCAAGCACTTCGAGCCTTCGCTGGAGTTGACTCATGAGACAACGTGGGATGGTAAGGCTGCAAAAGAAGGCTTCAAAAGGGGGTGGGTCCATGCCGTCACGTGCGATCAGCCCCCGGAGAGCTTGGCGGATCTCGTCCGACAACGTCGGAGATGGTACAGCGGAATCATGTCCGTTCCAGACTAGAAGGTCAGACTGGCGTTGGCGATTCCGATGCTGAAGTCTTCTGTGCACTTGGGCTTGTAAGCGTTCGTTTAGATTGTAATGTCATGGTTGACTAAGGATGACTTGGTTCAGAACTATCTCTATGGCTTGTGGGTGGAGGGTATCGCTATCGCATTATGCCTTTGTCTTGTTGACTTGGAACCTGTCTGTTTATCTTCATGGACGCGTGGTGGGATGTGTTATACAGGAGTTTGATCGCCTTTCGATGACAATACAAGAGCTGGTATTGCATGTATTTCTTGTTGTTGTGTTGGGGCCCGTGGTTGATCTGATCCAGTCGGTGGCTTTCTATTTGGCTCTGGCTTGGCCAGACAGGGAATTTGCGATAATTAAGAAGTGCTGAGACTATAGAGTCTTATCGGTCTAAATTATATCGTCTCTCTGACAGCACCCTTTAGGACGAGCTGCGTGTAGATGGGGATTAAAAAAGCCATCATAATAACCACGATCCAGACCGGGAACCTTGATCTTGTTCGCAGAGACTGACAAGACCCCAGCTTTGTGTAAGTGACAGTCCAGTCGTTCCAATCTGGCGACATGCTAGTGTAATAATTGTAGACCTGGGAGAATCTGTAGGCAATCAGCAGATAGGGCGTGGCCCGGTGGGGAAGATTCATGACTTACGGGTAGATCATCGAGTTCCATCCGTTTGCATCGATGTACCAATTGGTGCAGCCGCCCTTCGCCCAAATAGAGTCCTTCGAAGCTAGCTGAACCTTCTTGGTCCACCGCAGGCAGGCTTCTTCCTTGACCTCCAGGGCTGCAACTTTACCTTTCAGTACAGGCTCGGCAATCTGCAAGATATAATTTATGGAGTTCTCAATACCGGCCATGACACTAGTGTGTCCAACCGAGGAATTCGGCCCGTAGACGAAGAAAAGATTGGGGAACTGGTCCATTGCAAGGCCTAGATACCCTTGTGGCCCTCCTCTTGCAGTCCAAAGGTCGTGGAGATTGGCTTCATCTCTTCCCGTGATGCGCATAGACGAGAAGAGACTTGCACCTGGGCTGTATCCTGTCGCTAGAATGAGTACATCAGTGGGAATTTTTACTTCCTGGCCGCCGTGGTCCATTATCACAGAGGCGCGCTCAAACCGCTTCATAGGTGAATTATGAAGGCGAAACCTCGGGTCATGCAGGCGGTCAAACCAGCCTGGGTCGAGGATTAGTCTCTTACACCCGACCGCGTATTTTGGCGTGAGCATGCTTTGATACTCCTCAGGAGCCCTCTGGTTAAGGTAACGCGTTAGTCTCCGTTGTAGCCATCTTTGTAGCTTGCCTCCCTTGGGATGTGGCCAATAGAAGGCGAAGTGGAAAAGTTCGTAGATGCTGAAAAGCACGAGACGCGCCAACCGGGCGCCTAGTCTGCTCCTGGTGATTATCGGCATGCATAGATTCCATAGTTCCAACAATTTACCCGAGTAAGGATCCGGCGTCACCCAATGAGGCGAGCGGACGATTTGGGTGACAGATCCTGACCCAATCGTGTTCGAGGGAAGCAACAGTTGCGGCACGAGCTGCGCGGCACTGCATCCCCCACCTACGACCGTGATGTCTTTGCCCATCAAGGCAACAGAGTCATCCCACTGCGCCGTATGGATTATGTGGCCCTGAAAAGCCTCGATGCCTGGGACGTTTCTCAATATCGACATGTCGGGAGTTCCGACCTTGCCGACTGCGCTGATGACGATTTTGGCCCTTACAGTGGTTTGCGCCTTAGGAGTGATAACCGTCGCTTGCCATTCATTCCGAGCCGCATCCCATGCCAACTCAGTGACTGCGCTATTGAGTTGGATCCTATCTAGAAGTTTGTATTGCTCGCAAATCGCACGCAGGTAGGTGTACATCTCCTTGCCAGTCGCCTTGGGGCCCGACCAATTTGCCTTGGGAGCGAAAGAGTAAGAGTAGAGTGGTGAGGGTCTATCTATTTGGTTAGGCACTGGCGGATGGCAGCTTGAAGTGAGAGGCTTCTGAATTAAGACTCACGAGTCAGTAGCTACCCCTGGGTAGCGGTGACTCCACCATGTCCCCTAATTTATGTCAGCGTGATATTGAATCAAGCATTCAAATCCATGAACCCAGGACGTACACCGAATCCGTCTCTACCCTCAAATATCATGTATTGGTCAAAGTTCAATTTGCGTTGCAGCTGACACGCACATCCGATGCCGGATATTCCAGCCCCGATGATAATCACCGGGTAGTAAAGGCCATCATCTGGACCATTGCTGATGTCAGGCATCGCGGTTTGCGAGAACAGAATACTAGCTGCAAGGATAGGATACTAGAAACGAGCCCGGAGTTGATTGGGAAGGGAAATCGCGGGATTTATCGTCGGACTCATGGAGACGCCTTCAATGATCTGCAGGGCGAAGCAAGGGGGCGGGGAAAATAGGTTCAGCCCCTGTCAGGGCTTGGAGCAATTGATTTCGTCGCTGGGAAAATAAAGGCGATGTAAAGGCGTCGTGAAAGCTTTTCCCTTTCATTCTCAGAAGTCATAGTGGCTCATGGCATAATGCAGAAGCACGAAGGCAGATCTGACTGGGACATCATCATTGTTGGGGCTGGCTTGGCCGGCATTAACATGGCTTATCGGGTACATCACGAGCTGCCTCATTGTCGATATGTTGTTATCGAAAGCAAGAGCACTGTGGGCGGCACCTGGGACACGTTTCATTATCCTGGCCTCCGCGCAGATTCCGACATCTATACTTACTCGTATCCTTGGTTCCCATGGAATCAGAAGACTAAGCACCCCGATCGGGAATCAATCTCACAATACTTGGCGGCCGCTGCCAGCTGCTTTGAGCTTGGGAATCATATTTCTTTCAATCACAAACTATATTCGGCACATTGGTCAAGCGCCTTGCGCCAGTGGGAGCTGGTATGCCACCACCACGGAGCAACGGTCTCCACCGTGGTACTTCGCACGAAATTTGTCATCTTCTGCACTGGTATATTTGACCACAACGAGGCCCGAGCAGTTGAAATCGCAGGGTTGAGTTTATTCGCAGGCCCCGTGGTACATCCCCAGTTCTGGCCAGACGACTTGGACTATTCGGGTAAACATATCCTGCTGATTGGTAGCGGAGCAACGGCCATGACCCTACTCCCGGAGCTTGCTCAGACTGCTGCATCGGTGATACTCGTCCAGAGAAGTCCAGGTTACCTCCTTACTCTCCCCGAGAGACGGCATCGGAATAACGGAAGTTGGCACTGGGTGCATCACCTCAAATGGGTTCTCTGGATGATCGTCCTCAAGCAATTCTTTCAGATCTGTCACTGGTTCCCGAGACTGACAAAGCGAATATGTGCTTTCTGGGCCCGATGGCAGCTTCCATCCCATGTACCCATCGACCCTCATTTTATCCCCGCATATGACCCGTGGGAGCAACGGCCCAATGTCTGTTTCGGATGGGATATGTTCCGAGCGTTGGAAAGTGGTCGAGCGGTGATAGAGACAGGCCACATCGCCAATGTCGACCGACATGGCCTGAAGCTTCATTCTGGAAAGTACCTGCCAGGGGACATCATTGTGACTGCTACGGGGCTTAAGCTTCAATTCGCAGGTGGGGTTGGGATCCTTGTGGATGGGACCGAGATCGATCTTGGCGGAAAGCTTGCTTGGAATGGCGCTATGATTCAAGATATCCCAAATGCGGGCTTTGTCACCGGGTATGCGCATACGTCTTGGACGTTGGGGGCAGACGTGCGAGCGCAATTGATCTGTCGCGTGATTCGGGAGATGGAGCAGAGCGGTGCGCCTGCTATGGTGCCTCGCTTCAGAGGGAACGTGCAGGCCATTGCCCAGCGGCCAATTCTTCTGAAGTCATCGTATATCTTGTCTCAAGAAAGTTGTCTCCCAAGAGTGGGTAGCGATGGGCCTTGGAAGGCGAGGAACACCTACGTGATCGATTATTTCTTTGCAAGATACAGTCGAAGAGTCCTTGAAGGACTTGAGCGTCTATGAAGTTCCAAAACTCGGATAGCATGAATTTTTAGAATGAAGCTGCAAGTTGCATTGAGGTTCAGTGACACAAGTGAAGAAGGTAGCGTACAAAGTGCTTGGTAGTAGTCCATCTGGTAGGTAGATATTGGCTATCCCCTAATTTGGTAGGTGGCCATGTGCCCCGCCGCCCCTCGTTTCCTCCCCCTCCTAAATTAATCCACAACCCACTGCTCAAAGACAACAACAATCCATGCTCTCAGTTTTTTCACAATCCATCTTGTGCTACTTGCTTTCTGCTACTTGCTTTCTTCCCCGACAGTCTCTGTGCCTTTACTCAGCGCAGTATACCTCTCTTTGAGTGTAGCCACACACACGCGACTGAGCCCACCAACGGTGCCCGCTTTCGAGATCTCAGTTAGACTGATCTCCATCCCGAGTTGCCTGCGAAACCAATTTCGAATTTCGATCGACATTAACGAATCAATCGGGATAGTCGCCATATCTTCGCTCTCTCTTCCATCGCGAGACATATGAGCGTTGATCAAAGTGCACAGCTCGGACATAATGCGCAATTCCGTGGCAGGATCATCTAGCAGATCTGGGTTACTCTGAATCTCGGACAAAAACCCCTTCAGGTCCATCTTGTCTGTTTCAAGATCTCGTTCCACTTGCCCCTGCAGATTCTCATAGGTGGAAAACCTGATATCCGGGCCCCACAAGGGTGTCACGCCTGGCGCCGAGAGGGGCTTCACGGCACTCGCCCCGACCATCATCACACTTGAGACCATCTTTGCGGGATCTGATGGCGATCTGCCGGACAGAATGGCTACATGGAGTGCGTTCACAACATCTTCCTCACGGATGAGACGCGCTGCTGTCGACCGCGCACGGTTCAACGTGGCTTGGTGGTCCTGATGCATGCATCCGATGTCCTCCACGAGACCCAAATCTAGCACCGACGCGACGCGGCCTAGCTGGCGACGATAAAGTACGAAGGCATCCAAGAAGGCGTTAGCCGCTGCATAGTTTGATTGCCCTACTGTGCCAACCACGCCGGCAAGAGAGCTGAATAAGACGAAAAAGTCGAGGTTTGATTCGTGCGCCTCTAATGCCCAATGAAGATTGTAGGTGCCATCGACCTTCGGTCTAATGGATTGCAGCCACTGACTATGCGTCATCTTAGCCAAGCTAACATCCTATATCGCTGGGTTAGCTGGGATACAAAGTAGAGGGGCGAGCCAGGGTCACAGAATTGGGGCTCTGGAAGTATACCTGAAGCACCATGGACAGTTGGATAACTCCTCCAATTGCCCGCCCGGCGGCCTTGGAAAGAGCTACCTTGACATCCTGTAGCCGCGCTACGTCTCCGGAAACCATCTCGACCATACAGCCCTGTCGCTCTAGTTCACGAGCGAAATGCTCATGATCCGCCCGCAGACCAGCTGACCGCGAGAGAAAGATCAGGTGTCGGGCTCCATTCTCGACGAGCCAATTCGCCACGGCGCGCCCAAGGCCACCCAGTCCACCAGCCAGCAAGTACGACTTGTTTTCTGATAGAGTCAGGGGAATTTTGGCTGGACTCGTAGACAATCCGTCTCCCACTGTTGGCATTCTGATCACGATTTTACCCATGTGCTTTCCACTTTGCATATACTTGAAAGCCTCAGCTACTTCGCTGGCTGCAAACAGTCGAGTCGGTCGGATCGGTCGTACTTTATTGCCCTTGTACCACTCGACGAATTGCTCCATCAATCTGAGCATCTTGGATTAGTCAATCGGCTATCTTATGTTTGCGACGACTCTTACCGCCGTGACACCCTAGGCTGTTCTGCCATGATGCTCAACATGTCGACCCCAAAAAAGGACCTATTGCCGTTGAAAAGATCCATGCTCAAGCTTCCGCGCGCAAGAAAGTCTCGCTTCCCTAGTTCGACCATTTTTCCAAACTTGGCAACACACTGCCACGATGCATGAAGAAGGCTTCCAGCCAGTGAGTTTAGAACCAAATCTACCCCTGCTCCAGCTGTTCTGCTCATGACACCTTGACGAAAGGAACCGTCTCGAGAGGTGAAAATGTTCTCTGTGGGGATACCGTATTCGGTATGCAGATACTCACGTTTTCCCGGCAACCCCGCAGTGGCATAGATCTATCAACAATGTCAGCGAAAGACCATAGGCGTTGGAAGTCGAGTCGGGGGTTATACGGTTGCGCCGATTTCCTGACATATGTGAATGGCGGCCAAGCCCACACCCCCCGTGGCACAATGAATGAGAACAGTCTTTCGGAAATGTCAGTGTGTGTTACCGTAAAGCTTCCGACGCTCGAAACCAAATCTTTCCTTACCTGGCCTGGCTGTATTTGACCAACGGTTATCAAGGCGTAGAAAGCTGTCGCGTATACCGCTGAGACCGTCGCCGCGTCCTCTAAAGATAGCCCTGGAGGAATCTTGGTACATTCGTGCTCCTGAAAGTGCGCCCGTGTTCGAAAAAGACCCTTACCACAGACCACCACTCGATCCCCAGCTTCGAACCGCGTGACCTTGTCACCGACCCTACGCACCGTAGCACTTGCTTCAATTCCAAGCTCATTTGCTTCACCCATAACACCCAGAGCAACCATGAGATCCTGACTCCGTGTGCGATTAGCATTCGAAAAGGCTTCAAGCTATGGTGCAACCACCTACCCGAAAGTTCAGGCCAACGTAATGGACATCTATCTCAATCTCTGTGGGCTCGAGCAGCGGCTTGAGGTACGGTATAGCTTCCCAATTTAGGCTATCAACAAGCCCATACCGCTTAATAGACAAGCAGCGTCCTGCCTCCAACTTAGGCTCTTCTTCCAATTGACCTCTGAGCGTGTGCCAGTGAACTCGGCTAGTAAAGACCTGGCCATCCTGAACCACATATTCGTCGTCTATCAGCGCCTCCTTCGGGACTCTCAGTCGTGTTCGATGATATATGTCCACGGTCGCTTTACACGTTCCTTCATTCAATGCATCAAGCTCAACTGTGACGATCTTTCCAACTATCTCCCTTCGCAAAGTTCGAGAAAATCCGAGGACCAGACCCAACCTAGGGTCCTGACAGGTGGTTTGCACACTGCGCGTTAAATGAATCAGTGGTACCTTCGAACTCATTGAGAATAAATCCTTCAGCTCCTTGAACTGCGTCTCGTTCATGTCATGCATCATAGGTGCATGCAGATCGAGGAGAGAGATGAGGCAGTCTGTATTGGCGGGTAGTGACTGCAGTGTGGCCCAATCTACGTGGTAACCCTGTTCCAAAAGTGATTCCTCCAGCTTTTCCTCCCATGGAATAGTGCTTTCGGCGCTGACTGAGAGGAGTGTGACCTTTTGTGCCGGCACATACTCGGCGGGTCGACGGGAGATAATGTTGGCACTTTGCTGATATGGAGGCTTGTGGTCTAGCGTCACGCACATTGCTCCAGTGAACCCCGCTTCCAGAAGTTCGGTGTGCCATCGCTCCGGCTTGACGTACGGAGTCTGGCGCCTTCCGTCGCTTTCACCATTCCACCAGTCAGGTAAAGTTCCCTGGTGATACTGTTAGCGAAATTGGACCACAAGCAATCTATGCGGGCATGTGACCTACCATGACGAAATCGATAAACAGGATGTCTGTTGTGGTCAGATTCAAGAGCCTCAAGTAAACGCGCGATCGCATAGTCTTCACTCACCGGGACAGAGCTCTTGTAGTACAAGGAATCCTCCGGGAGCCATGAGCTTATAGACATTTCTCAATGCACCGCGGAGCGAAGGCGTGGCATGAATGACCTTTCATAATGGTCAGCAAAGATGAGTTATGCTACGTGCCGATACCTGAATTAGGAGAAGCGACGGCGGATCTTACATTAGAAATGATGACCAGGTCGTATGAAGCCGAGATAAATCCCTGCTGGAGAGGGTCCTGGGTGATATCGAGTGTTTGGAACACGATGTTCTCGTGCTCGCTGAACCTTTCTGCTGCAGCTGAAAAGAAGGCCGGTGATATGTCAGTGAAGGTGTAACTGGCCCAGGCTCTCTCCCCGCCTTTTGATTGCAGCGAACTCATCACATGTTCGCAGGTAGCCCCTGTGCCAGCGCCAATCTCGAGAACCCTGACCCGAGGGTTCCAGTGGCCGACCAGCGACATGAATGGCTTCCAGTCCGAGAGCGAGCTATTGAAGTCATACACATCTCGCAAGATATCCATGGACAAGACTTCCAGTGGAGCAACGTGGCCCTGTATAATTCGTCCTGCATTCTCAGACACCTGTCTCAAGACTTCTCCTAGTCTGTCAACCCCTCGTCCTAGCAGCGCGAGTTGCTCCCGAATCTTGGCGACTTGACCATGTCTCTCCTCACTGGTCATGTCTTGCCAGCGAATCTGAAGAAACCTTTGGGTGGTTTGATTAACGAGCTGATCGTGCATTCTCATCAGCCATGACTGGTACTTTGCCAGATGTGTGGTCGCGGGTACCAAGCCTGCAATTTGGGATGTGGTTTCTAAAATGTAGAAACATGTGAGTTCTGCCATCAGCGACAAACCCCTTTCCTCGGTCTTGGAAGGCAGCCATTCTGCCGGCGAGATGAGGTCAAGACATGGCGCCCATTCCACCTGAGAAATGAGAGGGATTGGGCTCTCATTATCTGGCTCATCATTGGCGAGAGAAATACAAGTCGCCCCGGTGATTACCACTGCCGGTCCCGCTTTGCTAAGCATACTGACATTTCCGGACATGCTGGTTGATGATAAGATGTTGCATGTGTCAGTTTGAATCCACATATCTCCTTCAGTCCGCGCGACGCTAATTCGGTCGATGAAGGCCGGAATGGCCAACGAGGTGGCATGTCTTTGAACCCCATTGACCACAGCGATTGACAATAGTTGAAGGCAGTGATCAATTACCGTTGGATGTACCAGGTAATCGTCTTCATAGTCACTGCTGCTCTCGAGCACAGTTGCATTCGCCAGATGCTCTACAGGGTCGACCGTTATGTTCTTCATCCGCTGGAAGCTCGTTCCATAATTGAGCCCCAGACGAGCCAGGAATTGATACCAATCCGCCGGCTCTATTCCCCGCGTCCACCGGGGTTGTCTGCTCACTTTTGGTAGCGCTGTTGGGGCTATCGCCCGTATTTGACCATGGCAGTACTTGCTCCACTCCGTGCCGTCTAAAGCAAGAATTGTAAACTCAAACCACTCGGAGTCAGCAATATCGCTCAATCGTTCGGGCTTAAGAGACGTGAGAATCTCGGTGCCGCTTGTTTCCTGAAGGAAAAGTGGCTTCTTGAGGATCATGTTTCGAATTTCATACCCCTCACAGTGGCAATGCTGTCGAATGGCTTCCCCGACCATCGCCACATATGCAGCGCAAGGATATACTGTATCCCGGAACAGCTTATGATGCCCTAACCAGGTGGAATTGTGGATGTGAACCACATTCCGCCACGCAGGCTCCAGAGGGCTTGACTCGAGTACCCTGGATCCGAGAAGCTCGTGATGGGGAAACTCCCGCAGTCGCCAGCTCTCACTCAGCCGACTCTCGCTCCAGTGCCGCTCTGCATGTTGCCATGGGTACCGTGGCAGAAATTCAACAACCTCTCCTGGGCCGTTGATGCGCAAAAGGTCAATCTCAGCCCCTCGGCCAAAAGCCAGTCCCGCTGTGCGAAGGAGGGCATCCTCCGCACTGTGACCTCGTGCCAATGTTGGGATGTACCAATTCTGTCCCTTGGATTTGATCGAGTCAAATATCTGACGCAGCGGCCCCTGAAGCGCACTATGGGGCCCGACCTCGATGAAAAGCCGATCATGGTCGGGCTTGGTTCGAAGCATGTTCTTCATCGCCTTATTGAACTCGACAGTCGAGATCAGGTTACGGCTCCAGTAGTCACTCCCGAGCCTACCGGCGTCCTGGATCATCTCACCAATCACAGTGGAATACATCGGTAGCATATGTGGGGCGACTGTCTCAACTTCCGGGCCAATAGCCGCATCATATTCCGCGGCCATGGGCTGCATCTTTGCTACTCAGTGGGTCAGTGAAGGCCAGCTGCAAAGGCTTTGCCATCGGAGGGGGTACCTACGAGAGTGATAGGCCTTATTGACTTTTAGCATCCGGCAGAATGCGTCTGGGTATGCAGTACGAACCGCGTCAATGGTAGCATTGACTGCTTGTGTGTCACCTGAGATCGTTATGCTTTGAGGACTGTTTTCGCAGGCTATTACAGCGCCCTCTGCCATCCAAGGCTCAACCTCATTGCGCGCGAGGCCAATTGCAGCCATAGAACCATTGCTTACACATTGGGTCAACCTTCCACGATGATAGGCAATCATCATCGCGCTGCGAAGCGAGATGGCCCCGGCTGCGTAGGCTGCCGCAATCTCTCCGCTGGAATGTCCTATCACACTCGACACCTTAAACCCCCAATTTTTGAGCAAGTTGGCTATCGCAATCTGAATCGCCGTGCAAATAGGCTGAGAGAGACGTGGATCATGAATCTGTGAATGCGCCTCTGGTACTAACAAGGTGTCTGCGAGACCATGAGTTATAGTTTGGTCTTGGGGTCACTTCGTGGTTGGTGTACGTACCTGCTATCGACCATGACGGAGGAGGCTTGGCAGACCGCAACACTTCATCCATGTGCTCAACGTCATTTTTGAAGTCTTTGCAATTTTCGAGCAACTCGCGAGCCATTCCAGCCCATTGTGCACCTTGGCCTGTGAAGACTAAAGTGACTTCGGGGGACGGCGAAGCCTCTAGAGGAATTTCTTGCAGGCTAACCTCAATGTCGGAAGAGACAATCGCAAAGGTGCGATACTTCAAATGCTCTCTTCTCACTCCAAGAGTGTAGGCAACATCATTCAGATCCAGGCTTTTATTCGCCAAAAACCGCTCCAAACTTCTGGCGCGTTCGGAGAGAGCTTGCGCACTAGCTGCGGACAATACCAGCAACTTCTTTGTAGTTGCATGAGCTTGCTGAGCAATCAAACCCTGAACTTCTCGACACGATGTTCGAGCTGGTTCGAGAATGGCCTGTGATGATGGTCAGCATAGCATCGTGCGAGGTCTGGACTGACGAACGGCCTCACATGCGCATTGGCTCCCCCAATACCGAAGCAATTGACACTGGCCCGGAGTTCTTTATGCGCTGGCCATGGCATCGTATCGACTGGTACGACTAGCCTGCACTCCTCGAACGGTACTGCAAGGCATGTATTAGTGACAACCAAAGACTATGTCTAAATGTGACGCCTACTATTCGGATTGGGAGAATTGAAGAAGATGTTCGGCGGGATAATGCGATGTTTTAGCGCCAGAGCAGTCTTTATTATGCTCGTAATTCCCGATGCACCCTCTGAGTGGCCCATATTGGGTTTTACCTGCTTCTGAGTCAACCCCACGCTCTGCCATTGAATTTGTCAATCTTAAGTCACCCACCGAGCCGATAACGACGCCAGCTTCGCGAAATAGGTCCCCAACCACCGATGTCTCCGCAGTATCTCCTGCGACTGTGCCCGTGCCATGGCACTCAAAGAATCCTGTATCTGTTATTTCCGAGATTTGTGCGCGCTTGTACGCTTCTTTGACAAGCGCCATCTGCGTGACTGAGCCGGGGGTAGTGATGCCTGGGGTCCGTCCATCGCAGTTGGTCGCTGTGGCGCGGATGACCGCCCGGATGGGGTCTCCATCGCGGGTGGCATCAGCAAGACGCTTGATATACAGTGCATTCACTCCCTCGGCCCTACCGTAGCCATCGGCTCCAGCGTCGAAGGTACGGCAAATGCCGCTGGGCGATAGGACCAGATTGTCTGACATCGTGGTGGTCATGGTCGGAGTCAGGATGAGGTTCGTGCCAGCCACAATCGCCGACTCGCAATCTCCAGATAATATCGCCTGGCAGGCTTCGTGCAGCGCTACCATGGATGACGAACACCCCGTCGCCAATGTCATGCTGAGGAATATCCGATTAGCCACTGATGCGCAGAAGGACTTCCATGAGAAAGGCAGCCTGAACCTACCTCGGCCCTGTAAGGTCAAATTCATAGGAGATGCGGTTGGAGAGCGCGAAGTTTCCCGTTCCGAGAACATGCAATCGGTCTATCCTCTGCGTGTCCTTGGACTGCAGGTCGTACCAATCCTCGCCGAATACACCGACAAAGCAACCGGTCTTCCTCCCTCGGCCACGCCACCCCACCTGTCCACCGGACTCCATGCACTCATAGATGACCTCGAGTAGGAGACGCTGTTGAGGGTCAAGTCGAGAGGCTTCAAACGGGGTCAGCGAGAAGAACTGGTGGTCGAAATGGGCTGGATCCTCGGGAAGAAAATATCCATCCTTCGTTCGCACCGATCCTGTCCGCGAGGGATGGTGGAAGGCGTCGATGTTGTACCGGGATCCGGGTACCTGGCCGTGACCATTTTGCTTGTTGAGGAGGAAGTTCCAGAAATCTTCTGGCGTGTTGACGCCTCCGGGGAGACGTAGGGCCATTCCTACGATAGCCAGCGGCTCAGGACCGGACTTCTTTGAGGGATGAGAGTCATGACACATAGTTTCTGAAGCCATCTTGCATACATTCGAATGGGCGTACGCTGTACTACACGGGAAGAATTGTCCACAACAACAAAGCTCGACGCGAGCTTTGTGTGTTCTAGGGGGAGTTGCATGTTTATAATGTCTGCGATTAACATGGAATTGAGCGGTCGGCTATTTGAGGTTTCTGGCTCGATTGGGACAAAATGTGATTGGTTTTTCGCCGAAAGCCCTTTTATGCAAGAGCTTTCATAGCGCTTTGAAATTCGTTGCCAAGATTGGCCACTGGACCCGCGATATCATCATGGAACGATTCGGGGATCTTTGCGCGCGCCGCATCTTGGAAGGAGCTACGTTCGTTCTCGAACATCTGCATAATCGCAATAGCCATGAGCCTTACACCGCTCTTGTCATACATTGAGCCCTGTGTGGCGGGGAAACACAAGCAATGTCAGTCAGCGAACACACATCCAAAATGGGCACAACCGCAGCGCCGGGGAATTGGGGAGGGGACACATACCTTACTGCCGGCCGCACCCAACGTGTCCGCAATGGACTGCCTCATAGAGTGGTAGGCAACTAAGATGTCCGGCACTTCATCGTCTTGGAAAGCTGGAGCGGAATCCCACTGTCCCCGAGCCGACTTGGTTTGGGCGTAGACATCCCAGACGGCGCGGGCCAGATCCCACGATGCCATCCACCCACCATCGTAGCTGTCGAACACCGCTTGAGCCGAGTCGACACTTTGGCGAATGTTGTTCATGCCGGCAATCACCGTGGGGGCATCCTTTGCTGAGGCGGGATGAATGACGGCGCAGATCCAGGTTAGGAAGCAAAGCCACCGAGCCGAGGCCGTGACATACATGGTGGCTATCGTTTGTTTGTTTTGGGGATGTGTTTTCAGAGTCGGTGAGCGTTCGAAACTCAAGTCACAGAATTCTGGAGGCAAAAACGCTCGAATCTCGCTAGGTGCATCGGCTGCAGTAGCCTGGCCACCAATCATATTTATACTTGCAGCTTGTATGCAGACGCCAACACTAAGTAAAGACTTTGTCCCGTGTCTACATTCATGCCTCTGAATCCAAGGTCTGCTCCCTTGCGTCAATGAGTGTCACTTATTGATTCAGACACCCCCTTGTTCTGCTCCTTACGGTGTACTGCTCAGCCAGATTAAATTCTTCGGCCGATCGTTACAGTGCCAATGAGAGCCACCCGGTCGGTGCTGCTCACGATTGGATCTATCACCCATCGTATCGCCGATCCCAGAGGTTCTGTCCCAACAAAGTGGTTTGACATATCACATCGCATGCACAAATGGACTACCGAGCCAGCCGCTCACACATTCCTCTTTGCAAATCGGCATTCTAAGCTTTTTGCCAATGCAGCATTTTTCTTCTTCGATCTTCCCCCCTTGGCCAAGCAGGGCTCTGCCTCTAGCTGCGTTGCCCCTGAATAGGTGTATACAGTACGCCGTACATACGCCGCATCGCTCAGGTAGTCAAGTCTTGGTGAAATCAACCAAACCAAGCGGACTGTCTCGGAGAATGCATTCTGTAATCTGCCGTGACCTACGCTAACTGAAAGCAGCGCTCGAAACCTCCTCAGCGAACCCCACTAATTATGGGTGACCTACCCCTGGATTTGCTCCCTCTTCCTCAGTTTCCTTGTCGCCCGTGTCCCATGCACCCTGTCCAGGAGTCCAATCAACCCGTAATTGACCGTCATCAGTTCGTGGTGTAGGTCATGAACCTCGGGTTTCCACCCGCCGGGCGTCTCGAACAGACGGTAACCACAGTGCGCCAGGGCGGCCTGGATGCCAACGGCCCCGACAAAAACCCACAAGGTCACGACATGCACATCAAACAGACGCGCGGGCGCCGCGATGGGCATGACGTTGGTGAGGATGTGCTCGACGGGGTGGACGTACAGTGTCGCCAGCGCGACGGGGGTGTGGAAGCGGTGGTGCTGGCGGTGGAACCGCGCGTATAAGAGTGGGTGGTGCAGCACCCGGTGGCTGTAATAGTACATGGTTTCGCGCGCCAGCACGCACAGGGTCAGCTCCGTCAGGAGCTCCGGGAGGGTGGGGAGGGTCGCCGGCATGCGGTAGCTGAGATCGGGGCGTGCGAGAACGGCGTGGACCACCGCAAGCTGCAGGGCCTGGAGCGTGGTGCTGAGCAGTTGGCTTTGGAGGGAGCCCAACAGGGCATCGCGGATGATGAGCTCGCGGGGCGGCTGCTTGCGCGCCGGCTGGATCTTATAGCGTTGGATGGACGGCCAGGCTAGCAGGTCGAGCATGGTGAATATGCTGGCGGGGAGCCAGAAGGTGAGGATTTGGGTGGCGAGCATGCCCACAAACTCGATCCACGAGGATGGGTGTGTATCGACTAGCAGTGCCCAGCGCGTGGAGATGTCCATGGTCATTGATGCCTTTCTTGCTTGAAGTGAATACCCAAAACCGGGGCGGTTCGAGATATTGTGCATGAATGGGAAGGGTCGAGATTTTAAAAATAGACCGACAGTCGCATCTGTACGGTTCCACTGTTCCATAACAAGGACTGCGCTACAGAAAAAGTGTCCGACCGGTCACAGATCGAGTAGTCACCCTTGCATGTGAAGGGATCGGTCGATCAGGGGCGCATGAGGGGGGTGGTAACCCAAGGTCGAATACCGGCGGCCCCTGTCCCCTGTCTGCAGTTCTCGGCATGACTCCCCAGGAGGAGGTTGACCACTAGGTAGATAGATAGGGCATGACGGGACATCCTCCCTCTCTCGGATCGCGAGCTCTTCACACCATGGATTCTCCTCGAAAACCGTGGTGGAAGCAAGTGCACCCCCGCTACACGGCAGCCCAAATTGGCCTGCCCTCATACGTGGCCTACTATGCCTTCAGAATACCACTTCAATGGAATACCTGCATGTAGACAGTGGTCTACGCCTTCATGACAGGTTTGAGTATGACCGCTGGTCAGTCTATCATCCCACAACCCCCTATATCTATCACTTGAACAACACAACAGGGTATCACCGTCTCTGGACCCATCAAGCCTACAAATCCTGCCTCCCGCTCCGCATCGTGCTCGCAGCCCTGGGCGCCGGCGCCCTCCAGCTCCCCCATCTGCGTCTGGGCCGCCGACCACCGCGCTCACCACCGCTTCACCGACACCGATCGTGACCCTACAACGCCAAACGCGGTCTCCTCTACACTCACATTGGCTGGATCTTCACCTACAACCCCGAGAGGTTTGGCCCTAAGACTGAAGGGGTAGACCTGAGCGACCTCGACCGCGACTCCGTGGTAGTTGGGCAACGGCGCGCCTACTACCCGCTGGCGGGGCTGATGGGCTTCCTGCTACCGGCAGCCGTGCGGCCGGCACGCTGTGGGGCGACTGGTACGGCGGGTTCCTGTACGCCGGGTGTCTGCGGGTGGTGCTCGTGTGGCATGTCTCGTACTGCATCAACTCGCTCGCCCACTGGATCGGTGAGCAGCCGTACTCAACACTCAATACCGCACGGAACTGTGCGCTGCTGGCGGTGGTCACCCTCGGCGAGGGGTATCATAACTATCATCATGCGTTTCCGGGAGACTACCGACATGGGGTCCGACGCGGGAATTTGGACGTTACCAAGTGGTGGATTTGGGCCTGGGAGCGCATGGGCCTGGTTTGGGATGTGAGGAGGTCTACTGGATCTAGGTCTAGAGGTGGTTATCCGGGGAAAGGCGAGTAAGAGCCTGGTTCCAAGGGAAAGGCCTCCGGGAGGATGAGAAAGATGTTGACTCGCAAAAGTTCACTGAAAAGTATATTCTCATTCATTTAAGCCAGAAAGCGGTTTTTCTTCCCAGAGAAAAGGTCTAAGATATTTGAAATACAATAGAGACAGCATAGAGCAGCCCGAACTGTACTGGACATTCTGCCATACCCCTTGAACCAAGGAGTGAGTCGTAGGGTTTGCAAATCAGAAAGTCGGCATCTTAAAAGCATTGAGGTCGTACTTCCAGGTATCGAGGGACCTTTGGTCATATGCGCATTGCAACTTGGTACCATTGTTGATCCAGTAAGGACGGAGGGGCCAACCACAGATTTGCTGCTGAGCACCAGTAGACTGAACAGTCCCATTGAGCGTCTTGGGCTCGATGCCCTTCTCCACCCAATCGATTAGGGTGGCCAGAGTACTCTCTGGCCAAGGAGCGTTGGGTTGAAGGCTGTTTGCGCCGCAGTGAGCGCCGCCAGGAATGAGGAACAGACGGTACCAATCGTTCAGTGCTGCAACACTCTGGTTATAGGAGAGATCAGGGTACATGACGCTTCGGACCGACTCATAGTAACGGACCGAGCCAGCGGTTGGAACCTGTGGGTCTGACTCGCCGTGGTAATGCAGAACTTTGCCGCCGGCGTTGTGCCAGACTGAAAGGTCAGGCCACGTCGTCTCCAGTGAATCGTAGTATCTCTGGAAGCCAGTGGCAATCCAGTCGCGGAAGGTATCCCTTGTCACGCCTTCGAAGCTAGAAAGAGCAGAAACGTTGGTCAAGAGATTCAGCCCAATCTCAACCCACTGGGCTGACTGCTCAACGAAGTATGCGCCATACTTCCCAGTTGTCTCGTTATAGGCAGTAACAGCGTCTTGGAATGAGGCTGTAGGTTGGTAGGACACATAAATCCGTCGGCCAAGGTTGTCATGTGCGCCATTGAGGATCTCCCGAGCGACAGCCACGCCCTCTGCAGTCACGGTCCCATTTTGAGATGGGATATAAGGCATAAAATTGGTGATCACGGCGGATGAGTCACAGCTATAGGCTTCACCGACGGTCGAATTCAAGTCGAAATGCAGCTTGCACATATCAGTGCGAGCGACCACTCCGTCTACCCGGCCGTCGAGATGATCACAGGCCTCTGTCGTGAGATTGACAATCTTCTCCAACTCACAATACGGTGGGTAGTAATTGAGCTGGTACTCCACAAATTGAGACCACAGGTGTTGAATCTGCTGGAAGGAGAAGTGCATGCCTGGTGCGCCAATGACGGCACCGTCAAGATTAGCTCCGATCTGGACCTGGCTCCAGCCCTCACGGCCTCCCTCGGAGCACCCATCAAAGTAAGCCCAGAGCTTGGTGTCTGACATGTTATAGAAGGACTTGGTGAATGCCTTGCCAATCTGACTCAGCTCATCGATGGCCTTGTACCCAAACATGTAGACAGTGTCCCAATTGACCTCGCCGTCGCCTTTCAACCAGAATTCCCAGGAGCTGACATCAAAGCCACCAAATCCACCGTCCGTGGTACCGGCAACCGCACCCATATTGATTCCACTGGGGAGAGAGGAGTTTTTCTCCGTAATGTTCCATCCTTCGCCGCCAGTTGATACGTAGCGATTTTTGAAGTCAACAGGAGCTGGCATCCAATAATTGACATTGGTTCTATCCAGTCCATCATGAGTGTATGCAAAGTTGACATCGCAGACCGGGTAATCGGCATTACTAGCTGACGTGCCTAGCATTGCGGCCGTCACAGATGACTTGTCGATTTGGATGCCGAGTAATGTATCATTGCCTGGGAGGTTTGCGGTCACATATTCAACTGAACATACACTCTGAAGAGTGGCCGCCTGAATTGTGGCCGCAAGGGAGGACAGTGCCCATAGAAGTCGAGTCATTTTGTTCAAATGAGCCGTTCGAACATTGATTCCGAGTCAGAAGTGCTGAAGCTCGAGGTATGCGCAAACGCGGGTTAACTGTCAGATGCACCCCTGAATTATAACTTTCGTCTTGTTACTCACTCAGTGGGAATGGTTTCAGCGGCGGTGATTTCAATTAACTTGCATATGTAGATGATCGATTTACCAATACGTACACCTGAGGATGCCGATCTGCATGGATTTCCACTTGATACAAACCACAAGAGGGAGTCGACCATCGCCCGCAGTGGGCGGCCTTCCGGACTTTGAAGATAAAACCTGGAGCCCGAATCTTTCAAGTGCACGTGCTGTACTGTACTCAGAATTGGTACACCGGTATTCCAGCCTTGGAACTCTCCAATATTTCATGTTTCCCTCTTGTGACTCAAACCCACAAAGGCCTGTATGATGGCCTTCGAATTTCACCAAACATATGTAGTTCGCAAGGTCACCCCGAATTTGGCTTAGCTTCAACTAGATCCTTTACAGAAATGATCCTCGATAAATACGGGGCGAAAGGCACTTCGGATGAAATCTCCAGTGCGGTACTTCATATCTCCGATCATAGTAATGTCATTCTCCAGCTACAACAGGCTTACGTGGGTTGCCAACATAAGACATGGCCGCGCAAGCACTCCTGTGTAGACGGGAAGCATATCCCGTTCCAGCTTCTCAAGCTGTCCTGGGCGTCAGGCTTCAAGCTCAAGACTGGAAATTAGGCTAAGCGGATCTCAATTATTCCCAGGTAGCATGGGGATCTCCTTTATAGCCCGCCGCACGTTGTCGAGAACTCGAACCCAGTGCCCAGTATATAGCAAACTCATCCGTATCTAGATGGTCTAGATCCGTTTTAAAATATGTTGATGCGTTATATCGGCGCTTTAGTTAGTCCATCCATTCTTTTTCCTTCTCACAAGTTCATTCATATTCATTCTTTTTCCGTCTGATTGCTTCCTTTCTTTCTTTTCTTTTCAATCGCAATGCGGTGGTCTCCGATTTCAGCAGCTCTACTGCTCGCTGCAAGCACTTTCGGTGGTCAATGCGTCGGTGCCTCAGTTTCTTCAAGCGCATGTGCTGGAAACACACCAGAGACCCGTGACCAATGGTGTGACTTTGACATCAGAAGTGATTATTACACGGAGGTCCCTGACACGGGGGTTCTTCGAGAGTACTGGTTGGTTCTCGGTAACACCACGGCTGCTCCTGATGGTGTCCCTCGGAATGTGTTGACCGTCAACGGCACATCGCCGGGACCTACCCTGCACGCTAACTGGGGAGACTGGGTTCGTATTCATGTCTACAATGGATTGGATAACAATGGCACCAGTATTCACTGGCACGGTGTTCGTCAGAACCATACCAATCCCCAAGATGGCACCAATTCCATCACCCAGTGCCCTGTGCCTCCCGGTGGCTCGGTCACGTATGAGTGGCGGGCAACGCAATACGGCACTACCTACTACCACTCGCACTTTGCTTTGCAAGCATGGGAGGGTATTTATGGTGGAATCGTCATCAATGGCCCTGCGAGCGCGAATTATGATGTGGATGCTGGTATCCTTTATCTCAGCGACTGGTCCCATCGCACGTCCGACGCTCTATACTCCACGGCGGAAACCGACGGAGAGCCAACCCTGGCAACCGGATTGATGAACGCCACCAACATCTGGCTCACAGAGAACAACCAGACCGTCGGCTCCCGCTTCAATATGAATGTGACGTCTGGTCAAAGCTATCGCCTTCGCCTGCTCAATGGCGGAATGAGCAATCCTTTCCGCTTCATGATTGATGACCACACCCTCACGGTCATTTCGACGGATTTTGTGCCCATTGAGCCCTTCAACACGACTTCGCTCTTAATTGGAGTTGGTGAGTTTGATTCCCGAATAGAACCCTACCATGCCGTATCAGGCAGCGCAAGGGTACGCTAAAGGCTAATTCGCATTCCAAGGGCAACGATATGATGTTATTGTCCACGCAAACAAGGAAAGGCTGGGCTCTAACTTCTGGATGCGCTCGATTCCTCAAGAATCTTGCGCTGAAATCTCCAACTACGATATTAGAGGTATTTTCCACTATGAGACGCCGACCGGCAAGCTTGAAACCCCAACCACCACAGCTTTCAATTACACAGACAGTTGTGAGGATGAGTCCATGTCCAAGCTTGTTCCGAGGGTCGCCATTGATGCCGCAGGAGTCGGGTATAGCAGCCACAATGAGGTCCAAGTTATCAAGAACACTGCCGGCTTATACAAGTGGTATATGGGCCCAACAACTTTCATGGCTGAGTGGGACAACCCTACTCTTCTACAGATTGAGAATGGAAACACGTCCTGGACCAATGCCTCCCATGTGGTTCAGGTTGAAGGCAATGGAAAGTGGGTGGTTATCGATATTGAAATGAGCATCAATGTTCCTCATCCCATCCATCTCCACGTGCGTATATTCCCCTGTCTATCCCAGTTCATATCTAGACTAATAATGATACCCCACAGGGTCATGACTTCTTCATTCTCGCTCAGGATAAAGGAAGTTACACATCGAATACCACCTTGAACACTGCCAACCCACCCCGACGTGATACTGCTATCCTGCCCGCCCTCGGATACCTGGTCATCGCTTTCAAGACCGACAATCCCGGCGCTTGGCTCTTGCACTGTCATATTGGATGGCACCAGTCTGAAGGCTTTGCCATGCAGTTTGTGGAGAGCATTGACCAGCTGAAGCCCATGATTGACGGCGAGTCGCTCGAGAAGAATTGTGCTGCTTGGGACAGATATGCAACCCGGGAGCATATTGTCGAAGACGACTCTGGTATTTAAGGAGGATTACATATTGGGCTGAAAGTGCTTCGTTGCCATGAGCGATCCCACTTCATGCCAGTGGGGGAGATGGATGCTCGGACACGCCGCTTGGCCTTCTCTGCACATGTGAGATCGAAATGGGCAGTTTGTCTTCAAGCTGGACTTGATCTAATCATGCCCAAAGATGCAGATAGCTTATTGCAACTTTTTAGACAATCTTGAACCTTTAGGGTTAATTAAAAAAGTATTCGGTTTGTGGTAAACTAGTAAATTGTGGAAGAAACCAGATATATTATAGTAGTATAATTTTAAGAATTGTGTTCATTATGAAGCTGTTGTTTGTCTGTATCTGTAATGGGATAGCCCCGTAGAAAGATCTCTCAGCAAGTTTGGTCGGCATGTGGGAAGTAACCATGAGACACACACGGTCATTGTCACTGAAACCGACTAAAGTTTAGTCAGTCTGACTTGCAACATGACTATTCCATCACTCGAGAATCGAGCAGTCATATACAACCCCGAGGGGAGCGATATAATCCGTGTGGTTATAGCCCAAGTTCAAAGACATGAGTTGACCAACCGTTACATTGTACGCAGTCGCAAAGTCCTGGAGGGTACCATAAGTAAACGTAAAGTCCGTCATGGTGCAAGCTGTATTAGCGCAAGTGGGGATCTTTACTGTCTCTCCAGTCTGGAGCACGTCATAGATCCCGGGGTTCAGGGCTGCAATGTATCCTGTTTGAGCACCAAAGCTAAGAATGGACTCGGTGGTGATATTGAAGCGTTCATTGGCAATCTTCTGGATAGTGTCCCCAGGAAGGATAGTGTACACGTGAGGGCCGCCGTAGATACAGTCCGCTGTTGTGTTGGTGTTGTTCGTGCTGAAACAAGAGTAGTCGTCTGGGAACGTGGCATGGGCGGGAATGCGCAACGTCTCGTTCACATAGAGGAAGTTTGGGTCGGCTAGCACGTTGAGTCGGGCCAGGTCACAGGCACCGACACCGTATTTGTTGGCGACTGTGTGGATCGTGTCGTTGGCAGTAACATTATATATGATGTTACTAGCAGCGACATTGATGTTCAAGACAGTTCCAGAGCTCGGGAGGACTGCATTTATTGATCAGCTAGGGATATCATTGTGAGAAGAGACATCAACAATGAAGTGCACACCGTCATAGTTCATAGAAGTCAGAGCAGAAGCTTGGGCTATAAGTATGGGCACCAGCGAAATATGTTTCCTCATAGTTAGACGCATAATTTCTGCTATCTCAGGTCGTTCTTTGGTATGTGTTTGAAAACTTCTGTCTTTGTGGTCTGCGTTATCTTCATGTTGGCTGTCTCTTGGACGTATTTATACAATGTTCAATAGCAGTTGGTCAAAGATCTCGGACCTATTTTCCACAATAGGCCACCACATTAGCTGGCTAGCAGTGGTAGCATAGAGTACATCATTTATTAAAGCTGATAAATTGTGGCGTTCTTAGCTCAAAAAACTTAGTAGCGAAGCGCCATCCATGCTCAGTACTGTACAAGTTGAACATCATCATACCCCGCACACCACACTTTACCCCCACATCCCACTCCCCACAAGTTTAGCTGCTATCATTCGCTCCTTCACGGGAAGGAAGAGATAATGAAAGCCATGAATCCGGGCGAGACTTCCAAATTGGAAACTCACCAAGGCCGTTAAAGCTACCTCCGGGAAAAACCAGAGGTATTTTTCAAGCTTGTCCCGCTTGGCACTTTATCTTCCCTAACAGGGGTAAGCCATGACTCAACTTCTCATATTGCTGTAGCTGATAAGGTAAATCCATAGACAGACATATTTACTAATAGTCTCTCGGAACGTGTGACTACAACAAGGAGAATGTGGGGACTCGGGGACGCGTGAGGGAAGATGTCGAGGTGTGTGCGGAGCTCTTATATCCGGGGGGTCCGAACTATCTACTAATATGGATCAAACAATGACCACTCTGGGCCCTTGTATCGCTCATTAATGATTACCTTCACCAACAATGGAGAGGGGAACGTAGTGTGGTGTAGTCGGAATCCACAGATTAATCCAGTTTAAGATCTACCAGAGACCATACAAACCACAGAGATAATGTTAATGAGAGGAATACTCTACGGCTATGTCCTTTACGGCCACTATAGCATCTGTAATCTCCAGACTCGCAACGGCGTTCTTTCCTGTTACTTGCCACCACATCCGAGAAAATCGACCGCCCCTTGGCTAAGTCGGACAGTACCAAAGGTGAACTTCAGCGCGCGAAGGACTTCCCGGTTCATTTGAGCTCGCTACGTCCCGATGACTGCTAATTTATTCCTTGAAAGTACGAGCTAGGGTTAGGCTCGTGCGGGATATATTTTTAGCTCCTGTGTGAATGAAAGTATAGTAGCGATTATTTCTATCTTACCATATACACATGTTGAAACCAAGCCTATACTAGAAATATACAAAGGCGGTACAGTTCCGAAAATGAGAAAAGGTGCAATAGAAAGCCTTTGAATTGTGTTTCAGGGAATTTATTCTTTATGCCTTGCACAAAGAGAGACACCGATAGTCCATGCTCCCCTCAACTAATCCTAACACAGCAAAGGTCCTCCTTCCCACTACCCGCAATCGGCATCACTCACGTGACGCGAGGCTAATCAAACCGAGCAAACACCGGATAAGCCTACTGGATACGGATACGGGATATGACGGAGTTCGTCCGGTCTCTCTCCCCTCCTTCCCCACCATCGATATCTCGCTTTATTCATTTCTGTCGCATCTGCACTGTCCATTTCCCATACCCCTCCCATATAGCAGACCAGAGGACCACGCGAGCAAGAATGGCAGACGCACCCCCCTTTTTCATCTACAAGCTCGTCCCCTCCACGGCGCCGGTGCGCGAACCCCTTCCGGACCGGCTCCCCATCAGCGAGCTCGACAACCAATCCGGCTTCATCCACCTCTCCACCGCCTTCCAGGTCCCCAACACCCTCAAGCTCTTCTTCAAGGATGAGCCTTTAGTGTATGTGCTGCGCATTCGCTACGATAAGGTCGAAAACGATATCAAGTGGGAGAATCCCGAGGGGACGGTGTGCGGGCCCCGACCAACGGAGGGGCTGTTTCCTGTACGTTGTCTCTACTTGATAGCATCCTATGTATGGGTGGGGAAGAGGACAGAAGGATTGCTAACATGCCACAGCATCTGTATAACGGGCTCAAACTGGGCAAGGATGAGGTCGAGAGTATATCGATCTGGACGAATGAAGATGGCTGGGATAAGGCGCTGACGCAGGCGAAGCCTTGGTTGCTGTATTGACATCTCGGTTGATAATTTTATGGGAATGGGCAATGGGCGGATGGGCACGATTGAAGGCGGCGGAATGTAGGGACCAGGGGTCTTTGATGTAAGCATTGTGTAGTAGGGAAGTGTGTAGGAGAGAGGGGGGGAAGGATTTGGCGGTACTCTATGAAAGGTCTTGTTAATGCATAATTCGTTGCGCATTTTTATCCAGTCTCACTGGATTGAAACTTTCTACAATACTTTATTCCTGCAACCACGCGTGGGATGCATGTTAGAGCATAGGCAATGGTAATTAAATGTAAGTGAACGAAACCTCCAGATTCTGTGGCTAGATAGACCAGGGGAGTGCATTGATTAAGCCGCGCGTGTACATGTGGATGTGGGGCACGATGTGGTCGGAATCATGGTGCAAGCGCCCATTCACTTTCTATGTTTAGGATAAATAGAAATCATTCGGCAGAAGTCTTACCAAAGAAGTTAAATATCACACGAATATCCTTTAGAAACTATGCCACTTCCTGGAAACGAGCCTGCCGAGCAAGAAAAGCCATATTTGAAGATATAGTGATACGGTTTGCTGGCAAGGTGGTGTCTCACAATTCAACGAGTGTGCTATAATCTACTTGCGCCAGTTTGTGCAGTCATTAGTTCAACTAGCGCAAGAAATCCAACTCTGATGCCATTCAACAAAGATCGCCTGTACGTTGCTCTCTATTTCCGCGGAGGCAAGGCTAGAATGCCGGAAAAGGAGGACACATACGTATACGGATCCCATGATCTCAACAATGAAGCTGACCCTCACGTTCGAACAGTTACCACTGGGCCTTACACATCGGACCCAAACATTCCACCGCTCAGAGTCTAGGAGTACGCTATCACGCAAAAGAGCGACTCACCGTGGAAGGGAAGTCCGAGTTCATCTTCGAAGAGAGCGAGGTCTCCCCGCAGATGGTGCTTGTGTGCGTCGCGGTTGCGAAGATCCTGAACAAAGACCGTACAGTGAATATTCTCCGCGATACAGCTATCGGCCAGGACTCACCCGGGTGGAACTGTGTGTCTTGGGTCCAGGAAGCCCTGCATGCGCTGAATGTCGATTCACGAGCCCTGGGTGCGCGGATACCAGACTGGGAGAGGGTGCGCGATGCGGTGATGGTGTATTGCCAACGGAAGAAGGACCAGCATCGATTTAATGGGAAGGGGAATTTTGATAAGAGTGTTGTTCCTACGTAGAATTTGATGGTGGGGAGGGAACTTGCTGTTTGAGCTGGATCAGATATCTGAGAATCAACTGGGCGAGCATGTTTCCTTCCCAATTCTCAAGGATGATGCTGGGCACAACCTGATGCTCTGTCTAGGTGGCTATCTGGCCGATACTTATTTCTCAGTAATAAGATTCGCTTCATAGGATTCACCACCAATATCTTTATGCTTTTCAACGAGTATCGCTTTGAATTGAAGATTACTCGTCTCTTCTACTCCGTATTAAAGGCTGGATGTGGCGGAACAAGGCTGTCACGTTAATACTTGCAGAGTATTTCCTCGTCTTGCCACAGTCGGTCCAAATAGACCTATCATTGAAAGCGTAACAAGAGCGCAGAGTCTCACTGTGGGTGCGAATACCAGTATTAATGCCATAAATCCGAGCATCTTGACGGACGAGCGCCTCGGGGCTAGCGCCTGTCCCGAATAGGTAACTCGGGCCTGAATTCGCCGAGTGGCACAGAAATACGAGTATGGCCGGACAACCCAGAAAGTCCGGACTGGAAGTATAAGAATCAAAAGTCCGTCTACGCATGCAATTAACATCAAATTTAAATTGATCATTCATACTTGGTCGAACACGCGAAGCAAGCTGCATCAAGAACAGACATTTTCCAGAGAACAGCTACCCTTATACATCTTGAGCAAAGTACTTCGACAATGGTAGCCATGACGCTGTCATCTACGCTGCGCGAGCAGCATGTCGTAATCCTGGGCGGCGCATACGCGGGTCTCTCGACGGCTTTGAACCTACTTCGCATCTGTAACGGCACGATAACTTCCTTCGGGGAAGGCGGCAAAGGAGGAAGAGGAGGTCGCGGCGGCGGCGGAGGTGGCCGAAGACAGATGCTGGCGCCTCAAGCCCCGCAACGCATGCCCAGAATCACCATTCTCGATCCCAGAGACGGGTTTTGTATGTACCCCCCTACACAGTCAAGAAATGCAGCAAATCCCTGACAGCCGAGTCTCACAGATCACGCAGTCGGTACTCCCATGGCACACACAACAAAAAGCTACATCGAGCACCCGTGGCGGACCTGGGATCAGATTGAGGAGCTGAAAAGACCGTCGGTGTCGATCCTGAAGGGCATGGCGGTGCGAGCGGACCCGGAGACAAAAAGACTCCTCTATCTCTCTTCGGAGTCAAATGGGCGGCAGCAGCAGTTTACGCTGGATTATGACTTCTTGGTGGTAGGCACGGGGTTGCGACGGCCTTGGCCGACTGTGCCGGTTGCTACAACCAAGTCGGAGTATGCGATGCAAGCAGGGAGATATATTGACCGACTGCGGACATGCGATTCGGTGGTGGTAATCGGTGGAGGTAAGTTGACTCCTAGCAGGGAGTTGGCAGAGTTGTGGCTGATGAATTAAGGTGCCGTGGGAATTGAGATGGCAGCTGAGATCAAACGCCGTTACCCAACGAAGCAAGTGACATTGGTGCACTCCCGCTCGGCACTGCTCTCGTCCGAGCCGGTCCCATCAGAATTCCAAGACCAGGTTCTGCAGATCGCTCAGCTTGGTGGGGTGAACGTGATGCTCAAGAACCGCGTGCTGGGTGTCACGGAAGGGCTTAGGAACGCAAAAACGATCAAACTTGAGGATGGCAAACATCTCACTGCCGATGAAGTGATTTGGGCAACGTCGTCAGCTGCTCCGGTTACCGAGTTCTTGCCTCACGAGGCTCTTGATGAGAAGGGGTTCGTCAACGTTCTTCCATCGTAGGTGATAACATCGTCATGCTCGACATTTTGGTATTGACCATGACACTATAGAATGCAATTTGCTGCAAGCATCCCCAACCGCCAGACCCACTTTGCAGTTGGTGATGTGATTGCAACACCCGGAATTCGACTCGCCAAAACAGCCATCCGCATGGGACGTACAGCAGCCATGAACATTGCCCATATGATGGTATCTGCCGAACAGGCTCACGGGTCGCAGCCATATTTGGCCGAGATGCGCGGGCCCAACAAAGGGTTGAGCTTGGTAATTGGTAATTCCGGTGCGTCTTTCGATGAGAAGACAGGGGATATCTTCTGCGGCCCGGAGGTCAAGAACGGGATCTTTGGTGATGACATGGCACTTCATCGTAAGTGTGGCCTCCTTAAACTATGATGAGCTAGGATGCTGATTTCTCGCAGGTGCATTGGGTGCGCTTGGATTGCCGCTAGATTCATGAGATGCATATAGCGGGAGAGCCAAGGGGCCAAGTGAGATGGATACAACGGACGCTATTTCCATAGATGAGGATACATGTTTTTGAGAACGCGCGGGAATAGATCATGCTTGTATATAACTTATCCCAAGCTTTCTAGAACTTCAGCTTCTTGTATCTGTAGAGGGGTTTGACAGACACAGCCCAGGAAGGAAGACTTCCTACTGGAGCGAATGAGGAACACCATAATTCAGTCTTCGGCCAAGCCGAACGAACAAAGTAGGCCATGATGATCGCTCCAAAAGGGTATTTCTTCTGCGGTTTTGATCTGCGTGGAGCTAGACGTATCCAAGTCGCCAACTCGTCTTGGCTCTAGGACCTGGATTGCAGAAGCCTTTAAACCCAGGGTCCCAACTCGATCAAGCCGGTTGGGCGGGTACGGTTGTTGCCCGTCAACTCCCCACGTATAACCAGGCTCCTTGGGACGCAAAGATGTCCAGACATCAGTTAAGCCATTAAATTCGAGAAGTTCGTCGTCCTCGTCAAGAACGGGATTGAAATCACCGGCCACAAGCCCACGTCCGGCGGTGCGCAGAAGGGAGGCAACCATAGATATTTGTCGAGGCCGGTGGGATGGCTTGATCGGCAAAGAATCTAGATGGACGTTCACCAGCCGAATTCGTGTCGCAGAAGATGCTTCATCCGTTCTGTGTGAAGGTACAAAGATGTCACAGCAGAGCGCATCTCGACCGAAATAACTAGGGAATCTGACCCTCCATATAGGGCCGGCGACAAGGCTGTGGGTCTCTGGGTTCGAAGGTGCAGCAAAGCGTGCTCTGGACAGTAAAGTCACTGTCATAAAGGGTCGGTCATTCCACGAGAGGTCATCACAGTCGCTTGAGAACCAGGTTCCACGTATGCGCTCGTCCTCCAGGATCTGCTGCAGGGCCGGCCTTGAAACCTCTTGAAGGAAAACAATGTCTACGGGGGGGTCTAACTGGGTGAGATACGTGATAATATCGGTGGCGCGTTCCTGAGCTTGAGCAGAGCCCGCATCGATGTTCCATGTCAGTAACACCAGATTTGATGCGTCGCCCCCTCGGCTTGGCTCTCCATGGTCACTTGAATCGGCATCCGTGTGAGTGGGGATCCACTTTTGGGCAGGATCGAATTGATACCAAGATTGAAATCTGGGATGCAGGTCCTCTCGATGGGGAAGCGGTGCCTCACGAGTCCAGGATAGTGTGTTTGTCTGAGTGCGCGTGTTGGGATCCATAGGTGACGACTGTGATAAATGATGGTAAATGTACTGGTGTTGATACTGAAGGTGTGGAAGAGAAGACGGGGAAACGGAGGAATCTCAGGCAGCCAGGCTAGTCCAGTCGAGGAGCCGTGCAGTCGGCCCGCTGTTGTTCCGTTCCAGACTTGCCTTTGTGCCTTTGTGCCTTGATGGTCGCAGCCTTGTTGCCTGAGAAACATCCCGTTCCCCCAACCCAGATTTAACTGTATCAACCATCCACTTTTTAAGTGCTTTAACTCATCAGTTCTTCATTCGCAATAGCTGTTTTCACTGTGTACTGTGCTATCTGCTCCCCTTCAATGTATTTACCAGTATTTCTGTGCAACACAATGAATATGCATCTTTTATTATCACGATACAACCTGACTCATGCTCAGGGGCAAAGATTCGCTCGCTTAAACTAACCGCTTTTTAAAGCGGACTCGCCGTATTCTCGAAAGATCCGACGAACCAGCGTGTCTGAACTCATTGAGATAATGCCTTCTTTCAGCCTCAGTGGAGTTTCGGTTTTTACCTTGCTCTTTTTGTCGGGGCCAGACCCTTCAGCGAAAATTCCTTATAATCGATGGAGATCCACCAATCTTAAATGACTGTCTCTCTTTTGCCAGATCCATTTCCTCATTCTTTAGTTCGGTGCATTCTGGCCTTCACAGACAGTCACTCTTTTCGTACTCTCTCTGTGGGCTGACCAGTCATGCGGTCCTTTTCTTCTCTTTCTGCTGTAGTGCTTTTGGTGCAGCCATTCCTCGCTGCGGCGGAGACCAAGGTGGTAACAGGGACTACCCAGTCATGCACATGGACTGATAATGCCTTGTCAAATCCTTCATTCGACTCCGGAGTTCTTACTCCCTGGGCTGTATACAATGGATATGGAACTGCATCGATTGTCGCCGATACCTCCGGCGACGGAGGCTACGTGGCGTAGGTAAAGCCTCTGTTTGGAAATGGGTAACCACTGACACACAAATGAACAGAGCAATGGTTCCCAGCTCATCCTCATACGCCGTCCTTTACCAGACCCTGACCGACCTGGTCGCGGGTGATACGTACTCCTTGTCTTTCGACTACAAAATCCAGTCCGCAACAAGGTCGGGAACATGCAATTTCTACTTTGCCATCGACGGCATTGTCGCATCGAGCCGGATCACTACGACCGTCAATGGTTACATCCAATACGGCACTACGGAGACCGACTGGCAGACCTTATCGACCACCTACGTGCCCACTAGCAGCAGTCTGGACATGTACATCCAGGTGATCTGCAGCTCCGGTATTCGCGGCATTGCAGCTCAGCCGACCATCTACGTCGACAATACCCAGTTCTCCAACCCCAACAAGGAGATCGAGATCTGCACGGATGTGGCCTATACCTCGACCATCACGATTCTTCCAACCCCAAGCGTCACTCCCACATCGACGCCTGCTGTGACTCCTTCGCAGGCAGTGACATCCAGCGCCAGTGTTATCCCGGCAGCATCCTCCAGCGTCGTCGCAAGCGCGTTCTCCTCGTCCCAG